GTTCCTCATTCCATTCAAATGGTACATCCTTGCATGTGAGGTTGATGAGGGGGTGTGCTTTCTTAGAAAAATCCTTGATAAATATGTGCAAGATGCTGCAGGTACCTAGAAAGCCGCACACTTCCATGACAGTGCAGCATTCCGGCCAATTGTGTATCTTTTGCACTTTGGAGTCTTCCGGTATGTGCCCTTCGAAGGTGCATTTGTGCCCTGCTATGATAGTGGTAGGTGTGGCTAGGACGAATTTAGTAGTGGATATGGTTATGCCTACATTCTCCAGGCGCTGGAGTATGCGGTTCACCACTATGCAATGCTCCCATATAAAATGACATATTCCCAGGTTCTCCCCTATGGTTTCATATGAGCTGTCAGCTCTTTGATAGTGCATTTTGACTGATTTGATTGGGAAGTCATCAATAAATGGGGAGGTGTGCTTCGGGATCTCATCATGTAGAGCAAAACAGGAGTCACCTTGATATACTTGTACCATGTTTGCATGCCCTTGCAGGAGCGTTGTTAGCCAGTGCGGTCCTAGTGGTGTTCTGAAGGTCATGAGGTCATGGGACTCCTCATGTAGCGCGTGCTGATCATAACCTGAATATAAGTCCATCATACTGTATACCGCATACCTGGCGAAAGATTCAGCTAATTGTTTGACAAAGGGGGGAAGCGATGAGTCTCAGATAGTTACTGCATTCAGCAGTTGAAGATCATGTACTAATCGCAGTGATTTACTGTCTTTCTTGACCACGCAAAACCACTGTGAATGGTAGGCTGCGGTTGATGGTTCATAAACACTGGACTGGATCTTCTCTTTGATGATGCAGATAACTTCTCCAAGGGTTGCTGGCAGTATATGGATATTGTGTTGAGACCATGGAGTGTGCAGGATGGTAGGAATTTTGTAAGGAGGGAAATAAGTTTCATTGAGATGACCATGCTCAGTTGCGTCCCATGCGAATGCTAATTTGTGTGTCTGGACAAGCCAGCATATAAGCTTAAGCTCTTCTGGCCATAACCAGTTAGCAGGGTCTAAGTCCAATTCGTTCGCTCTTTCTTGGGTGAAGCAGACACCTGGGATGAAGTCAGGCGGGTGGGTTGGCAATTGGGGCATGCCGGCCAATGGGTTGTTGGGTAATCTTCTCGTGATTCTATACTCGGGTGGCATGGTGGTTTGAACCATGTGGACCTTCTTTGCGACCGGCTTATAAACCAGTGTATGTCAGGTTTTGTTGAATGAATATGCACTGTTAAATGTGTCAACTGATGTATGGTCAATGATCGAGCATGTAGATACAAGATGATTATAGTGCACTGAGAACTGTGTGGGTGAAAAGGAAAATAAGGCATGTTTGCTCTGTAAGAGCGAGTATTGCGCAGTTGGCGCAAGACGAAAATTATAACTGGGAAGTAATGTAGTAGGACCAGAAATAAGAGAGAGTGGCAGGTAGGAATTTGTCCATTTGTCTCCTCGCATATTGTGTGAATCATCAATCATCAATAACCCTTCTTGCATGCACCTGAGGGAGCGTGTGTGCCAGCTTCACAACCTGGACATTTCTTTACCCAACGCATGGTAGGGATGCGTATTACCTTCCCCAAATTTTGGTCTGTTAGCGTGATATCCTGGTCTCCGTTAGGAAGATCTTCTGTATGGCAGCTGGTGAGTGTAAAGAATGGGCACCCTAGCAAGATGTCGAAGTTAGCGGTCAGAACAACCTGAACTTGAAATAGCATTTCTCCCACACCAAAGTCTAGTGGGAGATTCTCTATTACTCCTAGTGTCTCATCAGTTGAAGTATTAACAGACTCCATGGTTAGCTTGTGGTCAGATCTTAGTGGAATACTGCCCAGCATGCACCAGACAGATTGTGGCATTATGATGCACTCTGCACCTTGGTTGAGGACGCAGGAGAGGACCCGGCCATGAAGCGTCACTGCTCTGATACATCTCAAGGATTCAAAGTGTTCAGCCACAATGTGTCCATTGTCGTTCCTTTGCAGGCAGCTGTTGTGTTTTTTTAGAATTTCTTGCATTCCTGGCACACTACCTAGTTCATTGACTGAGATAGTCCCTACCATAATGCGTTTGGTCGTGGTCATTTCCTTGAATACCTTGCGGACATCAGTGGATACTGCTATTAATTCGCACATAGGTATGCTGATGGTAGAGTCTAGCATGCGGTCGACTACATCCTTGTCCACATCCTTGTCTTCCAGCAGGAAGGAGTATCTGAATTGCATTGAGGGTTGGTTGATGGCCAGCAGTTCATAGGATGAAGAAGAGGTCGCAGGGTTCGAAGATGAGGAGGCCATACCAGGTGCGGTTGAAGAACCCGCAGGTGTCACAACCACTGTGCCCTTATTAGGGGAACTAGTGGCCTTTGACCCGGATGCCTTTACCTGTGGGGAAACTACTTCTTCTACCGTGTCAGCGGTTCTTGATGATGGACCTGGCTTAGGACATGGTGGTACATTGATGCCCTCAAACCGCGTATTTTTACCTTTGCCTGCTTTGCAGTTAGCACAATCCACTTTTACTGCTGTGAATGCTTTGTGGGCTCTGGTAGCTTCTTGTTCAAGGCGCGTCAATTTTTCATCATCTTTGCTCACATCTTCCTGGATGTCAGTGCACGTGTGCATGAATGCACAAGGCTCAATATCAAGTGTTGCTTGGACAGTCGGTTCAGCATGACAGTACATGTTACCGAGAACTGTAGCATTGGCACCTGTTGCGGGCCCATTACACAAGAATTCATCAATGCGCTGCTTGAAGTTTCCATCTCCTTGCCTGCCGGGAATACCGCGACCATCGGGCATAATGATCTTGTTATCAGAGGTGATGCTTATCTTACCTTCCCTTGCATATTCATCACGCATTGTGCAAGTCTTCATAAAATGGTCTCCTCCACAAAAGTAACAACTGTTATACCACGGTTGGCTGTATTCCTTCTTTACCATGGTCCCCACATTAGGTTGCAGGGCAGGTGTAGAAGGCGTGGTTGCTTGGGTCATAGTTGCAGAGGACCATGCTGGCGGTTGGACAGGTACTGCGGTGGATGCGATGCTAGGTAATAAGAAAACTGCAGCCTCATATACCTGATCTAATGTGTACAGGTCATCAGGGTGGTGAGTGACAAGTTTTATTTCAAGCCTTCTCCTGATAGCTGCATTGGCTGTTGAGTGGACCCCTTGGAGGAAAAATCTACTGCATTCTAGTTCCACTAACCATTGTTTGTTGATTAGGTATTGCAAGACTTTGAGGAAGTTGCAGTAGTATTGCCCTAGCTCTTCCTTGGAGCATATTTGGATGTGGGCTTGTTCCGCACAGAGGTTCTCTAGGTCAGTACAAGTGTAGCGGCAGTCATTGTCGCATCCTGGATACATAGCCTTTATAGCATCAACAAACTTATTCCAATCATTCCCTTTTGCTGCAGGCCTGCATGCCCAAGTTTCCGATTCACTGATGGGCGCATATTGAAGGGCTGCCTTGATGCGCTTTTCCTGATCTAGATTAGTGTAGTTGGCCAGTTGTTCCACATCCTCAAAGAATGGGAGTAGCCATGCAGGTGTTCCATTGAATTTTGGTGCCGTGTCAGTTCCTCAGAGAGGCATTTTATACAGGGTAGTCATGGCTGTGGGTTGTGCGATAGGGGTTTGAGATGGCATGGGGTTTTATGGGGCTGAAGGGGTATGGCATGTGGGGTTGGGTAAAGTAGGTGGGAGCATGGCTAAATGTCTATGCAGGGAGGAAGCGGTTACAGGTAAGAAAGGTGTGGGTGTGAACAGGTTTTGCCTTTCAGGTGACAGGTGACAGGTAGGGTTCAAAGGGGTAAGTGATGATTCAGTGGATGGAGTGTCTAAAGTAATGAATGGGACTTGGGGTAGCAAATGGTTGAATGATCCAGGGAAGTGAGTATCTTCCCCCTCAGACTCTGGTTCTGTTAGGGGTGAGTTGGAAGCGAGGTTCCAGATAACAGAGGCTTCTGAAGAGGAATGGGTATGCAAGTTGGATGGTCCTGCTTCAGTTTCTTCTTCAATGTTTGGAAGTACTGGGTAGAAAAAGTCTTCTTGCGAGATGTCTGCAAGTGCGCGAAGCTCTCAGGTTTCATTTGACCTAAGCGATCTGCCTTCCAGCTTCAAATGGCCCCCTCACAGTGGGCTCCAGTTGTGAAGAAGAAAATGGTACTAGGTGGTTAGCAACTAGCACTTCTTACCCTAAGAGGTGCAAGTTTAATTGATCGGCCCGAGAGGACTGCTATTGAAGCACTTCCTTCAATTATGCACAAGGGAAGTAAGTGAGCAAAGGAGTTATAATCTATATCGGCCTAAGAAACTTGAATGCTGGCCATAGGTATACCTCTGAATTCCTATACCAAGGAATCAACCGGGAGTGCAGGCAAAAATCAACCACACTCTATGGAGCAGTCAGTCACAAGGGATATAGCACAAGTGAAGAACAGCATTAAACTACCAGTCGTGGGTCGAGTCTTCTTGCAGAGCTTTTAAGGGTAAGATCCTAGCGGTATGGACTTCAGAACAGTCGAATTGCACAGGATTGTCAGGAAGGAACAAAATAGATGGATAGCACAAGGTCTACAAAAATAATGTGAGAATGACTCTCCTATAGAACTGATTCCAGGGGAAAAAAAAACTACCCCATTGTATGTACTGCAGTCATTTATATCATAGCGTGTGAATGTCTGGAATGCATAGGCGAGAATTGTAGCGTAGTTAGCAAGCATGCAATGAGTCTATAGGTAATGAAACATCATGCGCTGCAGAATGTGAGTAGTTGTGTAATAAGACCTGCAGCTCGTTTAGCAATGACATTTGGGAAAATAACACACCAGCAGAGATAGGTGGACATGGATAGGACATGGGAGGGCAGATTCCTAGGACCGGACTGGACTGGACTGGAGTAAGAGCGGATGGGTTGATATATATGGATTTAATGATCCGCACTTTATCTCCTTTTTCTGAAGGTGAGAAAAACCATGCTATTGATCATACATGCCTAGCACCGGTATGATTGTCACAGTGGACACCTTGTCAAGGATTTCATCTGGTAGCATTGTTAGATACATAGCCCCATAGAAGGAATGACGAGGCACTTACCAGGGAGCTCAACCCCAAAATCAAGTTCAGCTTCATCGGTGAGCTGATGCTCCTCATTGGCAGAAGATCAGAAAAGTCATGTCAAGAATGGTATTTCACCCATAGTGAGGCTTGTTTGAAGCTCAGCAAATAAGTCTGGACACTTTTTGTCAAGCTCAAGAGTCTGATGGCCTATTATGCCTTTCACGAGCTCCAATAACCTGAGGTCAAGGTCCCCACCCTCTGGCACAGGTGCTGCAGGAAGTGGTATACCAGGCTGCATGTCAACAAGTGGCAGGTCCGAGTCACATACAGTAACTTCCATGAAGGAGTCGTCAGCCTCGAAGGAGAATTCAATATCAGTGGCAGTTGTGGGCTCCATGGTTGTTGTGTCAGTGTCCTTATCATCCAGCAAGGCCTCAGGCTCAACTTGGACTGGACGCTGAGGCCTTGTTAGTCACTGCTTGAGATAGTTAGCATGACAGATGTGGATTGCCTGCATAATGTGCTTCTTGGCATGATGCAGCTCCATTACACAATAATGGCCATTTTTCTTCAGGCATGCCTTGCATAGGACCTGCTTTTGATTGTTATCACAGAACTGCAGAACTGCAACCACCAGGTCAGTACATATAGAAATTTCAAATACATGAGAAAAATACACACCAATGCCATCAATGATATCAGCATTATGAGTCATGCATATGCTTACCAACTTCAAAGACTTGATCAATCTGGAGCAAAGCATTGTCACATGATTCTTGATGGTTGAAATCAACAAGTCCAATACTCTCACATTGTCTGCCTCATTCAATGCTTCAGCTCCCAACTCCCAATCAATGGCAACCAGACTACTTTCCACTTTAACTGTTTATCCTGATATTGAATTTCAGGGCATCAACCAAGGCCCATTACAGTTGGTGCTCCTCACAATCTGTTTTTCAGGCAAACTTCCAATGCAAGTTATCAAAAGGAATATGGTGAGTAGTTGCAACCAATCGAACATCAGAACCAGTTTCTCACTATTGGTTTGCATGACAGCCTGTTCAGATTTCAGTTTCTTTTGGAGAAGAATATGTGTCCTTTACCTCACCAGTTGTAGAAGTGGTATCAATGGATCTATGCTCCAGTTCTGGAGAATCAACACATCCAGACGGCACTGTGAGTCCGTATATTTCACAATTTTTTTCCAAACTTACACAGTACAGTCTCTTTGCAGTCAAGGTGACGCTAATTCTCCTGCGCACCAAGATGTGTCAGATGACATCCAAATCCTGTTCCTGCCACTTCGACACTTTGACAATTCTGACTGGAACACATGGGCAACACTATCAAAGAATATCGAAAGTTGGTTGGTTGACATTGGTTCTGAGACACAACTGTGGATGTGGGGGCACAACACATTCTGGCTTGCCTTCATTGTGGCTTATCCATTGTTCCCAAGGGGCTCATGGCCAAAGTGGGATTCCCATATCCCTTTGGAAGGTTCATTCATCGAGCAGTGGCTAGAACAGTCAGGTGATCATACCATGATCGAACAGGAACAAGACTCTATCAGGGTGGACATCTGGGACAAGTTTTGCAAACATGCTGCCCTGTTCTTTCCTCATTCTCTTGTTGTTTCAGACTGAGTCTATGATGTACCTTCTGCATTAGCAAATATTTTGTCCATTTAAATTTGCCTACCAGTGTATACCAGTATAACTGTACTATCTGTGATGCATATAAATGTTGTACCATTTTGATTAATAGCTTGATCTCATTGCCAGTATGCTTCAAAGAGTGTAATAATTTAATGTTAAAATTTGGTGTTGTAGTAGCGGCACGCAAATGTAATGTTATTCTAGGCCACTCAGATGTTGGTATAAGCTCTATCACAGGTCTGCCACAGGTCTGCTGCTCAACCTGGGCTACAGGACTTCTTCCGATATGCCTGACATGTTCATTCCCAGGCCTGGGCTAAGGCCCAGTCTGGGCAAAAATATAGCAATAACGAAGGTGTTGCCAAGGATCGGGACAAAATCTTCAATAAGGACCAGATGTGTGGGCTTTGCACTATAAATTTATCATTTATAGGCCAAGTCTGTATTCATCCTCGTGTCATACTGGTTGCCAGGTGTTTTAAATCATTTTCTCACAAGCTTAGTTCGACTAAAAAACGGCAGTTGGCGGTGTACTTATCGTGAGTGCCACGCTCCTACCCAGCAGACATTTCGAGGGTAGGGGTCCCATCCTAATAGTACACAGAATTGCTATGTAGATAATCAATAGAAATTTTTTCCCACAATTCAAACCCCGAACTTCTCCCTCCACCCTCTCAACGACTGCTGGCGCAAAACATTAGAAAACAAGTCAGCCACAGGTCCATTGGTAGATTTTATGAAGTCCACCACCCAATTAAGCAATTGTTAAGAAGCTTCCACATTGGCAAATGCCAGACAGTATGCCATTGGTCAGTGAAATATGCAATAGAACCCTTCAAGTCTTTGGGCAGAGACCATGCCTATGGCAAGTTGAAGTCACACAAGCAGTCCTCCGATGCGACCAAGATGTTGTTTCAATATCTGCAACCGGCTCTGGCAAAACAATGACATTTTGGATGCCATTACTATTCCACCCCCAAGGAATCCAGATTGTTGTCACTCCCCTCAACATTCTCGGTACCCAGAATGTGGCTGCATTGGAGAAATTGTCTATCAAAGGGCTTGCACTACATGCTGAGACTGCAACAAATGCAAACTTCAAAGTAAGACTCACTGTGCAAGAAGTTTGGCTCGAACCTCAAATTATTTGACATAGGCTATAGAAGATGGTCAGTATCGTGTCATTGTCACCAATCCAGAGACCCTTATGAAGGCCAATGGCGGTTTCGATAAACTGTGGAAAAATCATCTTTTCACATCACGAATTATTAGCATTGTGTGGGATGAAGCACATTGTATCAGCAAATGGGGAGACTTCCGCCCTGAGTACAAGCTTGCAGGACGTCTCCGATATATCATACCGTCCAGGATTCCATATTTCATCACCTCTATGACATTACCAGCTGCTGTCCTTGATGTCATCACTGAAACGATGCGACTTTGCAAAAATACCTGTATCATTCACCGCTCCAATGACCGGCCAAATGTTCACCTTGTTGTGTGGGAATTCCAATATCCCATGAGCAGCTACCTTGACCTCGCCTTCCTCATCCCAGAGAATGTGACACTGGATTGGAAACCACCCAAATTCTTGGTATTCTTTGATGATATCAGCAAGTTGGTAGCAGCGGCAAAGTTTCTGAGGTTGCGTTTGCCTCAGCCGCTTCGAAGTATGTTGAAATTTGTGTGGTTCAATGCAGAGATGACACCAAATTTCAGAGAAGAACATACCAAAAACCTCAAAGCAGGCACAGTGTATGGCTTATGCTGCACAGACTCCTTTGGCATGGTGAGCTCGTATCTTACTGTAGTATTTATACATTTATCAATACAAAACACTCAAGGGCGTTGACTTATCGGATATTGCCCTCGTTATCCAATGGCATATGTCTTGTGACCTGTGCACCCTCTGGCAACAGTTTGGATGTGGCGCACAAGACCCATCAACAGAAGCTACAGCCTTCCTTCTCGTTGAGTCGAAGTATTTTGATAGAAGCAGACAGAAGAAAGCAGATAATAGAGACAAGCGAGAACAAGCCAAGATGAATTCTCAAAGCAAGCACAAGGCACCTACCAGCTCTGGGCTAGAACCACCTGCGAAGAGACACAACCAAGCAACTGCAACTGGAGGGAATGAGGGTGCCATGGGAGCAGTTGGGATCACCAATGCCCAAATGAATGTTAGTCAGGATCAGTTGCATGAGAGTCTTGACATACAATGGTTGTCCACTTACTCATGGAGGGTTATTAAAAATGGCCAGAAAGTGAAACATACAGGTGATGAACTGGGTCCAGTGGAAGACAACTTTGTGAATGCTGCAACAAGGTATTTCAACTGTTACAGACACCCAATCATGTTGTATTTTGGTAACAAACAATTAACAAGTAATAGTGTGCATGGTGAGTGCTTCTATGACTCAATTTCACAGCCACGTAGTTTCACGCTGATTTCTCCCACCCAAAAGCCAACCAACACCTGCGCTGTCTCCCTGACACCCCCACTGGTTGCCCCCGCTGCAAACTAACTCCACCACGAATCTGCTGTGAACTCTGCTTTCCCGAACACTTCCTGACTTTTGCACACAATTCAATCACACGTCTCACCAACACTCCATCCTGTTCAAAGCTCAAGGACTATACAGCTTTGCCTGGTGATATGGACTTACGCAATGCACTCCACGAATTCCGCAAAACCTGATGCATCCAGAAATTCGGACAGGCTACTCTCTCTGATCTGGGTGCTGGCATTATCATGCCCCAACAAGTCTTGCAGCGCATTGTCGACTGTGCTCATGCAGGGAAAATCAAGACACATGGAGACCTTATGAAGGAGACAAGATGGAGTGGAGTGGAGGAGTATGGAGAAGAAGTTTTGAGGCTGGTTGTGTTGCACTTGCCGTCTACATCCATTCCTGCCAATCCACAACCACAAACTCCCCTTCACCCTAACAATGACTTTGTCAACGCTACTCCAGCCAGCTGCATGCCAGCAAGACGCCAGTGCAAGGCCTGTGGCTCATTTGCCCACATTGGTGAGTACTGACTATTTTGATATCATTATTTATTTCTCATGTTGTCTTGAGCATCCAATCGGCTATGCCCAGCTAAAGGACAAACTGCTCCTGCCCATCTTGATGAAAATGTGCCACCAGTCATGTAGCAACTACTATACAACTGCCAGATCTTCTCCATCGATAACAATCCTTTCTGTCACCTCAACCTCATCTTCCTGTACATTTCCAAACACTAAATCCTGACCCTTGTCCATCATATCCAGTATCGAGTATGTTGTTGTACAACCGGCGACAAACTCATTAGTACAATGTTCACATGTGTAATCTACCAATTTTTAAATCGTTTTTTTGAGATCAGGTTCAGCATGTGTGGTGGTGGGCCCAGGTAAGCTCAAGTTGCACTCCATATTTGAATGGCAGCTACAGTAAACTTGAATGAGCAGTGACTCTTCAATGACCCTCTTCTGGGTATAATTTGAGCCTCACCCACCAAAAGTTACCTGTAAATTAGAAACTCTGAAGTTCTGAACTGCCGCACACTGAATCATTCACAGTGGACTTTCCTTTGTATGCAGGTTAAGTGATTCAACCACCCAGTCCACCCCACGGAATTTGCCTTTCTTTCCGGTTGGATTAACCAATATATTGTAATGGATGACATGGTGCAGTCTTTCTGGATAGAGGAAGTGGATGTTGGTAAGGAATTTTGTCATATGTTTTGCATATTTGTGCTTGCCTGTGGCACGGAACAGGAAAATCCATGGTGGAAATAGAGTCTCAACACGTCCGATATCTCCTTCATTCATAGACCAAGATAATTCCTCATATAAGAGAAAATACTGGTGCATGAGCATAACATTCTCCTGCTGTTTGTCACATGTGTTCGCAGGTTGACAGTGAGCTTCAAATATGACCTCTGAAGATGCCACATAATCCTTTGCGAGAGAGAATGCAATTTCTTCAATCAGCTCTTGTGATGGATTTGTCTCAGCAAAGGCTTCCAAGGTTTTGCAGGTAGGAAATTGTCACTGGACTTCTTGCTGCCAAGCATCAAGACAGAGGGCGATACCAGTGTGTCCTATCACTTCATGCATCCATTGAAAGCCTGGGTCTGATCCAATTTTGCCTGTCTCTCATGGCCGATTCAAGGCTACAAAGTGCATAAGGCTTGTGGCATCATCCCTTGCAGCTTTAGGCTCAATGAATATACACCAAATAGCATCGGCACACGCCATTTTGAGATGGAAGAGGCCCATCACAAACACTACATACTGAAAGCAGCGCCATGGTGTTGCTTCAATTGAGTGCCGCTCCTTGAGCATCTGAACTTGCTCTGCAGTCCCAAGGTCACCATGAAAAATGATGACATATTCCCCTATATCTACCATAGCGTCTTCTTGGCTGTGCAAAGCTTCGGAAGGCTCACCAACGCCCCCTTGACATAGGAGGTCTGTAATTGCTTCAATATTTCCTGATACCTTGGACTGATTAATGTCCATTGCACGTGCAGGTGCATGCCGCATTTTCATCACTGGGATTTGATCCACAGTCTCAGGATGCAGGGAGTTGTTGAAGCGGCTAAAGTATGGGGGGTCATGCTTGACAAGGTCTGTCATAAATTTGAATGCATTCCAGTGCTGATGCCATGAAAGATTTGATGAGTGAGGCTGTTCAGCATGTAGTTGTAGCAGATCACCACACCCACATGTGGGTCCAAGGAGGTGAGTCAGTATAGTGTGATTGAGGCGAGACAAATTCCAAAGGTAGGTTGAGCATTGTAGATCCTTGGTTGTCACACCATGCTCAAGGTAGATGAGATCACCAGAGGTCATATGCATCAGAGTGTCAATGGCCTTCTCAATGGTTGGTGTCAACATTTTAAAGTCAATATCAAAATTATCATATGCGTATCCCACTCGAAGTGACTGTCCCATCTCCCGCAATGTGTAATACGTCTCACGGGAAAGTGAATGAATGGCCATGTTGATAGCTCGGACTGATATTGAGATACCCATGCTTGCGAGGGCTCGTATGACCTTCTCCGGTGTGTTGCATGAGTGTAGAAATATTCCTATCACACTCTCAAAAGCATTGCACTTCTGGTTCGTGCTTTGCATTAGGATGCTGATAATGACAACTTTCTTCTGTTAAAAGCACAAACTTCTTTGAACATACTGTAGTCTAACAAATACATATCATGGTCCTACAATTTTCACAAGTGCCATCCGACAAGAGGTGGGTACATCCAAAGGGACCTCACCAGATCTCTCTTCGACATCCTCAACCTCAGCCCAATATTGTTCTTCGTCTTCGTTGGCTATGTCATGCTCCGCAGCTGGACCTGCAAGCCTCTGATTGGCCAAGAGCAAGGCATCCAGTAGGTGCCACAGGTCTGGTGTGACATGCTCAATGTCCTTGGCCATATCTTCTAGCCGGAATTCCTCCAGCTGCTCAGCAAGGACATTGGTTGTGCTAAAGTGCCACCCATGTTCTTCTTTAGAAAGCAGCACTACTGATTGCTTGAGCCGCTCAGTACATAAAGTGGATGCCCACAAGATGATTGAGGAATTGAGACTTGGGTGAGCGAGAGAAGTTGCCAAGACTGTTGTAAAGTGAGCAGCGAGATCATTGACGGGAAACTGGGAGAATTCATGGGGGGATTCCAAAAGAGAAATGACAAAGGCTGAGACAGAGACATTGAGTTCAGTGAGTGTTTGTAGGATACAAATGACTTGCGCTCGTGTAATGGTCATAGTGCTTAGCGAATCGATAACAGTGCACACCTACATTAGTCCACAGGTGCGATGGACCTGTGGCTGACTTGTTTTCTAATGTTTTGCGCCAGCGGTCGTTGAGAGGGTGGAGGGAGAAGTTCGGGGTTTGAATTGTGGGAAAAAATTTCTATTGATTATCTACATAGCAATTCTGTGTACTATTAGGATGGGACCCCCACCCTCGAAACGTCTGCTGGGTAGGAGCGTGCGTGAGTGCCAGAACCCCTCTCTAGATCACGTGGCGATCTGTTACTTTGAAATGATTATGCAGGAAGTCGTCCTATGTGCTGCTGTACACCAGGCCTCTAGCTCTGGTTCAGGTGCAATTGTTCTACATGATGTCCAGACTGGTATCTCGCTTACTTCCTTCAAATAATCTAACTCTGCACCACACTGCATATCATTCGTCGAAACGCATGATGAGGATTCATACTCGCGGCACAACAAGAGAAATCAGATTAATCAATCTTAATCGTCTACAACTTCCAAAAGGTAGGTCTTATATTTCTAATACACCTTTCACCTTTTTCAATGTATCTTAGGACCAACTCGCTTTTAAAATAATCATTCCTGAAAGGTTTTCGTGCATTGCGGTGGATAATTTGGGAGCTTTCTGCGCGGGAGAGACAACCCAAGGCCGAATCTATCTTTGGGAGGCGCGTCACAAAATATAATATGTTAGGTCTCGACTCAATTTTTGACAGTAGGTTGCATCAGGCATCTTGTACAACTCCTGGGACGCCTAATATCGCCGTATCAATGACCTCAAATTCACCCACGACAGCGCTGCTATTATTTCAGGTAGTGATGACTCTGGTGTTGGTGTTTGGTCCGTGGCCTGGTCAGTTTCAAATTTCTCGACGTTTGTTGCGCTGTTGACCCCAATGTAGAATTGTCGATAATTGGATGCAAACGAACTTCCGGCCCCATATTGTAAGCTATCAGACCACACACTACCAGTTAAAGACATCGTTTGCGGCCTCGGCGCATTCCCTACTTGTCGCGTTCTCACCGCGTCCCTCGATCATAGTGTAAAGGTGAGTTCGTCTTTATAGCTGCGGCTAATACATTTCGTTCACCTTCGATATGAAGCTCTGTGATTTATCTTCCCAGTCGTTGTTGACTACCTTCCACTTCCCTAAACCAATATCATCAACGGTTTAGGACCGCCTCAACGTGTGGCAACTATCCTCGACTACTGCCATCTCACACAATTGTGAATCCCACTCCCCTTCTCAACCTTGGAGCTCCAAGCCTTGTGAACATCAGAGATACATTCAAACCTCGTGGCCTGTCCATCGACCTTGGGAGTTCTGCCAGCACCGATGCGAAGAATGTCACCACCGCATGTCTCGTCGTGCCACTCCACTACATGAAGGACTTCAAGGCATTGGAAGGTACACAAAGTGGTGATGGTGCTTTATATACAGGACAACACGGGTGTCCCTTCGCTTCCATGTAAGTAAGGCAATCCCAGTGCACCATAGGTTGGACGTAAACGAAAGTACTTGTGTTTCAGCTTGCAGTGGATCATCGAATGGTGCTTCTGAACGAACTTGTGTGCTCAGTTTCTCGAGGATGGTCTCATACATACATCACTACATGATAATATTTTACTCAGATGTATACCTTTAAAATTCTCATGAGCAATGATATGTACCAACCTGTCAAACCATAACGGACGAGCGGTATCATACCGTCACTCGATACAAAAGATGGCTGTCTTCATTCCATTCGCCTTTGTTGGGGGACAACCAATCGCAATCAGCATTCTGATCAGCGCCTAGCAGTGCAAATTTGGACTTGGCAAGTCGTAGCAATACTTAGCCAACCAAGTCTGTGAAAAGAATCACAGATGCATTTAGATTCTCCCGTGGAGTTCCGGAGCCAGAACAAGAGTTTGACCGGGCAAGAGTCTGGACGACACATGGGACAAAACGGAAAGACTGCGGAGAAATTGTGATATCTATAGACAATGGAAAGACTCGGAAGGCTGTTCAAAGAGCTGGGAAGCACGAAGACTTCTTAGCTGGAGTCAGGACTCAGCAGGCGCCCACCTAGTCATGACTCCTTCGGACCCGAAGCCCCACTGAAGACCTTGAAATAGAGCCGCACTCCATCGTTGCACGTCACCATCATCTTATCCAAAGCCATCATGCCCACAGTAACAAGGCTACTCTATCAGAATTTTATGCAGGTTGATAGTGGACAGCTGTCTGCCCACATTATATCTGAATCAAACTTGATCGAAGAGCAGCATCAGTTGTGCAATTTGTTAGAAAGGAACGAGGGACGTGCCCTTGGCCTTGCTGGCGAATTTGCACCCACTGGAGAGCTCGCGATGCTTGCAATCGCAGACATGTCGACGATTATCATTATCGAATTCAAGTTAAACTTGAAGAAGAGCAAGGGCAATGAACACGATAAACGCCCTGTCACACGCGCCAGCAAGGTAAACAACACTGCCGCTCGGGAGTTTTTGACACAGAACCTCCTCCGCCGCACCACCGGATTTTTATACGCATTCAACCTTGCACCGATTGCCCTTGCTCTATATCAAACACTTGGTCTTCGAATCGCAAATGCGATCGATATACAGTGCGCAGGATCGAAAACACGTGCCCCGCTCACCACCATTAAACAGGCCGTTGGTGATCGTCATTGTATATACGATGCAAACATCAACGAAGTATTCTGCAATGACACCATCATCGATCATCTCCCCGCTGCTAAGGATGGAACTACTTCACTTGCACTACGTGCATGGATCGCACACTACATCTCACAACTCTCGACTATGGAGGATCGTCTCGCGCAAGTGCCCCCAGTGGACACCTTCCGGCTCTCTGATGAGGTAGTTCACTGCTTTCCTGGCGAATGATAGCGCTGATCATAATCACAGGTATTGGGATTCCTCGCGAAGAGCTCGAAGGATTCGTTCCAGCTCGAGCAGAAGAAGCCGACCGAGGTCACGCGCCAGTTTGCCACTTCTATCGATCTTGAGAACAACCACATCCATGCCCAAGCCGACAGATACCAGAACAGAATTCGTGAGGGCCGGCATCAGGCATGTCGTTCGCGTGTACACGCGGTGCCTTACTTGACAACCATTTTCCTTAGCGTGCATTCATTGATATTGGCCAGCGCGCAGGGTGTGGCTTCACTGTTGACGGTCAGGTTACCAAGTCTCGGGGTCACATCGCGAAACTCGTTCCCGCCAACAGTCTCAGTTTCGTTGACAAGACCATCAGCTCAATCAAGATCGTTGGCCGTGATGACCCCACGCAGGCTGAAACCCAGCGTGCTCAGAAGGTTCTAGAGATCCTTCAAGGTCTTATCGACCTCAAGCACGACAACCCATGGGTTCAGCTAATATTCTTTTCATCTCCCAGGGATGACTTCCAGTGGCCCTCCGCTTGGACAGAGGAGGCGAATGATGCGGGTATTGTCAGATTCTGTGCCAACCGTCTCAGTCGCCCCCTCAATCCATCCCAGACGAAAGCTGTGAAGCAGATGCTCCAGCAGTCGAATGACGGGCGTCTTACTGTCATCCAGGGGCCCCCTGGAACCGGTAAGACCACTGTCATCGCCTCATTTGTTCAGACTGCCTTGGCCAATGGACTCTCTGGCATCTGGCTCATTGCCAAATCCAATGTTGCCGTCAAAAATATTGCCGAGAAACTCGCTGACTTTGGCCTGACCAATTGGAAGCTTCTCGTCTCAAAGGAATTTTTCGACCACTGGTCAGTCCTTTCACTGGTGGACTTTCCCCTTCGGGCAGACTAACATAATATAGGCATGAGCACCTCTATGCTAACATTCGGGCTAATGCCATCATATCCGAGGACTTCTTTGCGCCAGGTTTCTCTAAGGAGCTCCAGACCACCCCGGTTATTCTCTGTACTTTGTCTATGCTCTCATCTCCCGCTCTTCGAAAGCGTGGAGGCCTTGAAGCTGCGCCACTCAGGACCCTCGTCATCGACGAAGCATCCCAAATTGAGATTGGTGACTACATTCCTGTCTTCACCTCTCACACCTCCATTAGAAAGGTGTGCTTTATTGGTGATGACAAACAATGTAAGTATTTCTCCTGCATGTCATCGCATGTTCTGACATCTTCAGTGCCACCCTATGGTCAGGATGATATCCAGGACCTGAAGAGCATCTTCGAAGTCAAGCATCTCAAGGACCATGCCATATTTTTAAATACCCAATGTAAGTCCTTCCCCTAACGCTCCCCTACCCCGAAATCTATCATTTTATTGTAGACAGGATGCCCCCTCAAATTGGAAGCTTCATCTCTGAAGCTGTGTATGATGACCTACTTGAGTCGAATCCACTACATCCCGTCACTACCGAGAGAATGGCTTGTCATTTTATCAACATTCCCAGCCAGGAACAACGACATGGAACTAGCTGGAAGGTAAGTCACTTGAATTCAGTCACTCGCAGTTGATTAATGTCATGCACAGAACCTTGGAGAGTGCCAAACCATTCTCCTCATCGCTAGCATGTTGCAAGCAAAGAATAAGCAATTCCGCATCATCACCCCGTATGACGCTCAGCGGTGTTTGATCGAGGAGCGTTTAAAGCTCCAGGGGCTTGGTTGGGAGGATAAATGTTTCAACGTTGACTCGTTTCAAGGTTCGTTCTCGCAACATATATTTGCAACCATCATGTTTACGGATCGTTTGTGGTAGGTAACGAAGAAGATTACATTGTGATCTCACTCGTGCGGTCCACGGTGCTCGGATTCCTCGCTGATTTGCGCCGGACTAATGTCATGCTTACTCGATGCAAGAAAGGCATGATCATCTGCACGAACCAGAAATTTATGAAGGGGGCAGGACGGAATTCACTTGTAGGCAGCCTGTTAAAGTATTACGAGCACGAGTGGATTGAGAAGGACGAGTTGGAGAGGATTGTGGTGTAGGTGGGCTCGCGAAGATGCTAGAATGGTCGTTATCGGATTTCAACAGGGCTTTGATGCTTTCGTGATGATGGTTAGTTGTACGATATTTTAGTGTTGGTTTGTACGATAGCTCGCGCGGTTGGCTGTATCTGGATCAAAGGCATTTTTTTTTCTTTTTCTTGGAATAAAGAACGAGTTTTCTCGTTTCAGTTGAGTCTGAGTGGTGTATTGCGTGGTATGCGATAAGTAGGTATATTTTAGTTTTGTGCGAATGAGAGTAGGGTGGTCTAGTGGAGTTTGGACGTCGTAATCACTGACACAAGTTGGGCAGGTATTGTGCAGCGACAAGCAAGGACGGTCGTTGATAACTGTTTCATTATGTATAGAATTCTCGATCGAGCATCCAACAAGCTTCTATTGAACCGGCATGGGTGTTCGATCGTTTGCGATTATCTACAGTCAAAATCAAACAATCTCCATCAGAGTGGGCCTTCGCGCTCACGAGCCAAGGCACAAACCTGAATCAATGCCACCAGGCCTATAACCGTGCGTGCACCCTTGTGCCCATCCCATCCACTGATTTCTTCGTTCTGTCTTTCAACTCGAGCTCTCCAGCCTCGCAAATCACCCGAGCATCCTGGAGTGCATCTGCAATGTGCTGCTTGAACTTGTTCGTGGAGGTGAGCGAGAATGATAATTTGGACTCGACGCAGAATTTGATGCAGTGGCGTGCTATGAGATCTGTGAGAGGACAGAGTATGAGCTTGGTTTAGTGGCGGGGATGAGTGTGAACGGAATTGCCAATTAAATTCGAAAATAAACACCCTCGGTCGACCTGATGGTGATGTCGGTGATAGTAACAAATGCAGACGGGAAACCATTACAGATGAAGAATCCCTCACGGAGGTTCGACGATCCGGCAAAACAATTATGAAAGAAACGAATCAAACTTACAATTGATCCCATAACCATCCTCCAAGCCAGTGCCTCGGAATTGGTCACCGGAGCTCAAGCAACTAGTGCTGAGCTTCCACTCCTGAGAGAGAGGGTGCGTATGTTTTTGCGGGGGGATAAGTGGGACTTGAACTCGAGGGAGAGTCCAAGGGGGAGGAAGCAGATGTGGATGCATCTACAAGGAGTTCTTCGAGCATCAACTTCAGGCCTAATAAGTGCCTATCAATTCCACGACCCGTAGCAGCTTCCCTCGTGCGCCTTGTATGCGTCTGGACGGTGTGTTGGAGGAGAGGAAGAAGTGCGTGAGGCTGATCAGATGAATGGATCAAAAACCATGAGTTCCCGTCGTCACTGGAGGGTATGAAATGAATTCACCTCCACTTCGTGTTGGCCCCCCTCTATTACGTACTCAGTTCCACATCCCCATTCCTTAGCAGCTTGAACAAAGTCTAACCCCTCCACACTTGCACTCCTTACGCACTCTGTACGGCCAGCATTGAACATTCGCGTAAGGGCTGTTTTGTAGGTCGCTGTGAGGAATCCGCGGGTGCGGTACCAGGCGAGTTGAAGTGCAAGTTTAGTGTAGGCGCCTGGTGGAAGGCGGGCTAATAGTGAAATGATCAATGACCTTTGCAACAAAAGAAAGAAGGGCACGGGAGAGGGGGAAAATATTGAGCCCCGCGGGTATGAATTTCAAATGATCACCACAACACAAGACCCGGAAAGTAACAAAACGCTACAAAATCGACAAGGAGTCGCAAACTCACCAACACTACTTATCCAATCTGCTCCATATTCCCCGAATTCCAAAATTCCTACCTGAGTTATTGACAGAGATCTGAGTCCGTCCCTCCACTTCTCTTATTCGAGCTTCGATCCGCTCGTCTGTCACCCAGTCAAACCGGATTCATCCTTTGCCACCATCGCTCACACGAGCCTCTCCTGAAGTAAGAGGGCGAGTAATAGGCTCTGAGAATGCAGAAGAGTCAATACCAGCAATGACACCATGATCAAAGACAATGCTGGGCACTAAGGTATCGACAGGTGCGCGTTCACCCATTACGCTAGCACAGGTATTGCGCTCTAATGATAGGGTCAGGCTTTTGTCGAAGAATCTGTTCCAAGCTCGGGGAAGGGAGCGGATGTTGTGAAGGTGTGCATGGATTTCTGCGTCGGAGTCTAAGCTGGGATAGTTGGGAAAGAGTGAGGTAGGGATGGGTAATGCATGGCATGACAGTGTAATGGTCGAGGGAAAGAACCACTATAGATTCGTTGATAGTGCGAAAGGTCGAGGCATTTGTGGGTGAAGGGGAGAGCAAGTGTTGATAATTCTATGAGCAAGAAAATAAGAGTCGAAAGACGCACTGACCTCTGCCACTTCCGGATGTCCCAATGGATCGTTTACCCCCCTCGAACCCCTACAGACATCAATGGCCCAATATGGACTGGCGGCGCGGAACATGTCAGGCCTGCATGCATGGAATGGGGCACCCCCTAGCAAGAGGTGATCGAGGTAGAGGGTCAGCTGCAGGGGTTAGTAGAGACCAGTACAGGCCGACTGGCAGGAGCGAGCAAGGGTTGGGTTAGCTTAGTCAGCACTTAGGTTCACGGGTTGCCACTTCAGCGCCCTACCGTGACGATGGCTTTAGCTTTTCCTCGGGGGATTTTCCAGTTATCATAAACTTATGGGGGTTCGAGAAGATGTTTCAACGAGAACGCGATGCCAAGAACTTAAACATCATTCCATCAAGCTCGTTCACTGTAAGTTATTCTCCTTCATCAATTTCTTCATGTACTCACAATATCATCTGACCAAGTGAGATCAACTAATATGGCAAACATGGATTGCCTAAGCATTCCGATTCACTAACTTAATGATGTAAACTTGCCAGCGGTGGCCCTTCATCGGATAAACCTCTCCAAGAACAGGAATGTTACGGTACTCAAGCATCTTCCGAGTACTGGCAAATCCAACCCTCCAAGTTGTGCTTTCTTGAAAGTTATATCCAACTCAATCATTTTGATCAGAACCTAGGTCTATTGAAATGTGCTCATTTTCATCACACATGTAATATATATATTGTCCGACAGTAAATTTCCTGCAGCTTTTCTCAATTGTTGTTCTGACTCGCTACTTTCCAAAGGATACTGCCGATGATGTACAATAAGTGTACCTTTGGTGCACTCCAAATGATAGTACACGATGTTAGTACTTCTGGAACAAGGTTGCGGCCGGCGAAGCTCGACCTTTATCTAGTAGGACTCATCTTATCTGTTCTCTCGTCACTTAGTCTCGTTCTTTACTTGTTCAATCTCTTCTACTACGTCATGTTGACACTCAACGTCACTTGGCTGGACCTATGTCTTGCTGGTATCGGAGTGTACCTGGTCAAGCAGGTGTTAAACAAGAAGCCTGCATCATATCCCCCCGGCCCCCGTGGGTGGCCTCTCGTCGGGAATATCCAAGACATACCTCAAATCGAACCTTGGCTCACCTTTGCGGAATGGGGCAAGAAGTATGGTGAGTACCTCATATTTCCCAACACGATATATTTCAACTCCATGCTTCACAGGCGATATCTCACATGTCGAGGTTCTCGGGCAGCACATCATTGTGCTAAATTCAGTCAAGAGTGCGGTGGACATGTTGGACAAGAAAGGCACCATGTACTCGGACCGTCCTGTTCTGCCTATGGGTGGCGAACTTGTTGGCTGGAAGCATGTTATGGCTCTTCTTCCGTATGGCGACCGCTTCCACCAGTTGCGCAAGAACATACATCAAGTCATAGGCAATCACGCTGCCTTGAATGTCTACCACCCGATCGAGGAGATTGAGACTCGCCGATTCCTGAAGCGTGTGTTTTCGAACCCCGAGCAACTGCAAGCTCATATTCGACAGTATGTTGTATGATTTACCATTGCATGAATGGGACCTTGAATCCTGATAGCACCGCTGGTGCTATCATTCTACAAATCTTTCATGGTTATGAGGTGAAGGAGAACAACGATCCATTTATCGACCTTGCGGACCGCGCTGTGGACCAATTCTCGCGGTCCACTGCTCCCGGCGCCTTCATGGTTGACATCATGCCATTCTGTAAGACTATAAGACTCTGACCTTTTCTGATCTGATCATTCCAGTGGCCAACGTCCCCGAGTGGTTCCCTGGTGCTGGCTTCAAGCGCTCAGCCCGTGAATGGTCCAAGACTCGCGAGGATATGGCTGCCATACCCTACAAGTTCGTTAAGGATCAGATGGTAATAAACATTTGTAGTTTTGCGATCACGAGTTGAACATTTCTCAGGCTGCTGGCATTGCCTCGACGTCTTTCACCTCGAATCTTTTAGAAGGTCGTACTTTATCTGTGGAAGAAGAAGATGTGGTGATGTGGTCTGCTGCAACCCTATACTCGGGTGGTGCCGACACGGTTGGCTCCTCCCTTCATATCACAATATTTTAAGACTAACACCTGTCTCCACAGACAGTTTCTCCAATCTACGCGTTTTCCCTTGCTATGACACTGTTCCCTGATGTGCAGAAGAAGGCCCAGGCTGAAATAAACGCCGTTGTTGGTCCTGATCGTCTTCCCTCCTTCGCAGATCGCGACTCTCTTCCTTATACTGAGGCCCTTGTGAAAGAAGTTTTTCGCTGGAGTGTTGTCGGCCCCACCGGTATGTGGATCTCGTTTGTCGCATTCTTTATGCCGAACGGTATTGATCGCTCAATTGACAGCTATGTCCCATCGCGTCACAGAGGACGATATCCATGACGGGTACTACATCCCAAAAGGTTCCTTGGTAATACCTAACATTTGGTTAGTACTTTGATTTTTCCGTATTCAACATATTAACCAAATTGAGAGGCAGGTTCATGCTTAATGACCCGCAGACATATGCTAATCCCTCGCAATTCAACCCTGAACGCTTCTTGGACAATAACGGAAAAGATCCCGAACTCGAACCTCACAAGATCTGCTTTGGTTTTGGTAGACGGTAAGCATGGAGTTGATTTTAAGTGCAATGCTAACTTTCTGCTCTGTAGTATCTGCCCCGGTACGTCTAAATCATGCTCAACAAACAGTATTTTGACATTGTTTGCCTTCATGGACAGGTCTCCACCTAGCTGATGCCTCCGTCTGGATATCCACTGTGATGTCACTCGCAGTGTTTGATATCTCCAAAGTTGTTGAGAAGGGTGTCGAAATCACCCCTGAAGTTGACCATACATCAGGCACGGTCAGGTATGTCGTGCATCTTATCGCATCCGCAATGCTGGTTTGATAGATGTACTCCCAGTCACCCCAAGCCGTTCAAGTGCTTTATCAAGCCTCGCTCTGCCAAAGCCATTGCGCTCATTCAGCGGGATGTCAACTATTAATTCTGATCATCTAAATCTGTCATACATTCCCACATTGCACATATTTTGTTTCATCTTGTTGAATCAATGCTACTCATGGTCTACATTATAATACACACATCTAGCACCCCCCGCCCAACAATAAAGAGCACGATCACGCCCTTGAGCTCTCCTGTCAATGACCGATGCCTTGACGCGTGTCAACTATCCTTGACTACTACCATCTCACGTCGTTGTGAACCCTCTCAACCGTGGAGCTCCAAGCCTTGTGAACATCGAAAACATATTCAAACACCGTAGCCTGTCTATCAACTTCAAAAGTTCTGCCGGCCCCAGTGTGAGGAATGTCATCACCGCGTGTCCCGTCGTGCCATTACATTGCATGAAGGAATTCAAGGCATGGGAAGGTACACAAAGTGGTGATGGTGCTTTATATACAGGACGACGCGAGTGTCCCTTCACTTCCATGTGAGTAAGGCAATCCCAGTGCACCATAGGTTGGACGTAAACGAAAGTACTTGTGTTTCAGCTTGCAGTGGATCATCGAATGGTGCTTCTAAATGATAGCGCGCCCTGACTACACAAGTTGCTCAAGTCATTGATAACAGAAAATCAGCTTAATCGCCGTCGGAGTACTACTGACATACGCACGAGACCTCTCAAGAATGAGAATCAAATAGTTAAGCATACACCAGACAGTCTGGCAACATTGGCGTTTGATAAGTGTTAGACAAAACCTATCATAAATAAGCACTGGAAACATTGAAGTATGAGATTCGTCGCAGTACTGGCATCACTGAAAGCCAACCAGCATGAGATGACAACATTCACCTTTTAAGTTGGGCGAAATCTGATTCACCCTTAAATGCCTATATGTGGTCCCCGACATCCACGTTGAGACAACTCATCCCCAGAAAGAGATGGCTGACGAGATGGCTGACGATAGCCATCTTCAACTATAGACTGAGCTATGCCATCATAAGTGGCATATACGCACGCCTCAGCGTCGAATGCCAGCAACCACTCTGGCATGGGAAGCTCGAAACTTTTCCCGGAGTCACCAGGTTTAGCCCCATGCCATTTATTACGCGTAGTCCCCCCCAACAGCTGTGCATCACGCACCCGTTGATACCTGTACAATATGATGCAGAAGTTTCCGCATCTTTTTTGGGGCAAATTATTCCACATACCGGATGGATTCCCATGTCCTTGTGCCTAGTGGAACACTGTTTTTGCCAGCAAGATTCAGGGTAACTGCTAGAGTTGTGCCATCCTCAATGGCCTGAGATGCGCCCTGCATGCTTGATCTGCGAACCACATGGTGAGCAAACGGAATCAGCATCAATCAGCCATACTTCCTCACGGTAAGAACGGGTGAGCAGCATCACCAATCAATACTATGCGACCAGATTTGCTGACCCAAGTAGGAAGAGGGTCATGTACGAGAAGCTTCCAGTCGATGCACGAGGGAGCTTTGGAGACGACTGCAGCGCACCGTGGGTCCCAGTCTTTCACAATGTCGAGTACGTCTTCTATCTTACCCGGGGACGACCAGTCGCCATCAACAGCTGTGTTGTCTCTAAAATTTTACTATTTAGCTCCGAATATCACGAAAAGTACAATTCACACACTTGTGAGTGATAAAAAAACAAATAACTTTACCTCCAAAGGAGGAACTTGCTATAAAGTGCACGTCTTTACCTACGAGGGGTGAGTACTGAGTAATGAAGAAAACCTGGTGGACAACCCCACCTACCAATCCACGCGTGCAACTGATCCCCATGAATGGTCAGGAAGTCAGTCAATGGGTCTGTCGTAATACCGTGCTCTTCAGCGTCGAACCACGCTCGGTAAATAGCGTAACCAGAAGGTTTGGGGTTGTCGCAGTACCCCTTCATTGATGTTGACCGGTAAGTTAACCAACAAGGTAAAATTCCAACTTACGATAACAAATTTTCTCGCCAAACTCTTCACTCCATCTGCAGCAACGATGACATCGGCATCAAACGTTTCACCTGTTTGGATTTTGACACCAGCCTTTCTATTTGCTTCATCCTCCCGATATTCTACGACCTGATGTCCCATGCGAATCTCGATGCCCAAGGACTTCGCATGCTCCAAAAGGACTTCGTGAAGAAGCGCTCGATGACCATTGTAAGCGAACGCTCCGAAAAGCGGTAAGGACAGCTCTTGCACTTGAATGAGACCTCCGAGGTAATCATGAACGTGAAGTTCGCGTGCGTTGACGGAGACGTCCCACAATCTGTCGCATCTTCAATTACTTTGATCAGAAAAACGACCTTTATTGTACTTGTCATGGAGGCCCCATTTGGCCAGGATGCGACCAGCATTTACGCCAAGGCTCAGCATCTAGTACTTTGTCAGCCCTCAAGCTGCGAATCATCACCCCAAATGAACTCACGTCGCCTTGATTCCGCCATCAGTTCAGAACAATAGGTATGCGATAGTTACTGACCTAGGTGCTTCAATTCATGTACTTTCTCAAGGATCATCACTCGGTGACCCTTTCTTTTGCACTCAATTGCACAGGCAATACCTCCAAAGCCAGCGCCGACGACAATGACATCAATTCCTGTGTCATGAACGCCATCACCAGTAAGAGGTACTTGATCCTGATGTTCCGCCATGATAGTTGATTAGCACAGTAATGAGAACGTGCTATAAGAACCCCAATCAGTTACGTGTGCCACACCATACCGAAGATGGACAAATGCGCAATGCGATGGTCGGGCATTGGATCAAAATATTTGCCGGAGCACCTTATCTACACACGTCATTGTGGGTACCGAGTAACTTTGGCTTCTCGAGTGTTATCATGTGAGTTGAATGCCAAACATGGATGTCTTGTATCAACTCACCATCATACAACGATTGTGACACCGAAGCGTCAGGTTCAATTGCTTGCAACAGCACAAAAATGCTTGGATTGCATGTCGACCTTAAAGCTATCTTGTGCGTCACTGAGCACTTGTAAGCATTTCCGAGTTAAGTCACCAGTAGTATATTACCAGTCGGACTGATGCATATCTTGGAGTGTTTGGACAATCAGAACGAACTTCAACGAAGCGTATTCGCTGTAGTGAACTAGCAGTCACCCGGACCTTCAGTAAGTCTCACCATGTTGCGCCGAGCCAGTGATTCGGTATGAGAACTGTGAGGTGGTGTCCTGATATAGTATTGAATCGAGAGTGCAAGCTTGAAATGACCAGGTCATCCCCCAGGCCCAGAACACCCTCAAGTTTTGTAGAAGTACGGTCGCGGAAGGATGCGCACGAACAAATATTGCTAGACTCTGGGGGATCATCGGCTTTGTCGATCCTGTCAGAAAATATTCACGCAGGGTCTCGACTGAGTTGGTTCCAATGAGTCTGTTCCAATACGGTTCTGAAAGGTACGTGATTGCAACCGACTTCGGAAATTTCCGACATTACTCATTCTCTTCTACTGGGTCATGTTGATACCTAACGTCACTTGGCTGGACTTATGCCTTGCTGGCATCGGAGCATACCTGGTCAAGCAGGTGTTGAACAAGAATCTTACACCATATCCTCCCGGCCCCCGTGGGTGGCCTCTCGTTGGGAACATCCAAGACATACCTCAAATCAAGCCTTGGCTCACCTTTGCGGAGTGGGGAAAGAAGTATGGTGAGTGTCCCCTGTTGTTCCAAAATAATGCATTCAAATTCTGTGCTTTCTAGGTGCTATCTCGCATGTTGAGATCCTGGGTCAGCACATCATCGTACTAAATTCAGTCAAGAGTGCGGTGGACATGTTAGACAAGAAAGGTGCTGTTTACTCTGACCGTCCTGTTCTACCTATGGGTGGCGAACTTGTTGGCTGGAAATCCACTTTGGTTCTTCTTCCGTATGGTGACCTCTGTCGCCAGCAGCGCAAGAACATACACCAAACCATGGGCAATCGCGCCACCTTGGAAATCTACCACCCAATCGAGGAGATTGAATTTCACCGATTCCTGAAGCGTGTGTTTTTGAACCCCGAGCAACTGCAAGCTCATATTCAACAGTATGTTGTACGATTTACCCTTGCATGAATGGGACCTTGAATTCTTATAGCACCGCTGGTGCTATCATTCTGCGAATCTCTCACGGTTATGAGGTGAAGGAGAATAACGATCCATTTATCGACCTCGTGGACCGCGCCATGGACCAATTCTTGCGGTGTACTACTCCCGGCGCGTTCATGGTTGACATCATGCCATCATGTAAGACAATAGGACTCTGAATTTTACTTGTAATTGGTCTGATTGTTTCCAGTGGCCAACGTCCCCGAGTGGTTCCCCGGTGCTGGCTTTAAACGCTTAGCGCGTGAATGGTCCAAGACTCGCGAGGATATGGCTGCCATACCCTACAAGTTCGTTAAAGATCAGATGGTAACAAGCATTTATAGTTTTGCAATCACGAGTTGAACGTTTCACAGGCTGCTGGCACTGCCCTGACGTCTTTCACCTCGAATTTGTTGGTGGGCCGTTCTTTATCTGCGGAAGAGGATGACATGGTGATGTGGTCTGCTGCAACCCTATACGCTGCTGGTTCCGAGACGGTTGGCTACCCCCTTTATGTCATTATATTTTGAAACTAACACCTCTCTCCACAGACAGTTTCTACAATCTACTCATTTTTCCTTGCTATGACACTGTTCCCTGATGTGCAGAAGAAGGCCCAGGCTGAAATAGACGCCGTTGTTGGTCCTGATCGTCTTCCCTCCTTCGCAGATCGCGACTCTCTTCCTTATACTGAGGCCCTTGTGAAAGAAGTTTTTCGCTGGAGTGTTGTCGGCCCTACCGGTATGTGGATCTCATCTATCGCATTCTCTATTGGCCGAGCGGTATCGATCACTCAATTATCAGGTATCCCCATCGCGTTACCGAGGACGATATCCATGACGGGTACCACATCCCAAAAGGTTCCCTGGTAATACCTAACATTTGGTAAGTCTTTTTTTCCGTATTCGACATATTAACCAAATTGAGAGGCAGGTTCATGCTTAATGACCCGCAGACATATGCTAATCCCTCGCAATTCAACCCTGAACGCTTCTTGGACAATAACGGAAAAGATCCTGAACCCGAACCTCGCACGATCTGCTTTGGTTTTGGTAGACGGTAAGCATGGAGTTGATTTTAGGTGTAATGCTAATTTTCTGCTCTGTAGTATCTGCCCCGGTATGTCTAAATCACACTCAACAAAACAGTATTTTGACGTTGTTTGCTTTCATGGACAGGTCTCCACCTCGCTGATGCCTCTGTCTGGATATCCACTGTGATGTCACTCGCAGTGTTTGATATCTCCAAGGTAGTCCAGAAAGGTGTTAAGATCACCCCTGAAGTTGACCATACATCAAGCACGATCAGGTATGTCGTACATCTTATCGCATCCGTGGTGCTGGGTTTTGATAGACGCACTCCCAGTCACCCCAAGCCGTTCAAGTGCTCTATTAAGCCTCGTTCCACAAAAGCCGTTGCGCTTATTCAACAGGATGCTAACTACTAAGGCCACAAAGATGATTCTCGTCATCTAAATCTGTCATACATCCTGATATTGTATACATTTGTTTCATCTTGTTAAATCAACACTACTCATGGTCCACATTATAATGCACACATCTGGCACCTCCCACACAATAATAAGGAGCAGGTTCACGTTCTTAAGCTCTCCCGCCAATGGCTGACGGCTTGACGCGTGGCAACTACTCTCAACTACTGCCATCTCACACCGCTGTGTATCCCACAACCCCTCTCAACCGTGGAGCTCCAAGCCTTGTGAACATCAGAAACACATCCAAATCTCGTAGCCTCTCCATCAACCTTATAATATCATCACCCCATGTCCCGTCATGCTATTCATTACATGAGGGATGATAGTGCTTCTTATACAGGACGACACAGGCGTCTCTTCGCTTACATGTAAGTAAGGCGATCACCGTGCACCATAGGTTGGATGTAAAACGAAAGTGCCTGTGCTTCAGCTTGCAGCAGATCATCGAATAGCATTTCTGAACGAACACAAGATGATCGTGTGTGCTCCGTTTCTCGAGTATCTCATACATACATCACTACACGATAACACTTTACTCAAGTATATACCTTTAAAATTTTCATGAGCAATGACATGTACCAACCTGTCAACCCCCAAACTTCTAAACGTCCCTCCTTCCCGCCACCCACTTCCGGATATTCCAATGGATCGTTTACCCCCTCGAACCCTTGCACAAGGTCAGAGACATCAATGGCCCAATATGGGCTGGCGGCGCGGAACATATCGGGCCTGATACGCGCAGGGGATATAAATGCGGAGAGGGGAAGGTGGAAGACGGTCGCCACCTCGGCCTGAGATATCGTGAGCGAGGAAAGCGAGATGGAGGGCAAGGGATCATCTAGGGATCCGGTATCTGTTCCATGACTGCCACGTGGGTATACGAAGCCCTGCGCCCCGAATTCAGGTAGGAACAAAACCAGTGGTGAGTGAGAATAAACGTACGACGTAGGGCCATACTCTGAGACCCATGAGACTTCGCTCAGGCGGGCCAAATTGGCCGAGAATGTCGATCTGCCCATCATCTAGGCCTACTTCTTCTTGTGTTTCTCTGAGCGCAGCAGCTAGAAATGATGCGTCTGCCTACGAGTGTAATGAGGAAGCACACACAGATTCTAGAATAGACTCACTGGGTCGACCCTTCCACCAGGGAAGCTGGTGATCATCCATCATCATGAGCTCCAGGATACTTGGCATTTCTGGGGTTGAACATACCTGACTTCGCCCGCATGGGACCTCAGTTTACCGCCTCGCAGTTCGAGTAGCACACCAGGTACGCCATCGACATTACACAGTGGAACAAGGACTGCTGCGTTGACTTCTCCTGGAATCACTGGAGTCTTGGATGTTGTTGCATGCGCGATAATTGCGCTTTGGAGGGTGCGTAGGGAGCTGCGAGTGAAGGGGGAGGTTAGGGATATGATGGACGCGGAAGGTTGGACATGGAGGGTCGATGCATGTGCTGCGGCTGTTATGAACGTCCTGGTCAACATATCTCCATGATACTAGAAATAAAGGGACGCGGATACTGCCAGTAATCGTGCTAGTAACTTTGTAGACTACTAGTACTCCAGGTCGCCCAATGGGAAAATGGGTCATGCATATACTAAGGGGTCAAAAGAGGTGGGGGGTCGCCTTCTTTCTTTGGCGAGCGCAAAAGGAAGGAGCGACGTGACTAGGTTGTGGGCAGAAGTTTGCCAATGGCCCTTGTGTCTTGCACGCCAGAATGTCGCTAACATGGTCCAAAGGTCGTCCTCAGCTCGAGTGTGTCCCTGGGCCCTGCAGTCTACATTCGATCCCTCCTTGCAAACTGTTGCTTTTCACCCTTCCCCCATGGCATCAGACTCGTATAGCACGGTTTGGCTTTTCTGTGCAAATCTCGTTCTCGGCGCACTATGTTGCCTTAGCCCTGTGCTACTAGAATATTTGAGTACTGTGTCTCGCTCAACCTACGACGAGTGTAATATGTTCGGTCTGCATCACAGGACGCTTTGAGACTCATAACATGTCCCCCAACTGATCGCTTTCACTTTTGACTGACCTTGACATTACTCTCCCGTTGGTGCTATTTTAGTCCCAGCGCTTAGTGCAACTACACAAGCGCCCCAGATCGTGCCGAGTTGCCCTCAACAACATGGAAATACATGTGCAGCATGACCTACACCTTAGGCCTCAACCCCCAACGTTCAACCCTCTCACCTGAACTTCATTCACAGTCCCCATATCTACATCCCTGTCTTCTTCTATCACTACCATTCTGTCCACCACCCAACCTGTCCTCGATCTTTGTTGTTTTGCGTCATCGCACTATCATGCCCGGTAGCTTGGAAGGCCAATATATCAGTCTTGAAGATGAGTCACTCTATATCACATTCGCATGCGTTTGGTGATCCTTACGTTCTGTCAACAATTATCAGCGGAAAAAATCTTAAAGTTCCCTCCTGGCGCGTTCCCACAGGCATTTACGTATCTATCAATCTCGACTCGAGCAGGCGCTGGAAATTAGCTATCGGTGTCTTATCATCTGACGAATCTATAGGGTGGCACGATACTGTGACCTTGTACATGTTCATTGAGACTTTCCGACACGACTCGAGGATTGATTTTTTGTTTGTAGATCATTAGATGCGTCGCCTACGTTATCAGTGGAGGTCGGGGCTTCCTTCGAGCTCGATCGCATGCTGGGCAACGGGGAGGTTGTCGGAAAACTTGAAACATGGGATGCGCTACTCGATCATTCAAATGAGCCTTTCGGTGAGTAATCTCCTCACGCATGCGCATATACTCACATCTCGTAGACATCTCCTTCCCTTCCGTTCGTTGTGTTCACCCTTCCCTCACACTGCAGGCTGCCGTTCTATATGATTGCGACAATCAGGATAGCGCCCTGTTTGACGTGAGTGATATTAGCCTCTGTGGTATTGGCTTTTGTTGACAGAACACCTGCTGTAGTCTATCGGTAAATGTCAAATTGCTCAGAACACAGATGCGGGCCTTGAACGATTTGCCGCATACGTGACAAGCAACACAATCTCTCACCTGAATGATGCTGTAAAGCATTTTCAGTTGGTCCTGGACCAATGCCTGGTCGGCCATCCTGACCAGGCAGCGGCTCTCACTAACCTCGCGTGGGCCCACCTTCAAGGCTACATTTGGAAGGATTTGAGACATCGACTCTATCACTTCTCTCTTCCCCAAAATTCTTCCATTGCATCCGCAGGGTCACCCCGATCATCCTTTATCTATCTATCACCTCCTTAAAGCGTTGGCCTGGCGCTGCAGCAAGTCGCCTGTGGACGCGGCATCATGTGTCATGCGCCTTGACAATCTACGAGACGCAATTAAACTTGTTGAGCAGGGCCACAGCTAGCAATAGTCCCTGACCTCTCGCCTGAGAAGACCTCGAGTCGATAAATGCCAACTTTGCCTGCAAGTTCTCGGAGCTCAGCAAGCGTATTTCTGACGCTCAAGGTTCCACGGTCAGCACAGACCGAACTGCTGTTGATCAGGCTGCAACACAGCACAGGAGACCTATGGAGCAGTGGGGAGCCACAGTAGCTAGATCCGTAATCTTAAAAGGTTTCTTGTGGTTCCTGCTCCCACCTTCATATAAAGACTTGCAAGCAGCAGCGCGTCATGGCCCAGTCATCATCCTCATTGCGAGTCAATATTCGTGCAGCACCATCATTGTCCCGACGTCAGGAAAACCCCGTCATGTTCCCTTGCCGTCTGTCACTCTCGCAGACCTCAAGGATCGCTTCGCCAGCGCAATATGGCACCCATCTGTCATGGGCACAAAGGTGCCGCGGAATGATCTAATAGTCCTCTTGTGGACTGTATGGCACGAGATCATGATACCCATTGTCCACGTACTCAAGCATGACCTCAAATTAAAACGCCGCTCTCGAATATGACTGTGTCCAACTATAGCTTTCACGTCTATCCCTCTCCACGCAGCCCACCCTTTTCGAACCAATGAAGGTTACTCTGAAAAGGGGACATGCCTGGAGGATCTCTACATCTGTTCTTACACGCCGACACTTTCGGCTCTGGTCAGATCTAGACCGATGATGAAGAAACGTGTCCCTCCGTCCTTCATGGCGATCAGACAGACTCAACCAGTTTCAGGGAAAGGCAAAGCGCTCTTGGCTGTCGACAGCGAGATCAAGCTTGTCCGACAGCTCGTCCCTGTGATGACCAACCGTACCACTATTTCTGGCGACGCAGTCACACCAGCAGGTGCACTTCAAGCATCACAAGAGAATACCTAGGTGCACCTTGCCTGTCATGGGAAGCAGGACCAGACGCCGCCTTACAATTCTCATTTCGCCATGAGAGATGAACCTCTGACGCCGCCTGATATCACGGAGAAAGACATTCCGCATGCCGAGTTCGCGTTCTTTTCGGCATGTCATACCACCGTCGGCGATGAGGAGACGCCCGATGAGGTCATTCACCTCGCGGCTGGACTGCAATTTTCAGGGTTCAAGAGCGTTGTTGGCACACTGTGGGAGGTTGACAACGCTGTCGCAAAACATGTTGTCGAAGCTTTCTACAAGAACATGGTCAAGGATTTGGAGGGTGGTGATGTCATGGACTGTACGAAGGCGGCATGGGCACTCAACCGTGCTACAAACGCCATGAAGACAAAAGTGCCGCTCGAGCAGAGGATGGTTTCCATACATACTGGTGTGTATTTTTATATCGCATTGCTTTGATCTGGTACAATTCTTCAAGTTGTCTATTTGAATTCTCTTTCATTATCACCCAGTGACTACGTCTGTAGGCGTTCATGGTCCCAAAAAATATTGCATAGATTGAATATTGGGTGACGTGACGACAAAAACGTGTAATAATTAAAAGACCCGTACGATGGACTGCTGATTTGAAGAGATACACCAAAACATTGAATGAGTACTGTCCACAGCAAGAGGGTACGACTGCCTATTGGAAGTCACTGAAGAACATAACAGTATTACATATGGACCCTCTGGCTTATGGACAAGTGTTGACGATTGGGGCGGTGTAGAAGGATACGATCTCTTCGTGGAGGAGCTCTTTGAGCTGTTCACGGCTGATATGGTTCTTGTGTACTGTCGAATATGATGAATATAAATATGCATGTGCGCTTGTTAAACCCGAGTACTTACGGTCAACTTCGAAGAACTCCAGGTCGGGCGGTGGTGTGATTGGTTCGTCATTGGGATTGTACTGGATCACATGTAAGTTTGTGCGCTCCACGAGTAAGGAGTGCACATACTTATGCTTCAAGATATGGGTGAGCCAAAGCTTCTTTGACTGTTATGCATTTCTTAGGATCAAAAGTCCAGGAAAGGGGTTTGAACTACCATTCAAATAGATGAGAAGATCGTGACTTACGACAGTCTTCGTCAGGAAGTCTACAGCCAAAGGGTTGGCGTTGGAGAAGGTTTGCGAATGGCTGGCGTTTGCGGGAAGGAAGAGCTCGAATATAATCTCATAATCTGCATGCGGTAATGACACAAAACCCGCCCAGGGTTGGTGTGCCGATAACATCCCAAGATTTGAGCTACTGGTGGTAATTTCTACCGGAAACAGTGGTTTTCCTGAGAGCATCTCAGCCAAGATGCACCCCACCGACGTTGATAGCTTTAGTATATTGCTTGAACGTCAGCATGATCTCAGGGGCTCGGTATCAGCCTGTAGCGACATATTCGGTCATAAACCCGATTTCCGTGCCTGATGGTTCGGCAATCTTTGCTGATCATGCCAGCCCAAAGTCACAGACTTTGAGATCACAATTTGCATTAAGGAGATTGGAGGGTTTGAGGTCACGGTGGATGACATCATCAGAATGTAGAGCATGATGTGCGAGCAGGTTCTGATAAACGAAATATTGAATAATGTATTCTGTACGCACGGCACACTTCTTTGAAAGTGTCCAGAGAGGGAAGCTTGATGATGTCCAAAATTGAAATGATCTTCAAAGTTATGACTGAGTACGTAAATATGACGAATAGCAGACATGCTCACATTCTCCCTTACACCAGCTTCACTGAGGAATTTGAGGAGCTTGAGTTCTCGCAGTGTCCGTAAGCAGAACATGGAATGATCGAAGAGTCCGATCTTGATAGCAACCTTGCGGCCACTGGGCCGGTGTACAGCTGAACAGAGGATACCACATGTAATATCGTTACAAGCGCTGTAAGCTAACGCGTGTAGCGGAACAGAAAGCAACGAGACTATATCGCGGCGGATACTTTCATTAGTCTGAACTCTAGACCAGGGAGTTGCCAAATGGGTTTCATGACTGAATTTGACAGTGCGCGAACACCAGCACCACGGTGCTCTCCGGCCCGAGGTGGAGGGACAATATTTGGCTTGCTTGCTGCTGGAGCCATACAGGCTCTGGTCCTCATGGGTCGTGGGACTAGCATGGAATTGCGTAACTGTTCGAGTAAACTAACGCAGGTGAGAATAATAACGATCAACACTGATGTCGGTTTGCTTGTACCATCGCAGACCACACCGAAGGATGAGAATATGAAAGCATTTCTGAGGCCACCAGTGGTAGAAGATTATGTGCAAGAAATACGACAGGATCTTACTGTTCAAGCTGATCTTGACTATATCTTGGTCTCTGCAGGTGCAAGCTTCAGTTGGTGTGGATTACGGCCTCGTAAAAGAACGACGTCAAACTGACCAGACAAATGTCCCACTTCTTAACGGTCTCTGAAAACCGATCGTGGCCTCTACGCAGTTGTCGTCTCGTGTCTAAATAGCTAAAACCCAGTTTGTACTTGACTGAAAGCGTGTTGCCGTGCCTAACCACGACGCCCGTAGCTTTCAACTCAGTAAAAAATGGTATCGTCTGAAAGACCATCTCGACGTGTCTCGTTTCCTTGTACTAGTCTGGCCATATAAGTTCCTTGTTATCTTAAACGAGAGCGGTGAAATATACCCCGTCGTTGAACGACAGCATTTAACGATGGGGGTGCGCCAGTAATAAGGACAGCAAAGCTGAACCACCTTATGGATACAAAAGCACTCAATATTTGAAACGGCGAATCGTGAGGGATGCAGAAACGGAGGGATGACTAGCATGACGGTAGAACTTGAAGAAGAGACCGCCAAGTCCGGGCCGCTGCACAACAGATCTGCGCGGAGCCAACGCAAAACATCATCACTTTTGTAGCATCCTACCTTCACATTTGCCATGGACGCTGTTGAAAAAGCCAATACAGCGAGACAAAAGCGATGGTAAGCTCCTTTCTGTCGGTTTCATTCGGTAAATTGTTGATTCATCACGCTGCAGGGTAAAAGACCGGAAAGTTGGTGAAGGTACATACGCTGTCGTGTACCAAGGTGAGGTAGCTCATCTGCTTAGAAATAAGTCTTTCTCTGACTCTTGTCAGGCCGAGAGGCATCAACAAGTCGCAAGGTTGCCATAAAAAAGATAAAAGTTGGACAATTCAAAGATGGGCTCGACATGTCTGCCATTCGGGAAGTCAAATATCTACGAGAGCTTCACCACCAGAATGTCATCGAGGTCCGTCGTCAATGCATCCTTGTCGGGGAGCACTGACCATCTTCCTTGCAGCTTCTGGACGTCTTCTCTTCAAAAACGAATCTTAACCTGGTGCTGGAGTTCTTGGATAGCGATCTTGAGATGATAATTCAGGACCGGTCGCTTGTCTTCCTTCCCGCCGATATCAAGGCATGGATGGCGATGACCTTGCGTGGGCTGGAATTTTGCCATAGAAATTTCATGCTTCACCGAGTATGTTACAAGCCCCTCACAACCTATCACTACTTATGACATCTTGCAGGATCTGAAGCCCAACAATCTGCTCATTGCATCCGATGGACAACTCAAAATCGCTGATTTCGGTCTAGCAAGAGATTTTGCAGACCCGGGACATAAAATGACATGTCAAGTCATCACTCGGTGCGTGTCTTAAAGTCACCAGTTTCTTTTCGCTCTTCAACGCGCGCAGATGGTACCGACCACCAGAGCTACTGTTTGGCTGTCGGTATTATAGCTCGGCGGTCGACATCTGGTCTGTAGGCTGCATATTCGCAGAGCTCATGTTGAGAACGCCGTACCTTCCCGGTGAGAGCGACATGGACCAACTCAAAACTATCTTTCGGGCACTCGGAACGCCCACGGAAGAGGACTGGCCGGTGTGTATTCGTATGACCACCTATGTCGTGCTTGTGTCTCATGTTCTCACAAGGGCCACACTAAACTACCAGATTACGTGCCAGTCGGACAATTCCCAAGAACGCCCCTTCGCGACCTCTTCACCGCCGCCTCTGGAGATACACTGAATCTTCTTAGCAGGTTTCTCGTGTATGAGCCACGAAGGCGTATAAACGCAAGAGACGCTCTCAACCACGCATACTTTTTTGCCCTGCCACACCCGTCACACCCTTCCAAGCTCCCCAAACCTGCTGCTCAAACATCCCGCCCCCTCGAAGAACTTGATGGTAACGTTGACATAGCCAGCGCTGGGCCAGGCGTCAAAGCCGTTGCACCCAATAAACTTAAACGAAAACTGACTTCCCCCGATGGCACCGACCTGAGACCACTCGCTCGCAGATTAGACTTTACTCAACATGTGAAACGCTCATGATCCCTGTTGACAACCAATGACTCCTCCGTTCCGCACCTTCATTGGTTGTGTATATAGCGACTAGCCTTGTTGTAAATAAGGGAATATGTATGAACTAAAATTTGAACGTGGTAATGGATAAAAGCAAACACCAGTGGAATGAGGTACAAGACAACGTTCGGGACAACACGTTAATGGTTGCATGTGACAAGTACCGCGTTAATGCTATACAACTTTCGTTCTGATCCCAAAGTCATCCATGCTCTTGACGTAAAGCGCATTTGCCACTTGATTCTCCACGCCGCTCTCTTCTAAACTCAGTCCATCGTATCCCGGGCAGTGTCACAAACTGTACACTTAGTTGCGCTGGTAGGGACCTTCAGCATGCAGAGAGAACAAGTCCACGTATCCGTAGATGAGCCTGGGACCTTCAACCCTGCAGCAGACCAGTCAAACCCTGTAGGAGCCGGGGCAGAAGCTGCACCAGGACGGGCTGCGTTGCAGACAGTGCATTTAAGATTCGCACTGTCTGGATTAGAAAAAATGCAAGTATCACACTGCCAAGTCCCAGCGTGTTGTGTTGGAGGCACTTTGATAGCACTTTTTGACCAATCGAATAACCTCTGAGGCACAGCTGCAGGCTTTGCGGCACCACCTGATCTCGGCGCGTCGCAGATTGTGCACTTATCTTTGGCGCTGTCAGGGTTCTCCAGCATGCATGTGCCGCATGACCAAGTACCAGAGGTAGTAGCAGCAGGTGCCTTCATGCCTGCTGCAGTCCAGTTGAACCCGTTTGTAGATGGTGTTACTGGTTTGAACTCAAAGGTAGGAAGGAGAGCCGAGACATGCTTGTAGCTGCGACGCGAGCTTGGACGTGGCTGGGCCCAGCAGGATAGGCAGCCTCAGCAAGCTTAAAGCTATACTTCGGCAATTCATCGACCTCCATAGCTGCCACAGCTTCTTTTGGGAGCAGCTTCGCCTTTGGGGATGTAGTCTGTATCTTCCTAGGAAGGTTACAGGATGTCATCAACGGTGCCGGCGGCGCCTCAGACATTGGTTTCTCCTCAACTGACGCAGTCTCTTTGTCTGCGTAGTAACTAAACCGCAACTTGGATGGTTCCCTAGGAACCGACGTCTTGGCTCCAAATGCAGTCTTCATCGGCAAAGCTGGAGATGGAGCATGTAAGAAGGACAACGACGCAGCGCTTGGTGTAGTAAGCGACGAAGGGCCATCTTCAACTGGCTCGATAATCTCGGCTGGCCGCGTAAAGACTGAAGATGTGTCCTGAACCATCTCGACATCCTCCACCACCTCTTCCACGGATAGCATGACGGGAGTAGGTTTCGCGGTCTTTCGTTTCTTTGTGGGGCTTTCGTCCTGGTCCGAGACTTCTTCGGCAGTGACCATTGGCTTTGCGGTTTTGCTGTGACCGTTGGTCATCGGGACATACGTGTCCTGAGCTTCGCGAGTTGGTTTCTCTTGCCTCTCCATATCTGGCGGAGGCCTTGCGCGCTTACTTCCCTATTATCAACATTAGTCTGGCCCCCTAAACATGAGTCACAACTTTCCCACTAACCTTCGGCACTGTGGCTTCAATAATCGCCTGCGCGGTCATTTCTGGCTCCCTGTGCTGTTTCTCCTTTTTCTCTGCTAGAGGGCGCGAACGTCTTGCAAGAGACTTCCTAGCGGGCATCTTTACAGGATTGGCAGTCTGGTACGGGTTTGCTACGTCAGGTTTCTTGAGGGGAGTGACTTCTTTAATGAGCCCCGTCATATAGTCGGCAGCACGCGTGGGTCGTGTTGGAGGCTGTGGCGGTGAATCGCTCTGCTTCCACGTTTGTCGTAAAGGCGAAGGTACGGCTGGGGTCGTGGGCTTCACAGAAAGACCCGCGGTGCGTAAACGAGGCGTACTGCTCGTCACTTGGCGTAACAACAGCTGCCGGAGCCAATGTCGATGCAGGCACTGGTGGAACTGGAGTCTTCTCGTTGATTGCAGGCTTAGAACGGGTGAGAGGAGTAGAATTTGAAGTCGGGAAAACGATGGTAGACGTCGATGATAAGGGCGCAGACTTCTGTGCAGTCGAAGACTCAGCTTCATTGCCGACACGGCGACGTTTGGCATCGGTTGCGGAAGGTATCCGTATGGGAGATAGCTCAATACGAGGTCCTTGAAGCCGAGACCCGAACCCAGGCGATCGATATCGGTTGCGTGGACGTGCACTACCCGCACCCTGCCAGCGCAATATGCCGTTGGGATTGCGCGAAAGGGTCTTCTTCGGAATCTGTGTATCGCTTGATACACCATTTGGTGTCCCGAACCCAACGTTAGGAGAGGATCCGCGCGACGGAGACGTTGAGAACCGGAATGGTTCCGGTTTGTCTGCTGTTTGAGCATGAGTGTACGCTTATATAGCATGCTGGGAATAAGAAATTCGTACCTTGCACGTTCTTCTGGATGTAGTCCACGATGCCAGCTGCCTCAAATTCGTTAAGAGGCCGCCCTGCTTTCTCGACAAGGAAACGAGTGACAGGCTCGAGGTTCTTAGCAAGCGACGGACTTTGCTGCAAGTAGGGGGCGATATTGGTTTGGCGAGGTGGTGTATTTAAACTGTAGAGAGGCTGTCGGGCGGGTGTGACGGGTTGGAATGTCCCATTAGAAGGTTCCGGTTGTTGGGCATCCCAAGCCGGTGGGTAAACTAGTTCCTGCGAAGGCTACTCTTCGTAAATTAATGTTATCAGACCAAACAGTAGTCAATGGACTACAAACCTCATGCCCTGGCGGTACATCACCAGGAGGAAGAGGAAGCACAAATTCAGGCGCAGAGTTCCGATCAAGTTGAACTTGACGAGCCGGTATATGAGGAGGCCCCTCCTGTTCCTGAACCTGCAAATCCTCGTCCTCATCATCACTGGAGGACGAGGCACCTGAGCGCACCAGATCCTCAGCTCGATCATCTTCCTCGGTGCCACCGAATCGTAAGAAGCTCATTAAACCGGAAATGCTCCATAGCTTTCGCATACAATGTTAGACAAAGTTACAGATAGAAGACCACAGACCCGTGTACTCACCGATTTTTTCGTTGGAACTGGTTTGCTATGTTTTGTTGGGCGAGCGTAGGGGGATGAATGGGCAGTCCTCTTCGCTCGGCGGTCATTCCGTCTGTCTGCGCTCATTCTCCTTCAATGGGTCTAGAAATGTGCCAGCGAGTTAATAAATTGCAGGCCGCTTCGTGCTCGTTGCGGAACGGGCGACCAGCGACTAGAAACAAAAGAATTGAGGACGTTGAGGACAAGTTATGATTGTTGGACTGACTTGGAGAGCAGAGCTGGCACTTCCCGGTTTAGGGCCGGTCAATGTTCGCGACGAACCGTGACCTTGTCTTCCTGCACACAACGCCGACAACAGTCATTCTTTTTGTCAACATTTGTCGCCATGCCTAACAAGGTCGTCACGACACCATACCCGCTCATCGACGCTGACCCACACGCTTTCCGCGTTGTGCGTTATTTCCGCTCGTCAGATTATGCAACCTGGGCCGCAGGAACAGCCGCATTCCCGGGTGCTTTGTATTTCTGGAGTACGCATCCTTGTTTCAACCAGAACGCTTTGTATCAGGCTGATACGGATTGTCCTTGTGCTAGATATGGCTGACCCCGCAAAAGTTCGTCTACGGACTAGCCTTCGGCTCGGAGGCTTCCTTGGCTTCATCGGCGGTTTCCTGCTGGCATACCAACGCTCAAGTTGTGAGTTGCCCTGGTTGTACACGACGTGAGCAGCCTCATTGTTTTCCTTGTTAGTTCGTTTCTGGGGTTGGTCGGAGAACAAACGAGAGGAGGACTTGGATCTGGCTGAGCTCTCCCAAAGGGCAGCTGAGGGTAAGCCTTTGTATGCTACATCCAGCCAGCCAGAGTGGGTGCAGGGTACTGCATATAGGAACTCTGCGTGGTCTCAGTTGAAATTCCGTGAGTATCGCTAGAGTATGTCAACCAGCGTTTTTCCGGCTAAATCTATCGATTTTGCAGACGCATTCCCCATGTACGAACACATATCACCATCGTCTTCAGTTTCAGACTCACAACAATAATTACAGGTTCAACTTCGTCAACCATCAACATCACGGTACCGACCCTGCAAAATATGGCGTAAAGGAAAAGGAGCTATCAGATTAGTCATCGATATGTCTTCCTGCTGGTTTTACTGTCGTTGGCTTAGCAGGACGCTATGCACCTGCAGGGGGCTGATTTCCCCGCATGTCTACGGAATGAATAAACATATCTGCTTTGGCTCTAGAGTATAATGACCGGATCATAATCAAAGTTCCTGGCTATCACGACATGCCTGTTGGCTGGAGCATCTCTGACCACTCTATTGTATTCAGTACACTACAGTGCAGTTGTGGACTCGAGTGCACGTGCTACGGTCTTCAATCTGTTGCAAATTCTGCATACAAAGCAATGCCGATAAAACGACAACAAAACCAAAAACATACATTTTCCGTTGGCGTTCGAGCCAACTGGTACCTACTATCTCACCGAACTGCAGTCACCGACTATTCTCGGAAATATGACGAACATGAAATGTCCGAGCCTTCCAGGTAGTCGACATTTCCATTCATGACCTGATTTTGAAAACATCCATTGATTTCTGACACAGATTACCGAACTGCTATTAGTACAAGTAAAGAAGGCTTTCACATAGTGCAATGACTGTAGATACCATCAATCCCGTACCACCTCAATCTCGAAATTAATGCCACCTTACAAGCTACAGGTAAAATTGTCTAATCGCGCTCTCGTTTAGACAGGTCGAAAAGGGTAGTCAAAATGTTTTCCGTGTGCTTGCGTATACCGTCATGGAAACTCTGGTTGGTGATGAATTGTTCCACGTTGCCGATGACAGACGCTGTCTCTTGCACAAGACCAAAATCGACATACCTGAAGGTATTGATATGAGGGACAGCAAGAGTCACTTAAGGGACGTTGCTCACATGTCATCATAATAGCTATGGGGTGGGTATTAAGTCCAGTTCATCAACAATCATAACCTCCACTCACACTGCAGCGTTTACTTTCACTTTGTTCTTTTTCAGGGCCTCTTTGTCATACAACATAGGCCAATCTTCATCGTGAGCCAGCAGTTCGGCTGCGCCCCGCAGGGGACGTAGATGATGATAATCTTCGAACATGTCGGGGAATATCTGTCGATGCATGGATCCAATCTCAACATCTCGAAGACCCTTGACTAACCATGGACGTACCATCTCCCCCGTGAAGTAAATGGGCATATCATCAGACATATGCCTCACTTTCCCCCAAATAAACCTATCATTCTTCTGGATGACACGGTGTGCAGACCAGCTTGACATCCGCCTGAGACAGAAATGATCGGTTGATATATGCTTTGCGAATGATAGGATCGATCCGAAACGCACCCTTGGCAATAGATAGGCTCGTGAAGCACTGCGTAAATTGGATTGGCGTCAAAGCTCTGTGCGCTCTGTACACTGTCAATAAGCCCATATGACAGCCTCCCAAACGTGTCCAAGTCTGTGATCGCTCGGAACACGAGCTCTGCGTGTATGAATAAGCACTCATTGACGAAGTTGAAGCGAATTTACATACGGTGGACCCGATCGATGCCGCCTAAGCATATAATATAAAATACCACGCTTTCGCAGTAAATCGAAACCTACCATGCGATCCAAATTGCACGCCGAGTTGTAACCACCGCGAAACCGTTAGATTCCCGCCGTTCGGAATAACGACATCGTTGTCTTCTAGGAAACCTAATATCCGACGAACCTGTAGTTAATTAGCAACTTGGGGGAGGTACTCTGGTCTGAATTTCTTACATTTCTTACATCTTGGGGATACTTTTCATAATAAACCATGTTTCGTTCTTCCACCTTCACTAGACAAACTGTCAGTTGAAAGGAGGGCAAACGGCTAGGCACTTACAAACGAGGGCTTCGTAAACTGCGTCGGGAGAGTCGACCATGGGTGGGATACCGCCAGTGATGAAGACCTCCTTCAAGCCATCACTGTGGAACGAAAGGTAGGTGGCGGCACAGAAGCCTCCGAAACTTTGCCCAAAGATTGTCCATTTACGTGCTTCAGGATCTTTCTTGCCGTCGAGGAGAAAGTGCCGAATAGTCTCACAGTCTCTGACTATCTTCCGCGTGAACACTGGCGACACTTAGTGTTATGAGGAAATACCCACCAATGTTATCTGCACGAAAGTGTTTGAGATACTTGGCAATGGCCTCGTCGTCCATTTGCTTCGTTTGGAAGATATCCGCTGTTATTGGCGTGCTCAGGCCAGTCCCACGAGGATCAAGCCAAAGGGTCTGCGATTGTCAAATAGCAATCATGGATGAGCGAGGACTCATGACATTGCTTGCCTGATATTTTTTCTTGTGAAGCTTGCTCATAGTAGTATGCTTAGTCTCGCAAACACTGAAGACAAATCAACGTACCGCATTCCCCAAGTCTACGCTGAGAGATAGGTCGACACCGAATCCTGGACCGCCTGCACGACGCAGAAATTAACCTCTGATCGCAACTTAGTCATGACGCGTGACGAGTTACCTTGCAAATGCAAGACTGGTTTACGCGAGTGAACATCATGCATACAATAGTTGGAAGAATCGGGAATGACATACGATAAGGCAAATCCGACTCTGCAGTGTCTGTGCCAGATCCGTTGGCTTCATTCAACGGAATAAGGTTGCGCACAAATATTCGGATGTGCGAACCATCCGGTTTAGCATAATCCACGGGCACAGAAAAGAACCTGTCGACAACCTTGATTGAGCCTGAAATTATGTTTGAGCTCGTTTACGCATCCCGACAACGGCGCCACTGACCTTTAAGTATGTATGGTTCCAGTTGTGTGACTCCCATGTTCATATTCCCGGTTCTTCGAGTAGCTGAGGTTATAAGACTGAACCAGAGACGATGCCATGACTCGAACCAACCCAATTGGCCATGGTTGCACCTATACTTAGTTTCCTGATCTCATGTGCCCCTTGATTGACAACGATAAGGTCACGTTTCATTAATTTCTCTCAGTCACGTGCACGTCCTGCTCAGAACGTAAACAAACATTGTATTCCAAACCTTTCAACCGTGCATGTATAATAACATATACGAAAATGAAAGCTTTAAAAGCGGTGTAATGAAATTGAAAAACGCCCACTAAATAGGCAGACCGACATATCGTCTGTCTCATCCCAATCAAGGAGAGAGAAAATATGAAAGGCCTCGAGTTCAAGTAGTGAAGGAAGCCGGACTTGGTGCGCTAGACTATGGGCAAACCTGTTAGCAGTGACCTTCAACCTTTTGCTCCAGGGCGATGGGGACATGTGTGAAGGAAGTCAATATCGTGGTGTTTGATTCCCCATGGAATTCGGCCGTGTTACCTTGCTTGCAAGGTCGTATAAGTTCAGTGTTCCTCCGATAAGTGGAAGCAGCCAAAGTTTCAATAGCCGTGACTGAGACGAAAGGGATCATGCCTGCGAGTAGGCTGCCAATGAGGTATTTGCGTTACTGGTTCATTGTAATGTGCTTGATAACAGTTGTCTTAGATATTCATGTGCTTCTGTGCGGATACCTGGGAATTGTGGATAAATTTTCGAGTAGCCTGGAAGTTTACTGTCAGAGGTGAGCTAGAACAAGGTTGGAGGACTCGGATGACCGTCGACAAACATAGATTTGTAATAAGGCCAGGCTGGCCAACTAAGATCTCCCTAGGCTTCGGGCCTGAGAGAAGTGTAGTGGTTGAAAACCGGTGACAACCACGTGATGGCAACACGGGCGGCGAACATCGAGGCGATGAGGATCATTTGCCAGTAACTAGTCGCTATTGGATCCAGATTCAGATGCAGGGAGTGTTAGCAAGAAGATCACAAAGATAGGATGGTATGTATATAATATGCACAACTAGAGGATGGCGGTACTGAACAGTGAATCCGATATATTTGTGCGTGTTTTAAAAGTCAGACCTATGTGCAACCACCGTCCCCACGATTGATTCCAGATGGGATAATGATAATAACAGTCTTGATCTAAGTCCAACTAGGTACTAGGTATCACCAAAAAAGACGACAAGGCAGGCCATTCAGAATATTTGATGTTACTCTGACAAACTCGGACGTTGAGATTGGATGGCGATCGATTCAGATCAAGCATTGTAGGTGTGGTCGATACTAGTAGATGATCTTCATTGAAAGCTTGAGGAATCTGAAGCCTGACTGTCAATGAGAAAAATAGGCGGAACGAATGTACCGCTGTTCCGGACATACTACCATGCGACTATAAGTACCTTCTCTCATGCTAGACCCGTCATAAGATAAACATCGACGTCCACCATCATCCACCTAACGAAACCCACCCACCAGCGCTTTAGAAGCCATAAACCACAGAAATCCATGTCCTCACTCAAAGTAAGGGAAGGCGAAGCCGATTTTAATGTTCCTGGTGCAGGCAAGCCCTGCAAGACTTGGTACAAGGTGTATGGTACTCTCCCCCACCCACATAACCCACCTCTTGTAGTACTCCACGGTGGTCCCGGTTCAACCCATGAATACCTCGACATCCTTTCCGAGCTCACGCGTCTCTTCGACGTACCCGTTATAGTTTATGATCAACTCGGCAATGGACGCTCCACGCACCTCCCAGAGAAGAACGGAGATGTGGACTTCTGGACTGTGCAGCTCTTCGTTGACGAGCTGCATAATCTCCTGAATCACTTAAACATCCACTGACAACTATAACGTACTTGGGCAGAGCTGGGGAGGGATGTTGGCATCAGAGTTTGCAACGCGCCAGCCAAAAGGCCTCGGGAAACTGGTGATTGCTGACTCGCCAGCGAGTATGGCGCTGTGGGTTAAGGCCGCCAACGAGTTGAGGAAGGAGCTGCCGAAGGAAGTACAGGATGCGTTGAATAAGCATGAGGCAGCAAATACAACAACGGATCCAGAGTACATTGCCGCAACGAACGAATTTTACAAGCGTCATTTGTGTAGGCTCGACCCAATGCCCCAGTCCCTGGTGGACGGGCTTACATGGATGGAAAAGGATCCAACCGTGTACTCAACCATGTAGGTGTTTCGTCCATCTGTGTCATGCATCTTCAACTTTCGGGGGACAGGAACGGGCCGAATGAATTTTACATCACTGGCTCTTTAAGGACATGGAGCGTGATTGACCGGCTGCACAATATTCAGGCAACGACATTGCTCATCAACGGAAGGTACGATGAAGCACAGGACATGGTCGTAGAGCCCTTCTTTCAGCATATCCCGAAGGTCCGATGGGTACAATTTGCGGACTCAGCGCATGTCCCGCAGCTGGAAGAGACAGAAAGGTTTATGCAGGTGGTGTGGGCCTTCTTGCGCAGTTAAAGCGACTGGAAGTATAGAAGCAGCGTAAAAGAAATGGTGACGAGGTGTGCAGTATATGGTACAAATCGATCGTGATTCATGACTCGGAGTACGAGGTGTAATATCAATGGATTGATGGCATTGCAAGGCCTCCCGACTGCAAATCGATTGCATCAGTTCAGTGTTTGATCTGCGACTCAACAAACATACTTTTTATATGACACGCCTGTCTAGAAGCTGGTGGAGAGTCCAGACCAGTCTTGTGAACAAGTCGTGAATCTAAAAATGGATCGATAAGACTCATCACGTGAAATATGTACACGGTCGCGTGCTGGACGGGGATCATCCATTTTCGTCCAAACAAGGTTGAAGTTTGAAATTCCCAACTTGCTTCGGATTCCTTCGTTAAACCCCGTTCTGCGGCCTCTGCTTAACATCACACTCCCTATTTGTTACTCACAGCTCTCATTTCTTATTTACTGCAGTCCAAAAACCCGTCGATCTGCCCGCGAGGCAAGCTCGAATCAATAGACATCTGTTCCAATAGCATCTACTATCCATGATAGGACTCACACTGTACGACGTCCTTGCGATCCCAATCACTGCTTCTACGGATGATGGTTCGCACTAGTCTAATCTGCCTCGTGAAACTGATCTTCACTTTCGATCACAGTGAGGAAGGCATACAAACAGAAAGCTCTTGAAACGCACCCTGACAAGCTCGAACCTACCGTGACGGAGCAAGAGCGCCGCGCTGCAGAGGGAAGGTTCAGAAATGTATGGGCGGTCTGAGCTTGGTGCGAATGATTGCTTGATGCTAATGCCGATGATATGATTTTGTTGCAAGGTATGCGAAGCATTTGAGGTGCTTAGTGATCCAGTGAAAAGGAAGGTGTGTTTAATCATGCTCATGCTTCTGTTGAAATGATGGACGCCAACATATTTCATTGATTTAGGCCTACGACGACCGCGTCCAGCTTGCTCAGAAGAACAAGAAATATTGGGATGAGCAGCACGACAGGCGGGTCAAGACGCGCGAAGAGTGGGCACGTCAAGTCAAGGAACGTAGCGAGGCTCGTATGAAAGAACGTGCAGATTTCTATGAGAACCTCAAGCGTATAAAGGAGGAAAAGCAACGATACATAGAAATGGTTGAGCAATTCTATCAAGAGCTGCGCGACTGCCACCCAGAGTGGGAATCGAGGAGGCAGGCCGCGCTACAGGTACGTGCCATTTATTTTTGCAAGCGTTTTTCAATGTGATGGATCTATTTTGTATACAGTGGAAAGAGATGGCGGACAAAGGCCAAATACCACGACGACACACAACTCGCATTTAGCGAGGCGAATTCAACGGACAACTTTATCTTACGGTTCGTTTCAGTAGGTATTTTGCTTTATTTATCTCCCAGCGCTGGAGTTTTTATTCGCGATACTGTTGTACTTCTATATTTTGCTTCCTTCTGCAATCCCTCGTTGTTCGATTCGTGTTCGTATTTATTCACTCATTGATCTGCCCGGGATCATATTTGCTGTAGTCTCCGTGGGGATCTAGTGATAGAATGTACATACGGAGCTCCAATCTGTTGAGTCGATACAATCTCAATGTCATCACCACCCCAATGACTTCTGTCTACTCTTAGCGATCTTCCCTACATCATCCACCGCTCGTTTCAGCTCACTTAACCAGTCCTCACTGTTCTTCGCGACATAGATCAGGCTTTCTGCCGCAGGCTCGTTCAGCGGAGACCCATCTGGATAGCTCTCCAAAGGGTGTCCAAGCTGTAGCTTGTCCTCCATCTCCCTCGCAATTGCAGCCCTAGTTCTCCCGTTCACGAACGTGATGTACCTCAGTCCAGAGTACACACGCTCATAACACGCGTTAAGGTGTTCCAGCCGTTTTAACACCTCTGGGGGTGTCTCCGACCTTGTTGTAGCAGAGAGGCCACCACTTTGCTCTTTGGCGCTCAACGCAGAGAGCTGTTTGATCTCCCCGATCCTTGGGTGTGCAGTGATGAATTCTGCTTGCTCATGTGCATTCCACGCGTGGATGATAGCGATAGCACGTTCAATGAGCGCGTTAGTGGGGTCTATGGTTTCAAGAGGTGTATTCCGGATGGATTGGAAGAGTTCCGGAACGAGTTTGGTTATCAGGATATCAGAATGCTCAAACAGCTGAGTGAGGACGCTCACTATGCCATCCTGATTTTCATACATATCGTGAACGAGGGCGTGTCAAAAATCGGGGGTTATAGATAATGCCCCAGTGACAATCCGTGGTGGATGATGGTCAGATGTGCGGATGAGTTGTGAAACGTGGCTAGGTCACCAGGTGCGATTGATTACAGCTAATTGGGTTATAATTTTACCAAATTTGCAGCGAACTGAAGAGCCCTATCATACACGAAACGCAGTGACTAAGTCGGGCCGAACCCCTGATCAGCTGCCATCAGCGTGACTTGGACCATCCTTGTAAGGACATATATAATGACACAATGCATCTATGCGAGTTGCACCAACCCGCCCCAATACATTCCTGCATTCACGGGCCCCCATTACTCCACTCCAGTTGTCATGACCAAACCATTCGTTCTTCGCTGGGGCATTATCTCAACCGGCAGGATAGCCAATTGCTTCGTAACAGTGCGTTTGAAATATTCGTCCATTTCTCTTTCTAATTAAGAAGTGTGGCTTAGGATCTTCTTGTTGATCCCGAAACGTCCGTTCCACTCTGCTGTCCACCGTGAAATCGAATGACATCGTTAAATGCAGCCGTGATGTCACTGATGTGGCACACAAAGTGACTGCTGTCGGGTCGCGAAGCGTCCAATCAGCGCAAAAGTTCATTACCGAATATGCCAAGGGTGATAAGTCAATTAAAGCATATGGGAGCTATGCTGGTGTCTTCGCAGACCCGGTAAGTAGAATACTGTCAAAACAACAACCAATCTAACAAAATGTGGCGCAGAATGTCGATGCAGTTTACATTGGTTCGACTTAATTTCATATTCAGGTCGATTTCAACTTACCGGGCGTTGTTTAGGCACGCCTCATACTCTTCACTATGAAAATGCGCTCGATGCGATTAAGGCAAAGAAACACGTTCTTTGCGAAAAACCCGTGACATTAAACGCGGCCGAGCTTCGGTCGCTCCTTGCAGCTGCAAAAGAGCATGGAGTGTTCTTCATGGAAGCCCTTTGGACACGCTTCCAGCCTCTTGCGCTCGAGGTTAAGAAAATTTCGGAAAGTGGTGTATTGGGTGCACCACTGGCTCTCCAAGCCGACTTGTCAGATGATTTTCAGCTTCACAGTGAGTAATGTCGTGTTACTTTATGTACCGTCAGATCCCATGAGGCACAACAGGAATTCCTAAGACTCACCGCATCTTGGATCCTGCCCTTGGTGGTGGCGCGTTACTAGATTTGTGAGTGCACAAAGTAAAACTTATAGCAGAGAACCTGACCTGTCGCAGGGGACCATATCCTCTTATTTGGGTAAGGCAGCAATTATCTTTATTTTTATTCTTTTAATGACAATCGCAGGCCATTCTCGCACTGTACGAACACCCTGCTAACCAAGGAGCTGCTCCCAGCAACGTCAGCGGGACAATGTTGAAAACCCCTCTGACAGGAGTCGACCGCAATACCTCCTTCACGGTCACCTTCGCCGAAAGGGAACTAGCTGCACAAGCCATCCTGTCATGTAACCTGAACGTGACTTCCTATCAGCCTGGTGTCATAATTAGATACGAGAAGGGTACGATCACGCTTGCAGCGCCGATATACTGCCCAAAGAGCTTCACTGTGCAGTACCTTGAAGGCAGCAAGGTGACAAAGGAGGAAATGAGGCAATTCGAGTATGTCGGTAATGGATGGCATTTTCAGGCAGATGAGGTTGCGCGGTGTGTGCGAGATAGAAAGAGTGAAAGTTCGCTTTGGGGACATGATAAAAGCCTGATGGAGATGGACATCTTTGACGAGGTCAGACGCCAGGGAAACTACAAGTTCCCCCCTGGAGTGGAGAAGGTGGTGTAAGGGATGTGGATGATTGAACAATCTGTATAGTTCGTTCGCTCGCCATGTCGTTAAATTCGACTAATCTGGTGCTTTGATTTTGTGTACACGTGACGATCGCGACGCGAGCCGCCCACGCAACCAAACATAAATATTCAGACCTCTTGAGATATTTGCCAACTACTAGCTCAGTTAAAACATCGTAACTAGATCTTCCACGATGAACGCTGTCTCTCTCGTCTCCACCACTGTCGCTCGAGTTATCATGACTGGCGTTCTTTCGGCAGTCCTCTTCAACAAAACCGTGGTTCGTCACACCCGTCATGCCCTGAAGGAGGCAGAACAGGCTTCTCCAAAACTCGCCGTGGTTACTTTGTGCATTTCTACGTTAGCGCTTCTCCATGCGTCCGATAGAATAGCTTGCGAAGTTCTGGGGCTTGCGGAGACCTGTCCACCGACTACTGGTGAAGGGAATTCCTTGGCAACCGCTCATGATGATCTTCGCTCTCCTGCTTTCTCGCACGACGATACCGATGACTTCAAGACTCCCTTGTCATCGCCGTCCATCTCATCGCCTGAGAACAGCTTAGACAGTATCGCAACCCTCACCTCTTCTTCAACCGTCTCCAAGCTTGGTAATGTCTTCAGAGATATGACACCCAGTCCTTCAGCTGTCAGCGCTAGCGATAATGATGAAGTTGACGACGTAGCGCTACGCAAGGTACGATTGTTCTTCTTTTATGGAGGTTCCGATAACATCATTTTCTTTCTAGTGGATAACGGAGACAGTGCCAGAGTTCAGCACCCCAACGGCTCGCGCTCCTGAAAATATTCTCAATTCAATCATCAAGCGAATGAGATACCTCTCACTCTCAGACAGCCGTTCTTTTCCCTCAACCCCGACCCGAGTTTGAGATCCTAAGCTACCCGTCGAAGCGCTGACGCATCCCACCTCCCACCTTGTTACTCCGTTACTCTTTGACTTCTTGTACAAACTAGCTCATGACACCAATCGGCATTCACCCTTTCACAGAACTACGCATCAAGGCTCCCTCACCCCTCTTTCCTCTGTATCACCTTCGAACTTCTAGCACGAGGATGCGATTATGGTACCGAAATAGCACGGAGCCAGCTTCTCTTCTGGATAGAGGGAGCCTCATTTCCTCTTAACTCCTGTCTTACAACTTGATTATGTATCACACGACACTGTCCGCACCTGTACTGCACTTTGTCGATCGTCAATGATCATGGTATCATTAATTGTGATTCATCACACTTGCTTCGGCAACACTAGGGAATACCCTGGACTGACGAGTGAACAAACGTCTAAAGCAAACAAAAGTAGGGCAGAGCGTTTGCCCACATAATTGCCAATAATCGTCTGATATTATAGCAACAGCGGACTTACCAGCCAGTGTCCATCCCTTGGACACCAGAGGGCAAGTGCACAATTGCATAAAATACAGAAGATAAGAATCAGGTACTAGGGCGATGATAACCACTATATTATTGTCTGGAACGTCCTGGTTTCCCGTAGTCAGATCATCAGAAGTGGACAGCTCCTCACTGATGGGAACACCCTAGATCTACAACAAACAAAAAATAGCACTCAACGTCGGTAAGATTCTGAATCTACCTTCGTTGATTCCAGCCCTTTGTCTGTCAATTGAGTGAGATTCTCGCCCCGTTTTCTCTTCTTCGCTAGTGGACAATGCAGCGATTCATGTGTAACAATACATCGATCGCAGGCATGCAGATCACGATCAAACCTCGAAGGGGTTGCGAATATCCAGCGGCAAGGAAGCGATGGATGTCAATACAGTGCTGCTGCTGCCTGTAAATAGCGTGGTGAGTTGGTGGTGAGTCAGTGTGGGCAATATTTGTGTGGGAGTGGCTATCGATCATCATTCTACACTCAGCTTGAACTTAAATATCGTACCTCTGAACTTTGTATACAAGGTTCCGAGTGGAACTCCAAGCTTCGGATTGCACATACATGGATATATGACTTCAGTACTTACAATTGGGTTTGATGAGGTCACCTGGTTGGCGACCGTCGAATAACGCATTACCCCTGGCTTTCTGGAGAGATAGTCGCTTGCTAGACGAAATCTTGGCCGGCGGTGATTTCGAATCGATGTATTCTGGCGAGAGAAGAAAAGGCTCAGCTACATGAGTACAGCGGTTCCTTCAATTGAATTACTCAAGAAACACACACCTGTCATGATCGAGCCAGATGCCAAATAGTGTCATGGTTCATGAATCATGCACATAACACCCAAGTCTCATGATGAGAATGAACCACCCTCAAAGAACGCATAAGTCGAGCGACTTACGGACTTGCCAAGGGCAAGGCACACGGCCGGACGGTGCACTAATTTGCCTCTATTTGATTGAGAATCGGGGTCATGGTTTACATAATAGTTGGGACTCCGGCACCGGCCACGTAGGACAGTACTAACGCTGTCGTGAACGATCTCAAAAATTTGCTGTACTTGTTTTCTTCGTTTCTGGCTGGGAATTGTGCAGAATACAAAGGTCTTCCTGAATCCAAGGTCCTCGGCGAACTCGATATCTTGATCCGAGTTCCGGTAAGCCCGTCTTGAACACAAGTTAGAAGTTACTTACGCCAATACTAGTTATATAGCAACCCTGAAGATGGGATTCAGACAAGGCGCTGTCCTTGCCTCATGCTCTTTTTTTCTTGGTGAGACCTCAACTCGTGTCTCCGATAGACCTAACTTCGCATTTCTGCAACAGGAGTCCTCTTCATATGCTTCTTTGTTGATTACCGCATCCTGCATCAGGAATTGACAGAGGAGATCGTTGAAGACGGCTTCCAATTCTATGCCACTTTCTTCAATGCACCGCCCGCAATTAAGGTTTGTGTTTCTTTGCGAGCAACAATGTCAGGAGGATGACGCTCGTCGTCACAGGCGGTTCTACATGGTTTCATGGGGGTTGGTATTTTAGGACTTGTTGCAAAACTGCATAAATATGATGAGAGTGCCATCTTCTTCGATGGATCGAGTCTGGGTAGGAGCCAAATTTGACTTGCTTCGATACACCGCTCAATAATATGACTAGTGGGTTACGTTTTTGCAGTAGCTGTCTACCTTGCGGTGACAGTTCCATCTTTGCGAACTGTTGTCACCCCCGTGGATGTCGATACACGTGCGGACCGTATCGAAGCCATGCGAATACTCTCAGCAGGCAATACCATTATGATGGTAGTCCTTGGTGCCATTCTAGTGCTTCAGGTGATCATCAGACAATTTCTTTCGTCTTCCATCATGCGACGCTCGCTTTCCCGTGCGAATCAGCTCAATTTGAAACATTTTTCCATCACATTTCCTGCCCGAGGAGCGCATCACGGAACCCCGAAGCCCGTTTTGTTTCTTGTGTTACCCTCCTAATATCTATTTCTGACTTTGCTCCGACAGGGCGGACAAGAATACGCACGTCGTGCGGAGGTGAGAGAGCTGGCAAAGATCGAGGAGGAGCTCAAGGCCAAAGTGAGTGCTAGTACTGGGAAAGACAAGAAGGAGTAGATTGGCGGTCAGACGTTACTCAGTCAAGGCTTTTCCTGACTATGGACATTAGTGTTATCATCGATCTAAATTCCGCATCTTGGTTTTAAGCTTAGTATCGGGTTATCTAGGAATGTTTGGAACGATGGTACTTTAGTGATCATTAACTGCCAAGTATTAGTACTACTAGTAGCTGTTGAGTTTGGATTAGTTTGTGTGTACTAATCGAAATCTTGGTGATGTTCACAAATAAGTACCCTGAGCGGACCGTGAACAGTCTGAGCATGTGACACCATGTCGTTCAATGATTTCGGAGCTGCCACAGCCTGGGGCGAGCCTGAGCAGCAATCTGGCGACATAGTAAAGGATGCGATACGGAAGGAGAGGATTCTTAAGTCAGTTTCATCCTTCGACTTCCTAACCACCAGCTTCTGATTGGCGCCTCACAGAGAGATTGCAGCTGCACAGGGCGATTTACAAGGTACTTGCTTCCTAGATATCAGTTTATGCAGTCGTCAACCTCGCATCTTCAGCACTTGTTGCACGAGTGCACAGCGTCCAGTCGGACGTCAACCAACTCATATCCGAAAATTCGACCTTGCAGATGTACATTGACAACCTAACTATGCAGATGGCAAAGAGGAAGTAACCCTTCCAATAATGTTTGCTGTCCATGTATATGTAAGTCATGATCGAGCTCTTATGCATCACCTGCGGTTAAACGTTCAACTTTTCATCAGACTACCATCATGCTCCATGATTGGTTTTCCTCTTGCATGTCTATGTCGCAGAGTACAGTACCCATGGCCTGAATTAAAACTTCTCTATTTTGGTGTCCAGTATGGGTTAGTCAGATCTGTGGAACATGCTTAAATCGGAACAAGTCAAATGACATCTGACAGGCTGTAAACTCGCACAGCTTCGACCAAAACGCCGTGACTAGAAGTGTTCTATCACGGCTGTCCACAACCAGACCTAGACCTCCTGACCGGACAATCCTACCGTGATTGACACATTCGTTCGGAAAACAGGACAGCGATGTGTATACGTACTTTCTCGGAGGCAACGTCCGCGAGCCGACCGTTTCCATTCAGAAGTTGTCCATTATCGACCAGTATTCTTGTGCACAGTAGTGGCATTGACAGCTAGGAGTTAACTTTCAATTGAAGTCAAGTGGCCGACTCAAGTCCCCACTTGTCACGATGATTTATCAGTCTGGATGCCTGGCCAAGCACAGCGTTTACTTTGTTGTAACTGGCCCACCAGCTGGATGGTGATTTACGTCACCATCGGACATGCCATTCTGTTGGCATTGGACTCTGATACCAGGTTCAAGATCAAGCATCTTGGTTCTATTAGTGCCGTCCTTATCGTCACTCCGCAGGTGAGGAATTTGATACCTTATTTTTTAGTTTGATGACGGCGAGGTTGTCTCTTGGGGCTGTGTAGGACTATCACTTGTCTGGTCGAGCGGTGCTCTCGTTAGCAACTTGACATGTCTCCGACGTTTCGACTGCATCTGAGACGGAAATAAATCCCTGTTTTGACAGACGGCGCCGGTTTCTTCCCGCAGATATGAACATTTTTCGAAGTTATTAGTGCTTGACGTTAGGTGGTGTCCTGTTCCCTCAGGAACACGCCAAGATCTAGCTTGTGGTACTGTTCATTGCCAGTAACGTCATTGAAGGTGAATGCGATCTCGGGTAGTTGAAAACAAACGCAATAATTATTCCCCTTTTGCACCGTTGCCTGGCGCTGTTTGTGACTTACTTGGAAACTCATTCAGTGGTTCTTTAGGACAAGAATGCAGTAAGAAGAAACCGTCAGGGGTTAAGCACTACCACATGAGCCTTAAAGCATTGATAAATGACTTCAGTCTTTTTTTTCGCTGCTCGTGCAAATTAATTGACTTTCATTTTGTTTCTGGCTAGCTTCCGCATGTGCTAAGTATAGCCTCCCCTTGCAGCGTTCATCAGGAGAACGTAACTCATTACAGAGTGCTACAGAGCGCTCTGTAGCACTCTGTAGTGAATTACGTTTTCCTGATGTTGCAGAAAGCTTGAGACTTGAGACTTTGTTCTTCGTCATGCATCCCGTCTTCGGGTTGTTAGAGCGGTGAAGGACTGAGAGCGCTGTGGCAGAGCTCCGAATGTAAAAGCAAAGTATCACCGGTAAAGTTCATGCCTCGCTGAAGAAAATGTACAATGAGAGAAGTCATCTCCATTTCCCTTCTGTAAGCTCTGTAATAACAATTGACTGTGTTGGACAGACATCAAATCCATAATACTTTTGTAGAGCTTGCCTTCCTTGCATCCCTCCTCCACCCTTGCAATCTTCACCCCTTCCTTTGCTTTCTAACACACCATCCCGTCAACATCTAAAATCTCCATAATTAGCTCCGCGTCCTACACACTTCTATTTATTTTCCCTATACCTTGATGCCAAATTACGCGCTTCCGCTTCGGGTGCAGCCGCGCCGCCATATGTCCTCTGCTACCCCTCTGCAGGTGGGAAGCACGTTCAGAATGCTCAAATGCTCGAGCGCTTTGTGGGAACGAGGGCGCGAGATATCCACCAAATAGGCGCTGCCGGCCTCACCGTGCACATAACAGATATCCGCGGGACTTGTATGAACTCGCGTGCGTTGGTCTCGGACTTAACCGTATGAGAAGATCAGGTAGAGTAACGATGATCTATTTCGATGACAAATTAGCCTACGAAACCTGGGACGCTGAACTAAACATTCACCCAACGATGGGGGTCAGCTCCTAGGCGTGCGATGTGACTCCTTACCGAGGTCTGAAGGCTCCAAGTGAATTACACTCGATCCAGCAGTCGCGTTAGATTAGAACACGTCGCAAAATACGGTTCATAACGGCATCATCAGTAACCGAGGGATTCAGGTGAAAAGAGTGTTCGAGCCCTTGGGGATAAACAGTTCGTGTTCTTGTTCCATATATTTTTCCTCTCACAAAAGGATTTCACGCACTTTAAGCCATGAAGTAGAAGAGAACCCCAAGACGAAAGGTGACATCGGCAATGTCATGAAAAGCTTTTAGCCAGGGGGAAAATTAACTGCAGTGATGTATCCGTTGGAACTAAGCAGGCATGCGCACAAACACATTCGGCTCTTGACAGAATTACCATCCTGTCAAAATTCAAGAACTTGGTGTCACCCTGTAGCGCTTCGCGAGCGGCATCCTCGGAGTTGGACAGGACGAAGGTATACCTCGCAACGAGTCTGAGGATAAAATTTATATCAGGCAGATCAATTCCACGGTCGTCATTGGACATGGTACCAGTACACCATGTCCATGGATGAGTGACGACTCGGAACTGCCAGTGGGATGGTAAATGTGTGACGAGCCTTGATACGTTCCAAGTTAAGCTTAGTACAAGGTTAGCTGTCTTCCTGAAGTTCTTCTCCAAGGCCTATGGCAAAGTACAGAAGGAGGTGTGGTGTTAAGTACAAAAGCAGACATAACCGACGGACTTAGCAAGTTCGGCGGGGCCAAGCGGCGGAGATTCCCCGGGAAATGTTGCCACAAAGCCTTCGATGAAGTCCGCCAGTACGGCAACTTCCTAAAATCATCCACCTCTAAGCAGAAAAGTGGCAGCCGCCGCAGCTCTACCGTAAGGCCACTACTGCTGTCTGATCCCCTCGCATCAAATTTCTAGTAACCACATCACTGCTATCCGATACTGGCTGCTAGTATTAGTCTGGGGACGCAGAGCATTCGTCGCGTGGATGTCGTTATCCAGAGTTATAATCCTTCTGACTTGGTGCGATGAAAATGGTATCCAGATCGATCCCAGAATACAAGTTCGGGAAAGTAGAAATCATCGAGAGTTAGCCGAAAGCACGGAAAGTTCCTCCTCGCGCGGTTGCGGAATCAGCGTGTACTCACTTGAAGACCTCATTGATTGTTCCTGTTCCCGTGAGTGCTTAGTTTGCATATGCTGGATGGTTGCAATTCCCAAACCACTGGTTGGTTGCGAGTCTTGCAAGCCAAGATATTCTTACAGTAGAGATCATATGTCAATATCTGGTCTTGTGGGTAGAGGTACCCCGCCTTCTAGCGTGGAGGAATCAATCAAGAACCAAGATATGACATAGGCTCATACGTGGGCTGAGAGAACGATGCTGTTCTTTTTGAAACAATTTCATTGATCCCTCTTTCTGACCTAGTTTATTGCTGATGTAGTCGTACACATTCCGAAGACAGCTATTCTCTCAACTAGGTCATGCTTCCTCTCCCAGGACATTACCTCTGCGCCATATGGCCACGCTGCACATCTCGCACTGGCTCTCGCCCTGTATGGTGAGATGTACGTATTTCCTATGCTTCTACAGATTTGTCTTCAACTTTTAGCTCACTCGCGTATTCTGCTCCGCTCCTTCACCCTGATTCGCCCCGTTCCCACACTGCTCTCTGATGCCGCTTGTTGTGCTCTCACAACCTTCCACAATTATACTCGACGCAAAAATGACACCTGATCAAACGAACTAACCGGTTCTATCTCGCGTGACACTTTGTGACTTTCCCTGGCTCTCTGATCTGAATTGCTCCTGGATTCACCGTCTTACGCTATCTTGGGTTCATCGTGTACCGAAACTGCTTGCTTTTGTCACATTTCATGCTGTGGGGGTAGTTTGCGAGGCCAAGATTCCAAATGGTTCGGATACCTCCAGAGCTTACCGCGGGAAACTGTGGACATAGCCGTATTCTGGGGTTTCAAGGACGTCATCGACTTCAGATCCTGTGTGTACTCAAGCCGCGGAGACACGGCTCCCTCCAAAAGTGCTATTGGAGATGACGCTAGCAACGTTGGAGCGGCTTGCTCCAATGCGGAAATTCCCGACTGTGCTCCGTCCCTACAATACCTGGACGGTAAACAAGCTCGGATGTGGCTTTCTTGTACAGGGGCCAAAAAGGAGCTGGATGGTCTAATGGTAAGTACGTTACCTCTGTAAACTTAATGCTTTTTGTGTTGTGGAGGATACTCTTCGTTTCGAAAGCTGTTCTATTCATTGGTCTTCTGCTCCACTTTCATATTTTGCTTCTTTTCTCAATTGATGCGTCATCCTTGTGAGACGAGATTGACTTGTGCGATGATCGATTTCGGGATGATCCATGATATTATTGCCCAGTCGGGAAGTCAATTGAGAAAGGGGATTGGACCAGCGTGGCACGACCGCATCATCCGGATACATCCATGACTAGTGACTGATGGGTGTAGTGCATCTCGAGGCGGCCATGCTCTCCATATTTGGACATGTATATTGGCGGCTTGGCCGACTGATGCGCGTGCTCTACACGAGCTCGCTAGGTCATCATTTCCATTACCCTCCACCTTCGTGGATCACCCGCCGGTGATCGGTGCCATTTTCCACGACCACTTATCCCTTTGGCTTCCATTCTCCCATATGGCAACGCACGTTTTTTCCCGTCTCTGCTAACTTTATGAATTCGCCTTATCTTCTGTGCAAACTACCTTGCCAACATGCCTTCTCCTCGTGTTCTAGAAAAAGTATGTTTTGGCTCGATGCTACTTCTGGTGATATCTGGCTGCTAAATTGTTGTCGAGACTTCACTTCTGGCTCTTTAAGTCCTCATCTGCGACTCATAGAAGAGTCCTTCGCCTCGGATATGATCCATATTGAGGAGTCTAGACCGAGCTTTACTGCTTCTTGGCAAAATTAGTTCTTCAACTCTACTTGATATTTGGTTCTCCTGAGATCAGGGTACTATTTCAACGGCGTTGCGCTTGTTATGCCGGTTTTTCATACCCTGTGATGGTTACTCGAGCTCTATTAAATACGTCTATCAGACCCTTTACTTCTCGCAGTCGATTCTCCCTTCCTCTAGGCTTCGCGTTCTTTGATTATCATGATATATTCTTCCATTCCATTTCTGGCCTACGAATTTCACTCGGTCACACTTATACTGCCTAGTAACTGATCACATTGACCCGGTAGGATGAAATACGTCAATACTACGTCTCCGTCGTGGAACCCACGCTACACGCAGCCTTTGGCAAACTTCGGCAAGCGGAAGCCGAGCACAATGTCAATGTGGTATTAGGAGGTGGGATTCCACGTCTCGATGAATGCAGCAATGAGTTAAACTCAGTGGAACCCTCGCTTCCTGGGTTCTGTCACGCGTACTCCCTCGTGTCCTCCCGCGCGTTTTTGGTGGATGCGTATCATGGTCTTGCAATGGTGCCCATTGCTGATGCGTGAGTAACTTCAAATTTTGGCTTGCTTTTTGAGCCTGGATCCGTTTTCAATGAATGAATGAGATCATGCATCACGGAAGCCCCCTTCACGTTGGACCCACAATAGTAGTTCTTGGAGTTTGGGGCGATCTAGTAGAACTTCATGAAGTTATCGTTCGTCATATGCAACTTTTCCTGCTAGCTACTTCCTCACCATTGGGTTGATCGTGGCTTCACTCTCCCGTCTGTGGCCCAGTGTTATGCTTCTGATAGGCCTCGCATACCCTGCATTGTGTTGTCCTTATCGACGACGATGCTTCTATCGGAGTTTCACCGTCGTTGGGTCCATTCGACTATTTATGATTTGTGCGTGCTTGTCACTAGTCTACAAGCCTCCGCCAGCCTCCTCCCCACGTCCAGTGCTATCTCGCTTTGCTTGACGTCTTTGTCTCTTGCGGCATCCCGGCGGCAAGCCGTAATATGTCAGCACGACTATAATTTAGACTGGATCGGCTTACTTACTCGCCGGCGGCTCCTTGCAAGCTAACGCTACAAAGCAAGTGCCAGAACCAGACTAGTACAAGAGCTCATAGAAGACTTTTTAGTTGTTTGGGTTGGCCCCCACGCGTAGCTTCTGCATACCACTTACTATGCTACTTTATCTCAAACTTATCTTCTTTTGGTCTGGATCAAATTTTTTGCTTCCTCCACTAACAACTTTCTCAACAGCTTCAATCACACCAACGAGAATCATGTGCATATGGAGGTGAGTCTATCAACATTTGGGGTATGGACTCATGCAATCCGTTCCATCTTGATCCGACATGTCAACGATGCGGTCGTAGTCCGCGTGACACTGTCGTCTTGCTAACGCATGTTCTTCAACTTTTCATTTTTTTTTGCAAGGGATCCAAGTTGACTTGTTTGTTTTTAGAGTGACTTTGATGTTTGTGTCGAATGTGGATCTCTAGTGGAGTGCGACCATGATCACGAAACTCTCCCTGCCGTTCCTTCCCGAGGGGCCTATTCGCTTCCTGGAGTATGCAAACCTGATTTAGCGCTAGAGATTGATACCCTTGACATGTGTTCTGTTAAACCCATTCTACCTCATTCTGAGGTATTCAACACATATGGATCACTATCAAACGCCGAGCTCATTTCCAGGTACGGCTTCACCCTGCCGGAGAACGAATGCGATATCGTTAGTTTGGGTTACGGCTCCTTCTCCGCCTTCATCAACAACCTCATAGATGTGGTACTGCACTCTTCCGCCGACAGTGGTAACGATGCCGACATGCAGGGGCGGTTACAGATCCGAGTCAGGTACGGGAACAAGCGAATAGATACGGTGGACTCAGATGAGCGGCAATGTTTTAATTCCAGAACCTTAAGTCTGCCTACAGACTTTCGCGTATTGGGTGACGAACGCGAGATAGGTGAGTACGTTGTAGAACGGCATGCTCCTTATGTTTACCGTATCCGCGTAGCAGACGACTTTGCGATCCGATTCTTACAAATATATTCGCATCTTGCCACACTTTGGACGACAGAGCCCAGATGGGACGAAACGGGTGACAATGGAATGGTCTATAATTCTCCGTCGGTCTCATCACCACGGTCTCTACGGGATAATCTAGATTCTGTTCTTCCCGAAGCCTTCAACATTAACAGCGAGGGAAAACTGACGCATACCCTGTGGCTTTTCTGCGTTCTATTTGCCACCTGCATAAGCTCGCCGGAAATCATGACAAATCTTGGTCACTCGATTTTTCCAGGTGACAATGAGCCTCCTCGTCAATCGCTTGTGGAAGACGTGAAACGGTACCTCGTGGATGTACAGAATCATATTGATAATGCCAGGGAAACGGGGGATGATGACGAAGAAGCCCCTGTTTCTGCATGGTCGGACACCCCCTCGGATACTCGGGACGATCCCTATTTTCATGTCCCCCAAAGCCATATGATGTCCGAAACCGACGTTGGCGGAATATCCAAAGACGAAAACAATGTTCTTGCCAGCGCAATAGATAGTGCCTGTTTCATATCTAGTCTCCGCGCGCCAACAAGTGGGTCTCTGGGTCTTGACCTTCCCATTGGGATTAGACACGGCGGAGACGCATGCGTTCTTGCCCATGCTCTCACCACAAGTGAGTTGACGTCTCCGTTATACGATGCCCATGCCGTATCGTCTTGAGCTCAAACGTTGCTTACTAGAAGTTCCTTCGGCACCTTCAAGCGTCTCACAAGCGGTGGTCTGGAGCGGCCTGCGGAGAAGATCTAATGTGGAGGAAGAGCGGCCCCAAAAACGTTTACGGAACTCCAGTCCCCATGCCGTGGTTAGTCAGGAGGATCTGCCCGTCGATATATCTGGTAAGTCAGGCGTACAGCCGCACCCGGTGAAGAAATAGTCAGCACTAGAAGCTCAACTACTATCGCAGGACGCGTAGGGGCGATAAACGCCCATCGGGCAGCACAAACGCTCGCTCTTATCGTGATACATCTTTGCCAGCACAGGATCGATTCTGCGCACGTATCCGATGTGAACGCTAGTAATTTAACTGCAGCGGAACTTGGAGAGCTCCTTGATGTGAGTTCCTAGACATTTTCTTGGATTCTCAGTTCGTGTGCCACGGGCATGTCTCGCGAACTCTTGGCACGCTGCCCTGTGTTGGTTCGCAAGTCATGGGGGCTCGCCCTGGTTTCTTGTCAGCGTCCGGGGGAGTCGATTGCGGAGAACGGCGCGTCAGAGAAGCGGCTTTTTATCTTCTTGTGTTGCGTTGCCATGGTCTCTTTGTGATTTGCGAGGTGGACGGCATGACAATTGAGACATGAGCTGGCGGGCTTCTCTTCATGTTTCTGTTTCTGTTTCCGTTTTTGTTTCTGTTTCATATTATAGTTGGCACGGCGAATCTGTCTTCACACGGTCAATCCGGTGCATGATTTGAAGCCTCATAGTCTGCTCATTTGGGCAGGGTGGCCTATTACCTCCTTTCTACCAGGAATTTGGCTCGAGACCGTGCATCCTTGCCCCTTTTATCTGCAGGGAAATCACATCCTGTGTGAGTTTCCCTCTCGGATAGGGCCTTGATCGGCGTTCTCTGATCTTTCACTTGCTGTGGAGCTGTGGAGCGCGGGGCACAGATTTCAGGATACCCTGGATGTGCTCTCATTGTTATTCTTGGCTGCTCAGACTTCCCTGACTTCAGCCATGTATGACGAGGTAGAAGCCCGACTTATTTTTGATTCCCACCCTCTAAGGGGGACGCGTTCTGCTGATATTTTTGATTCAAGTCCGTGTTGGTCAAGCATGATGTCGCTGAATCTTATTCCAACGTTACTTCTCCATTGTTGTCCCAGAATATACTTATCTCGAAGCGGGGTTATTTCTTGTTCTTGCATTGTTCGCTGAGGACGCTGGACCCCTGCACACCTACATTATGTACCCAGCGCATCACTTGATAGCCTGCTTCTTGCCCTCTTGCCATTAAAAGACGAGTTGCTGAACCCCTGTCCTTTTGTCCTCGATTAGGTAACACCGATGCATATGCATCGGACCCGAATGGCAATGCTACTAGCGCTGAACGAGAAGTCTATTCTGGAAAGCTGCGCATCCACTTGGGGTGCTGTCCTGGAGAACATTCACGATATCAACAAGGAATGAGCACGCAGGCTAGACCATGCAGCTGACGATAAGGTATGTGACCAGTGATATACTATCACGTCGAACCTGAACCAGCTATTAGGAAGCTTCTGTGCGGGCAACTACGACCGCATGCTTGTATTTGGCAAGAGAGGTGCATGATAGGACGATATCCTTCACTCGCTGGAGATAATACGGCGAGGGTGCAAATTCTAATTCAACATTGACATGATCAACTCCCTACGCGATGCACTAGAACTAGAACTGGGAACGTTCCTCAGATCTGCGCATGGATGTCAAGTTCAGCATGATCATCCAAAGGAAGAATACTGACTTGAACGGACATACGACGTATGCGCGCTTGTTCAATAAGTGCGTCGGGACCGGAAGTGAGATCATAACGTCTTGCTAGGGTCTTCTGAAGGTTCTACGCAGCATTTCTAGCTGCCGCATCGAAAGTAAGGGCCTGACTCCATACAAGGACGTAAGGGGCTTAGCGAATGAGCTAATAGGTCATCCGACGATCACACAGACTCTCGTATCATATCACACCACTAACTTCTCGTAGCATAGCGATGAAATCGAGTCACATCATGGATTCGGATGCCAAGATGGGTCAATGGGTGGGAGACAAAGATACGGAAAGGGTTATATGGTGCAGCCGTCGGCTTGTAGGGATCAACCATCAATGGCGTCCCTGTAGCGCCACTTGGCTTTGGGGGCTGGAAGCGCTCCATGGCTGGTTGATGTGGCGGCAAGTTGAAACCAAGATTTTAAAAATGAATGGGGGTGGTAGTAGACGACTATATACGCGTAAGTGAAATGATAGTGCAAGGAACATGCCGTATCTAAATATCAATAGGGTCATTCCTACTCATTCCAGCGGACAATGAAGAAAGCTTCAAGGTAACAACATAAAAGTCAGGTTGAGCAGATGATCAATGATGGAAAATCTATGTTTGTCGACTTGGGCAGGTGGCGGTCGGCCTCAGTGGCAGAAAAAAAGTCACACGGAGAAGATTGCTGACGGTGAAGGATGAGCCAAGATGAGATGATGATGCATTCAGATACGTATTGGCAGGATAAGAGCGGGAGCGTAAATGAAGGGGACCTTCTTTTCATGAACTGCCGCAGTGCCAGAGGATGAGCTAATTGGGTGCGCGTGTAAGAACAAACTCAAACCTTGCAACAAATACTTGATAGTAGAACGTTTTTCTTGGAGAGCGAGAGTAAGACTACGGCAGACAAGGTTCCGCCAGTCAAGGTTCCCACCAAATTCTGAACGTTCAGATACGGCAAAGAACTAACCCAAGGTTCCTGTCACAGGATCGCTAGTCAGGGTGCAGAGATGTTGGGATGATGACGAGCTTTGTTCGTTTCCCTATAACCGGTGCCGGGATATTTGTGGATGAAGTTCATCTTCTTGTTTTATATGTTCTCTAACTGTAACATACACTCTGGAGGGAACGTTCAAGAATTCGTAGGAGGAACCTCCTTCTAGCTCACCGGTCACTCAATGGGCGCCGGGGAGTGCCGACCAGATGTGGTTCCACGATACTTTCTTATCTCATAATCAAATTCTTTTCTTCAAATTTGTCAAAACTAAATAATAAAATAAAATAACTACTTTAATTAACTCGTTTAATAAACAACAGATCTCGATCGCATTTCCAAATCGTGTCGTGAACGAGAAGAAGGGACCTTATAAGAACGTTCACAAGAAATGAGGGGAAGCAGTTTGCTTTGCCTTGCCCTACTCAGAACATTTTCAACTCCTCCGCAGAGCTCAGCTCAAACCTGAAGCTATCCTCCTCTCCTATATTTACAAAGGGATGGACGTCGACTGGTGTCTTTCTTGTGATCGTCGAATTGTAATTATAACTTTCTCTGTTCTCCTTGATCATATCTAACTTCAATAACAGGACGGCGTGACTACAGCCTCTGGCCCATATTGCTCCCCAGAGTGTCTTTCATATGCTCAACCAGCATCGTCCTCGCCAAGGCTCGCTACTCAAGTAGCTACCCCTGCACCAAACACTCACCACATTCACCAATGGGCTGCCGCTATCCCGCCCCACGTACCTGCTGGCGCACCCTCTTCCCCCTTCGCAGAGGCTTTTGAGCCCACTTCACTATCTACTCAGTCAATTCGTCGTTCTCCTTCACCTCGTGCCCGTTCTCAGGCAACGCCCAAATTGATTGAGCGCACCTCAGCTACAGCACTTGTCCCCACTCTTTGTGTCTCGTCGCCGGCACAAGTTCGACCTCTCCCCCCTACGCGCAGCACGAACTGCGCTTATTTTAATGGCAATACGGCGTCCAACACCACTGCCAGCATGAGCGAAGCGAGCACTTCCCTTACTAGTCTCTTGAGCGAACCGCTCGTGGCTACTCCTGAGGAAGACTGCCCCTTCGGTATTGGCGCTTTCGTGCGCTCTTGGGTTCACCGCGACCGTGAACATGCAAAGTCCAACAACGAAGAAGTCGTAGAGGAAATTAAAACATATTTCCCCCCTTATTTATCCGCCAAAACATCTCCACCTCGTTCAAAAAAAGCCAAGATCATCCAGTCGCCTTCGCCTGCACCTATGATACGCCAAAAATTCCCTGTTATGAAAGCTACTCATTTTAATGACCGTGACCGTTCAACACCCACCGACTCCCACACACCTACGCCTGTTATCTTCCCTTCATGCCGGGCTGCCGAGCTTGACTGGGATGACGACGATGACGACAACGAGAGTTTCGTCCCACAGGCTCACTACCAACACTTCCAGCAGAAGTACAAGCCTCAGATGCGTTCGCCATCGCTCTCCCCTTCTGCTTCCTCCGGTACCGGTTCTTCTATCCTCCTGATGGCACCGAAGCGATTGGACGTCCACGGTCGTCGCGGTGGTCGTGTTATCGCCCCATGAGGTGCTGCGCGTCTTTTTCATTATCACTATCGCCCCCTTCCTCACTCAGCATATTCGTAAAACCGCCTCGTGCCGATAGGCGCTCATTGACTTATGGACCCTCGATATCCCCAAAATTCACCCTCATGGTTGTTGTTCGTTATAACCCCTTTCAAAACCTAGGAACACTCCGTGCATCTTGTACCAATTTTTCCTCTCGACGTTGCTTGACAGCGCCCACGATCACAATCTTTCAATTTGTCGCTGCTTTCTTCACACACACACGCTCTTTCTCACTCCTCATACATTGTATATACATGCATATACACATAGATAGCTCGTTGCACTTGCATACACACGTCTCCTGCCCACTTCTGGATATCGTATTGATTTATTGTACACTAGATGTTGGCACAAGCCAAGTGGAATTCGTCGTTGAAACAAAAATTCTTGCATGTGACCTAAGAAAAAACTTGATCTATAAGCACGGAATTTGAACGTGGCGTGATTTGAAGCGAGTGATTGTCGATGGCTGGTCAAAAGGCAAAACAGTTGGTGTGATCTGCCAGTGGAACGTCCCTATTTGTCTCATACGAAAGCGGAGAGTTCATTGCATCACTGCCCTGTCACTTGTCAAGTTGCACAGCTTGTGAAAAAAATTCATTCAAGTCTAAATTGAAAGTCGGCCCTTGGCTCGTGAGTGCGTCCTGGCGTTTGACAGTGACAGTAGCATCGCTCTTCGCGGGAGGGGCCACTTCCCATAACCGCGTGGGCTATCTTGGAAAAACGCGGGGTTTCGCTGTCAAAGCTAAGCGACAAAATCGCTGTTAGGGTGACGGAGTGGACGCGGCAACTTGCAAGTCCTGGCATGATGGGTGACTCATGTCTTGATGCATGGCTGTGGTGCCTGGGCTAGCCAAGGAAAAAAGAGTACGTGAAAGTTTGAGTATGATGATACTTGATATCATGATTGATGCTTGCTAGCATGTGGCTGATGCGAGGAACCCGCAAGTGGGCTGACAGCCTGCGGCAGGGGCCCAGATCTAGAGCAGCCCTTGGTTTGTACGTATGCTTCTGCTCGCCTCAAGTGCATTCATCTACCGGTGAAATAAGACGCGGACGATGGGACCGCGCTCTCTTCCGAAGTAGATCACGGTTTTATGCGACTCCATGATTTGCCTGTTTTGAATAATGCTTCTTCAATTCAATTGAGTGTACGTGGAAGAATCTCATTCTAGATTCTTCCGTGGCGTTGGCCACAATTTCAACAGGTTTCTGATATCTGGTCACTGGAAGCTCATTAATAATAAATTTTATGTTGGGACCATGGTTGTTCAACTTGCTCTGCTGGCAGGGTATTCTGATCTCGGAATTCTCCGATTGTCGCCGACGCAACCCTCAAACATGTTCGGTGACCGGCAGTCCTTATACTTTGTGATCAGAGGGTGGTTAATCCGCATCTCGCAACTATGAAACTACCGGATGAATGATAATTCAAATGACTAGCTCCCACTCAAATATATTTGTCCCATGCCTGTGACCAAGCTCTGGGCCCTTCTTGATGGGATCGTGAATCATCCGCTCTTACCGTAATGATGACTCCAATTTTATTGGTAGTAGGGTTCATCTTCCACTTGGCTCATACACGACCAGCTACGCACTGTTACGCTTCGCCTAGCTGTGTACTGCGCAAGCTGACTCGTTTCCGCTTCGTGATTTACTAAACGATAGTGTTACGATGAAACGAACCCCCATATTAATGCTGCCATGTCTCATGCCCATCCGTGGCAAACCTTGGAAGACGCGATGATCCTTGAGCTTATTTTGGGGGACCGTTCTTCGTCCTTCAAATACTCAATATTCAATCCGGGAAGATTCCGAGGGCTTTCATTGATTTGTATATTAATGGGACCTAATCGAGTTCGTGTCCTATTTCACAGCGTTCAGTACTCCAAGTTCTCGTCACTTTACTCTCACTCCTTGCAAGATACATTTAGGCTTGAATCTCACTCGCTTTCCTGATTGCCAGCATGCTACTGTGATATTCTTGGAATCCGACAACTGAAGAGATGTCAAGACAGCTGGTACGGTCCACGCTGCACGTGTATCACCAACGCATTAACAACCAAGACTCAAGGCTCCCACAGAAGACTGCGCATAGAAACCATATCTACACCGGTCAGCCATCCATTCACATTCATAAAATGATGGTGATAAGCCATTAGATGACGTCTTCACCTTTGCGCAACCAACGGTATTGGAAACACGGCGTAGCCGGAAAGTACGTGCGGGCCGTCACCTTGCCAGAAACAACTCGGGCACCGCCTTGTGCATGAAAAAATTTCACGGCGCTCATGCAACAATAGCACTCGGCGCATTTGACACACCCAGATCTGTAGATCAGGCTTTGACAAGGTACTTATCTGTAGGGTGTTGCGTTCCCTCGATCCCGTATGTTCGATTCGAGCTAATGCAAATCAAGATTCTTCGCCGATGGCGGGATAGGCTATTCGGCGAGCCGAGTAGGGTGTCATCATGTATGTTCTAAAGAATGGAAACTTTGACAGTCAAGCAGTGCATATTGATAATGACGATCAAAGCGCTGCCGCACGGGTGACGCTCAAAGGTTAATTGCCAAGCTAACTGATGTGAGGGTTAGCTAAGTCTAAGAATACCTCCCGCTCGTGATGCGCAGCTAGCACCAAAGTTAGTGTTACAACTCTCCCGCCAGCCGGTGGCGTCGGGGGCGGGAGACTGGGTCTTTTGTTACATGTCCATTATTGGAATGTCCGGGGCATGCGCCAAGACGACATCTTTGTTCTTGCCATATCGGGATCGAGTGAACGCTGACAGTTTCGACCTGACTAGCTTTTCAATCGATAGACGTTAGAACTTATTGGAACCTATGCAAATTCAAGATAACCGTTGCAGGGACTACTGTCACTAGACCAGTATACGCTAATCAGATCATTATGTCGCAATAGATATGACAGTGGAACTAGGTGGCATAACAGGATTGGAAGAACATTCAATGGATCTGAGTAGAACGTTCTCGAGCAATTGGTCATCGTTAATCAAACATCGCCAACTTGTGTATATAACCACCATCCCAAGTGTTTGGTGTGGGATCATCGATACGCCAATCCTTATATGATATAGAGTCCATTGCTCTCTGAGTTATCAGATAAGCAGAGATAAGCAGCCGCGGGCTTATGGTCACGACATATGTGGATTGTTTGCTTACGCGACGTTCCCCAGTACACCAAGGCACCAGCGACACACAATTGTTTGGGGCGGAGTTTGCGCGATTTCGTATGCAAGCTCCGGCCTGTCGAGTAAAAACCTGCGCCAGCTGGCATCATTCCATGTCCGATCAACCTCGAGCTCAGGGGAAGAACACCTGTAGACCCGTGTGCCGGCACGTCATATCTTTCAGGTCGCATATCGTTGCACAACTTGCACGAAACAACTTGCCGGTACCTTGAAACTTCATGACGCCCATCGGGCCAAGTAGAAGAATATCCGTGACATCCGTATAGATAACAGTCAAGCACGCCTGCGTGAGGCGCTCCACTGGTCGCTAAGCAAAGTGGAGGAGCAGACATTCGATGCTGAACATCCGTCCCGACCGGAAACCAATAAAATGCCGAACGACGGTAGATTTACCGCACCCCAGCTAATAACAGAAGGCTGGGAATTCCCTCAAACAATTAACCCCAGTTCCGGAATGAAAGACGACGAACCTGTGCTGCCTTGAGAGTCGGGGGCTATAACATATTGCACTCGGACCTTGGTCAAAATACTGATTCCAATCAGACAAGAGATAGTTAGGAGACACGGCGCATCACGCTGCTCCAGCCACATGACAGCAAGTTGTGCCTCTAATTGATCGCACCCACATAGCATGCATGTCTGGAGTGGCGTCGTTCCAGACAAACAAGCATAAACCGACATAACGATTGGCGCGCGATTCTCTGGCCCGAGCTTGCTCAAGGCTCTATGTTAAGTTACTGTGCCAACCTAAAATTCAAGGAATTTCAACTTTGGGGTACTTGGCAAGGGGTTACCAAGTCAGGTGCTCTTCATGCCAAATTTCGCGCGGTCTTAACAACTTCCGCAGTTGTCGAACTAGCCCGCTTTGGGATCAACTGGGAAAAGTGTGAAGGTAACGTTTTGGGGGTCGTTGATAACGCCAACAAACTTGATTGTAGTAGAGCGAATAACAGCGGAACAAGAAGCTGGTTCTCAACGGCCCGGCGGATGTTGTGGAGTACATGCCGTTGCGACTGTAGTCACGATGCTCGTCTATCTGCCGCAGCTCTCTAGTTGCGGAAGTCTGAGTGGTTCGTAAAGTCAAAAATTCACGTATATGATGTCATGAACATACCGAGAGTCTAACCAGATCGAAACGGTGGCTCAACGAGTGTGGTCTATCATGCCCTTAAACAATGCCTACCTGCGCAAATGACATGAGTGTGTTCGACTCCGCAGCGCTTGATCCAAGTTCGTGCAATTACAAAAACCCGAGCACACGGCGACGATGAACAGCCCACTGAAATGAAGCCCCCAAAACCGAAGGCCCAAGAGGAAGAGATATGATATGTAGAACATGAAGAACCAACCCAACCATGGCAATGACTTCAGTATCGCTCAAGGTGAGAGGGCGATAAGGATTCAATCAAACAAAAGAAGATGTCGTGTTCGCCTACTTCTTGATCTTGGCCAGGAGTGGCGGTGATACGAAGGCCATGATATGCTGCATCATCATCATTATGAGGGCTCGGAATCAGCGCGTCGGACGCCGCATTACGAACTTACGTTGACTCGGAAGTCCAGGGGTGACCACGAGATGTGGAGGTGGGGCAGATGAACTTGTGGTGAAGTATAAGATTCCACGCTAGTGCCCAATGGCTCCGATATCATTGTAACACGGTATATGGCAATAGAAGGCTCGCAGTGCCGCTAGTAGCAGCAACTATGCATTGGCACTCACAAACTGTACATTACAGCGCTGATAGAAGAATCTATTCCACGGCCTTCGGCCACCAACGGTTCTTACAATGACACGATGTGAAGCACGAACTCGGGGTAATCTCGGTGACGGTCAACCTTGACAAGAACAAGAACCAAGAAGTTGGACTGACAACCTCCATGCATCATGAGCGAGATGAAGGCACTCAGGAGTAAAAAATATAGAAGTCGCGCAAGGTAGCGGGTTAAAAAAGACATTACAGCTATTCCCAGTCAGGAAGGTGCAGACCATTCGGGAATTTGTATGATACTGGCAACTGTAGTAGACGATAAGGAGTGACTAAGTCCAACGAATGTTAAAAAAAGCGCTGTGCTCTCTCGAAGCTCAAAATTGTCTGTTCAACGATTAGCACCAATGCCCAAACTTGGTCTCCCCTAGACCTTTGTAGACGAAGGGAGATAGATATCAGATGGTCGTTCTGTCTGCTAATATTACATGTGTAATAATACAAACCCAGTAAGAGGATCCATAGGGAAGGCCTCAAAGGCAATTTCCAAAGATAGTCTTAAGAACGAGAAGCTCGTCATTTTTAGACAGCAACTTAGCGCATCTTTACAATGAGAACTCTGAAAAATTGTATATTATACAACCAGTAATATGAGCAGACTCCAACCGGCAACCGATATGAGACGGTGCTGTTGGTTTGTCAGTGAAATGTACAACAAACCTTTCGGAGTTAAGAGGTCTCGGAAGTACATGTTGCGAACGTACGAACATTTTGGCAAAACTACTTGCCCTGCTTTCACCTCTACGTTTGGGATTTCGTCTGCTGTGCACAACAAATATGATCAAACAACAAAGAGTAGCAATAGCTTCACTGGGGAGGCGGTTGAAAACTGGAAAGTAATTAAGATCAGCAGTGCACTGAAATTAAATAAAGGACAATACCCAGGGGGAGGGGGACCACCAAAGCCTGGTGGAGGGGGGAATGGTGCACCTGGAGGGAAGCCAGGTGGACGGAAGCCAGGAGGGGGGCCGGGCATGCCTGGTGGAGCAAAGGGCATTGCAGGGACGACCCATGGGGGGCATACCCACTAAATACATAATAAGCGTCATATTTCCATCGTGTCAGTTAACATACTGGGAGGCATCATTCCCATTCCTCGGCCAGCAGGCATTCCACGACCAGGGCCGACAGGCAGCTGAATCCAACACACATGTAAGATCCTGACCGAGGAATTAGCAGAGCATGACGTACCACATTCTTTTTGTCCTCATCTACAACTGGCGGAGGCCCCTCAACACTTAAGCTGACAACTGTCTCCCCTCGTAAAATCACGAGCCCTAAGGTGCGCTTCATCTCTTGCTCAGCAGGCGTCTCAGTTTCTCCGGGCTTTTTTTTGGGTCGAACGCGTCTGAATTCTTCACAGTCCGCAAGGACAAGGTTCATGTGCCTATCGAATGCGAGCATTTGACCTGTCAACGCGCGTCCGTCATTGATGGTCACTTTGAGCCTCCAATTGATGAGGCCCAGCATTTTTCCTCCTTTGGATTTTGGGGGAGGCTGAGGAACGATAATCAGACAACATGTGCACCAGTTCTGATCAGGACTTACCATGATGGTCGACTAGGATTACGGTCTGTAGATGCGGACGATGACAAGAAATGAGATAGAGTTGACTGCTACAAACAATGCCAAATATCTGATCTTGTGACTGCTTGAGTCTTGTCAACGCCATTCACAGTGACACTCAGTAAGTACTGCAGCTGAATACTGATTCACAGCTTGCACATAATCAATTTTTGTGGGGTTTCTGCTCATAAGATTGCGTGACGGTTGCATGATTACTATTGCAGCTGAAAAATCATGCTGACAGATTTATGTTCGAGCGAAATGTTATTGTCAGTTACTAGTCCAACAGTGATTTAGCGTCGGTAATTTCGCCCGACAGTGTTTAGTACTGAATACACGACTACATATATATATAGATCTATAATTTCGCTTCCCTCACTGTATCACTCGATATGTCAAAGATTCATAACGCTTTCACCGTCCTGATGGGTGGGTGTATTCACTTGCTCTCTATTATGGATTTGCATGTCTAATTCAGGAGACTCACAGACATACCTACTCCTATAGTAGCCGCCCCTATGGCAGGGGCTAGTGGGGGCGCATTAGCGGCCCAGGCATCCGCTGCCGGAGCATTTGGATTTATCGGTGCAGGTGGAGACCATCACACTTTTTGCGAGTGACTTTCTAAATAAATCATCAAGGATATTTGACGTCTTCTCGCATTCAGGAGGAGCTATCATTAGCTCGCACGCAACTTCTCCTATCCGACACAGATCCCCTCTCAATCGGTGTGGGTTATCTGGCTTGGCAACTGGAGAAAGATCCCTCCTCTGGCGCTGGATTGCTTAACGTTTCCCTTTCTAACAGAGTTCAGGCCATCTGGCTGGCGTTCGGGAACAATATAGATCGATGGATCGACCATATTCGCTCTTATGATGCGAGTTCCGGACGGGAGAAGAAAACTCTAATTTTTGTACAAGTTTCCTCAGCGAAAGAGGCTCTCATTGCCATCCAGGACTGGAAAGTTGACGTCTTAGTAGCTCAAGGTTTTTCCCCTACCTCCTTAAGCTTGGTTTGAACTTTCCTCTCATGGGTATTGTCGCAGGGTCTGAATCTGGCGGGCATGGGTATAGCGCCGCTCCACCGCTTCTCACGCTGGTGCCCTCTATCTTGGCAGTGCTGCCCAAAGACGGCCCGCCCCTTCTCGCAGCCGGCGGATTGTCAACCGGCGGTCACGTTGCGTCTCTTCTTGCACTCGGAGTCTCTGGCGTGGTGCTTGGCACCAGATTTCTGATGACGAAAGAGAGCTTCTATAATGAGGCGCAAAAAAATGTGCTTGTTATGGCCAGTGGCAATGCCACAGTGCGCACGACGGCATTTGACCGTGCTAGAGGAACTCTGGATTGGCCGGAAGGCGTCGACGGTCGTGCCATTTATAACAAGACAGTGAAAGATGTAGATGATGGTGTCGACATCGAAATTGTTCGAGAGAATTTCAACAGGGCAATACAGGATAGGGATCCTGATCGAATGTTGGTTTGGGCAGGTAGTGGAGTTGAGTTGGTCACAGAAATTCAGACTACCCAGGTCAGTTTGACTCGCTAAATTGCAACGTGCCCGGCTGTCAGTTGATTTATGTTTGTATAGGATGTTGTTCGGGAACTCCACGCAGATATGATGGAACATTTAAGTTTTGTATCAACACTTATTGCCACCTAGTGGCAAATCCGTTGGTTTCCGTGAACTCAGGACCATTTGTCTTTCCAATTCGGACGGGCTGTTTCGCTTGCTGCATGTCCCTGCGTAGTGTTAACATTTGGAAAGATAACTGTCAGGAACACCATTGATTCCGGTCGGTAATAGTGTGATATGCATTCTATGAAACTATAATACAAGTAATCGTGACACCAGTTCGCGTATGCTCGAGAAGATCCTTGCCTTAGTGGACGATTTCCACCGTCAAGTCGCCCTGATTGATAGAGTCACCTATACAGAATTGTTAAGCTAACTCCGTATTCCGGAGAAATGGATAAGAAGGCTTGCCTTCATTGACGACCACGCGTTTAATATGACCAGAAACAGGTGCAGTAACAGCAGACTCCATCTGTGATAAATCAAACGTCAGGAGGTCATCATCTTCAGAGCGTTTCACACATACCTTCATCGCACTCAGTACTAGGTGAAAAAGCGCTCCGTCAGACAGAAAATTAAAGAATGCGGATCATTCTTACCACAAAGAGGGTCGCCTTTCTTAATTTCTTGGCCCTCCTTTACCCTGACCTCAACCACGACACCTGACATAGGCGCACCCACTGATCCGGGGTCAGACGTCGCCTTCTCCCGCGAAACTGTTTCTACTGCGGAATTCTTGTCCTCGACAGACACAGCCCGAACCTGTGGCACAGGGGAAACGTCAGCAAAATCTTCGCATGCCATATACTATTGTTATCGACCTCGCCGTTAACTTCGAACCAGACGTCACGTTGGGCACGACCTTCCACAACAGGCCCCACGGCCATCAGGCGGATAATCAGTGTCTTTCCTTTTTCGATCGAGATGTGCATCTCCTCTCCAATAGCCGGTCGCCCCAAGAAGTACCGCGTGGGAAGAACACTGGGGAAAGGATAAGTCCATCTTCGAACATCACACGGCATCATGAGGTTCACCTAAGATCTCCGTATTTCTCAAGGAACCCCTGGTATTCTTCGAAGACCTGACGGAGTTAACATGACTTCAGGATATGCATCGCGGGAGTGCAAGGCACGACATACTTTGGGGTACATGACATACGAGGTAACATCTGCATCCGTGATGTGCTTCCCAAACTTGCTGCGGAGCTCTGCCTTGATCTTCTTGAAGTCCAGGGGTGCCATGGTTGCACCAGGACGTCCATCAATTCTTGGCTTGTTTCTGATGATATTCGAACGAAGTGGCTCAGGGAAACCTCCCACAGGTTGTCCAAGATAGCCCTGGAAAAACTCGACAACAGAGGAGGGGAAGTCAAGCTGGTCTGCACGTTGAATGACGTCCTGTTTGGAGAACGAGTTTGACGTCATCCATTGCGCGAAATCACCAACAACTTTGGACGAGGGCGTGACCTTACAGCTCTGTTAGGGTTTGCACGAAATTAAACAGATAATTGCATGCCTTGACAATGTTGCCACACTGAAGGGAACAATTCAGATGGAATGGGAAATGACGCGCAGAATAACGTACCAGTTCGTTGGCCTCGATGTATTTCTGCTTGATTTCTTGAATTGGAAGGTCGGAAAACGTAAGTTACTAACTGATAAGAAAGACACTCACGGGTCCACTGCGTGCCGAGACCTAATTGCGACGCTTGGAACTATAAGATCGATCAGCCACCAAATCTAAATACATTCCAGACACCACGCTCACCATGAGATTTGTGTATTGACCTCCTGGCATTTCGTGGTCGAAGACACTCGAATCCGAGGCCCGGACATTGGCTTCGAAGCAACTGTAGAGCATGCGAACCTGACTCCAATACAAGTTTAGCGCTTGGATGTCGGCATAGCGGATGCCCGTTCCTAAGTGCGTTTGCTCAAGTGCCATGCACACGGCTCCCATGGAGGGCTGTGATGTCAGACCAGACATACCTACCGGAATTGTTGAACATCGGGTTCGACATTCGTAGATGACAGCAACTTACTATCAATGGCAACATCAACGACATCAGCACCAGCCGCTGCCGCCGCAAGCATGCTAGCTGCTGCAATTCCAGCTGTGTCATGTGAGTGAACGTGGATTGGAATGTCAGGGTACTTCTCCCTGATCGCGCCGATAAGCCTTCAAATGTGTCAGTGTGTAAATTGGACAAAAAAGTGCTTGCCGATGTACAATTTCGCAGCTTCAGGCTTCAACAAACCAGCCATGTCCTTGACACCAAGGATGTGAATTCCCTCTTCCACTAGCTTGTCAATGAAGTCAAGGTAGTATTGCAGTGTGTATTTGGTCTCCTTCGGGCTTGCGACATCACCGCTGTAGCAGACAACAGCCTCAACAACACCTCCTGCCTTCTTGGCGGCATCGATGCCGAGTCTCATCTAAAATGAAATTGAGTACAGTCTCATGAGAATGATTCATTTCGCCTCACATTCTCTATGGAAATCCGTCAACAATCAAGACTATTCGGTAATGGTATCACTCACCAAAGTAGTTCAGCGAGTCGAACACTCGGAAGATATCAAGACCATTCTCGACCGCCTTTTTCGAGAAATCGTAGATCGCGTTGTCACTACACGAATCAGCCAGGCATTAGGCGGAAATGAGACGGCACGCACGGGTAACTTGTATATCCGACACCGTTGGCTCCACGAACGAGAGCCTGGAAGGGGATATTGGGCACCAGCTTACGCAAGGTACGCTGTACAAACGTCAGTTCAAGCTCCTCCAACATATCACAAATCACGCACCAGACGTTCCCAAGGATCTTCGTACAAGAAGCGCATGGCGACATCGAAGGTAGCGCCACCCCACATCTCCAAACTGAATGCGTTCGCGAGGGCATAGCTGGTCTCATTGGCGATGTTGACCATGTCGATCGTCCTAAGGCGGGTAGCGAGCAGCGATTGGTGCGCGTCACGCCAAGTTGTGTCCATGATGAGCGTTCCAGGGTATTCGCGGACGGCCTTCGCGAAAGCTTCGGGACCCTTCTCGACGATAATGTTGCGCCATCCAACCTCACAGGGGAACGTAGTGTCAAGGGGTGTGCCATCCGGGCCGTCGCGGCTCTCGAATTTGGGAACGACAACGTCATCCTTAAGGCCTGGCTCGCCAGTCTGGCCTTTGATGGAGCTCCCATTGACTGCAAGGTCACCAAGGTATGAAAGGAGTTTCTGTGCACGGTTCTGGCTCTGCACCAGCTTGAAGAGCTCAGGGGTGTCATCGATGAACTAACGTGATACAAATGTTCAAAAGTGAGTCTTATGATCCTTACTTCTACGTGATGACTTACAGTGGTCCATGTCTTGCCACCAATGAAGACGTCGTGGGTGAGGAGACGGAACAAGAAGGGAATGTTTGTCTATCGGCAATGTCAGATGCATTTCCATACGAAGACCAAGGGGCAATTACCTTGACACCGCGAATACGGAACTCGACCAAGGCACGCAACATCTTTCTGCGAGCAACTTCGTAGGTTGTGCCACTTACAGTGCACTTCACCAACAGACTGTCGTAATGGGGCTGCCCAGGGAAATGAGTTCAGGATGACTCCAAACGCAAAGTACGATTGGACACATACCGTGATCTGTGCACCTGCAAAGCCAGAGGACGCATCGAGACGAACACCATTTCCTCCAGCACTACGGTACACCTCGATTTTGCCAGTATCGGGCTGGAAACCAGTAGCAGCATCCTCCGTAGTAACACGGCACTGGATCGCAAACCCACGACGAGTGATGGCCTCCTGAGTCAGACCAAGCTGAGGTAGGGTAGCACCAGCAGCAATTTGGATCTGGGCCGCAACGATGTCGATACCAGTAATCTCCTCTGCATTCCAAGTAAGCAATGATAGAAGTGATCTAATTCGTGTCTGGAAATCGTACCAGTAATGGTGTGCTCGACTTGAATACGAGGATTAATTTCAATGAAGTAGTGCCTTCCCATTTGATCGACAAGGAACTCCGCGGTTCCAGCATTCCTATATCCGACGCTCCTCGCGAGCTTGATCGCGTCCGACAAAATGGCCTGACGCACTTCCTCGGGGAGGTGGGTTGCAGGTGCGACCTCGACGACCTTTTGGTGACGTCTCTGGACGGAGCAGTCACGCTCAAACAAGTGAATCGTGTTGCCAACACCGTCGGCAAGGATTTGGACCTCGATATGACGGGGGCGCTCAAGGAAACGCTCGATAAAGACAGTGCCATCTCCGAAGGCTGACCTAGCCTCGGATACGGCACGTTCGAACGCATCTTTGAAGTTTGACTGCTCGCGAACAACACGCATTCCGCGGCCGCCGCCACCCATGGCAGCCTTAATGATGACTATATGCGGCGAAATGGCGTCAGAAGGAAAGCGAAAAGGAGAATATCGACGGACCTGGGAAACCGTATTCTTTGATGAATGCATCACCATCCGTGTATGATGCAACCGGGCCAGGTGTACCGGGAACAACTGGAACACCGACCTTCATAGCTTGATGAGACCATCCTAGTCAGCATATATGGAATCGGTTCTTAGGCAATCACCCACCAAGTGTACGCGCTTTCGTCTTGTCGCCAAGACCGTCTATAACCTCGGGCGATGGCCCGACAAATGCGATTCCAGCCTGCTCGACTTTACGAGCGAATTCAGCATTCTCAGATAAGAAACCGTACCTGGACAACAGTCAGCTAAATATAACGAAGGAGATATTAAGGCAACACACCCAGGGTGAATCATGTCAACCCCATGTTCAAGAGCGATGCGGATGATATCTTCTTGGGCAAGATATGCGCCGACGGGGGTCAGCCCCCTGCCGACTTGATACGCTTCATCGGCCTAATTGATGTTTGATGAGCAACGTTCGATAGATCAAGAATCGTATCATTCAAATACCTTTTGACGATGAGCCGAGAGACGATCCTCGAACGAGTAGATCGCGACGGTGTGCATAGCGAGCTCATGAGCAGTACGGAAGACTCGGATAGCGATTTCCTATAAATGAGATATCTAAGCGACGGGAGACATCCAGACAACTGATCTAAGCGCACACCACGATTAGCGACGAGAATCTTGGTGAGAGGACCACTGTGACCAGCGGATTTCCTTCTCATAGTTTGAATAGAGTGCACTGGCGTACCGGGGGCGCTGGGCGTCCCCACGAACGTATGCGCCAACCTCGGCGGGTGGAGCGGTAACTGAGTCGAAGTAGCCATGATGATGGTTACTGGTTAGAAGTCAAAAGAAAGAATGCTAAAGAAAAATGGGAGTTTAAGAGCTTGGCCTAGTCAGGGATGGTAAGATTGTAGGGTAGTACAGAGCTAACAGGTTCAAACTTGAGGGATTTTGATTATCACCAGTTTGACTTGGGCGCTTAGCCTAAATCGTCTAATCGGACCATATGAAATCACGAGAGGGTCGTAATCCGCAGTGATCCGTCCGCATTGGCATTCCTAGGCCTACAGCATGCATCTTTGTTTCGCTGGTACATGTTTATCTTGGCAGACTATCAAGATCATGAACAAACCTCGGCCGGGTTTAAAGTGGGCCTTACCCATCATCACCATCTCTTGTCTCTTAACCCCATCAAATGGCGTTTGTTCGGCAGCTCGCGAGAAACCACACTATGAGCTTTAACGTAAGTAATTCTATTGCTCTAGATGCTCGGGATATACAGAAACACGGTAACATGATGAAACCGAAAAGTATGTGCACTTGTCGATGAAGTTCTACCTATTCGACAGGGGTATGATAGTGGTTGCTTGAGGCCGGCTCTCCATCTTCTTCTGGTTGTTCTTCGCTATCGCATACACGACTCCTGCAAAGAACCCCATTCCAATCGCCGACACCGATCCTACTGTTACCACATCACCAAAGAAGAGCATACCCGAAGCCGCAACAGGGAGTTTGTTGAGAGCTCCGACCATGCTGTAGTCGGCATTAGCTGTAGACTGTTTAAAGCACTAGAAGTCTTGAATCCGTACCTATAGGTGGTACTACTCGTGGTGCGCACACACCATGCCGTAGAATATGAAATTCCAACTGCAGCCGCACCCGAAAATGCGATAGCGGACAAAAGAACGTTGCGTGTCTCGAGTGGGCTGGATCAGGCAAGCATCAGTGACTATTCTGCAGTCTCGCTGGGTGATGAGGCATCATACAAGTTTCTGACGAGATTCTCTGAGCCCCAATCCTCCACAACAATAGAAAACACTGCCAAGACAGGGATCGATAACAAGTTATTATAGAACATCGAATCCCAATCAGAAAAGCCAGTAGCTTTTATGCGCTTGCGCATGAGAAGAACCTAAGCAACGCAGCCAACATTCAGCTCAGGGACATCATCAGGGCAGGGAGTCTTACGTAGGCAGCACTCATCAGGCAGTTCACAAACATCCATACGTACCCCGCATTCAGTCTAGAAACCATGTTTGACATCATGTCTAAACCAATACCTATGGCAGCGCTCGCTGGTGGAATATTCTCGGTGGCACCTATGGCATTGTTGACATCCGTAAACGCAGCCAATATAGAAGATGACACCTGTCATAAATCAGCCCATAAACCCTATCCATTTGAATAATCATGAGGCCACACACCATAAAAATGAAGGCGACCATCGTAAGTGCTGTAATTCGTCCGCCGAACCACAGAACTTCCCCGTATGCCTAGCTCCGCGTTAGCGTCAATATATTCACGACTAAGAACAATAATCGCACAATGAGTATAATCGTCAGATTCTTGAAAATGGTATAAACGGGTATAGTGAGGTATTGCTGCGGCAAGACTGTTAGGTACGGGTTGAGACTCTTGTTCGGTAGCACTGACCAGACTTTTCGAACCGGTATAGATTACACTGACCAGCAGACAGCTGATGGGATACCATGCTTTGACATCTTGCATGTCGAAATCGCGGAATGATATTATACCTGACTTCTTAGCTGCAATCACGCACGCAACGCAGACTATACTCTGCATTGATAGCAGCAGAAAAGTCATGTTAAATTGACTCCCAGACACTACGAACTAAATCACGCTATCAGAAGCTAAGCATGATGAAAGGACATTGCATATGACCTTGTTCACGACTGTCATCATGATTGACGCCAGGCAGTAGCATATTACGGAAGGAACTATGCACCACCCCGCAATTGAGCAAGCAGCAAACACAAAGCATATCAGTGACTCACTAGCGGAACTAGCATCTCCAGTGTCTTTCTGGTTGCCCGTGGCTAAGTTGCGCCGCAACTCTGCCAGGTCTTGATCCTCTGAAGATTCCTTTGAACTTCCCATGTGCACCTGAAGCCGAGTAGAGAAAGACTAAAAATGGAGCCTGTACTAGAGCCTAGTAGTTGGTGCCGGGGACAAGAAAAAATCGTAAGATATGTACTCAGAGTAAAATACCGTCAGCAGCGCGCGCGCGGATTTCATCCGGTATTACGTAATCACTCCTTGGCACGTGATGTCTACGACCCAGAGTCCAACTTTGCTACATATAACACGACCTTCAGCGCCTCAGTTTGGTGTCGCTGCGATAATAAACAAAAGTGGCTAGGTGAATTTTTGCGATTCTGGTCTATCGATATGAAAATAGCTGTAAGTACTCACTCTATCGATTGCTTATTGATCGAACTTCGGTAGCCCGAAACAAACATACTTGTGAGTCATATGACAAGTTAACAACACAAACTTCCATGTTCAAAGTCCCAGTCGAACACGATAATGATATACATAACCTTATGATTGGTCCCATCTAGAATGGTCACCACGTTCTAGGTCTGGCAACATGTCCGATAACAGATGGCTCGTCGATAGCAAACATCCAGTAGCATTTCAAGGAGCCAGCTTGAGGTACTTGTCCCATGAGCTGGAGTCTGGCCGCCGTCGCATGAGGTATATTTGCCGCGAGAAGCTTATTTGTTCCGAGTTCTTTGTTATAAGAACAACCAATCTGATCAATCACACATCGACCCTACACCACCATGGTTTCACGCCCCTTCCTGCAGAAAAGCGCCATCGCCATCAGCATCGCTAGCCTATTCTACAATATCGCGGAAGGCGTCATCTCCATGGTCTTTGGTGCAGAATCGTCCTCGCATTCTCTCATCTTCTTTGGCATTCAATCGGTAATCGAAGTGCTTTCGGCCTCACTCGTAGTTTGGAGATTTATGAACGGACTCAAAGCTGGTGAAGAAGGCGACGATGGATTTGAAATCAGAATGAGCAAAGACCTGAGGTTTGCATGCTTTCCTCTCTGCCATCTTCGTTTACCGACACATAGCAGGACAGAGAGAATAGCAACCTTGGCTATAGGGATTCTCCTCGCAATGCTTGCCCTAGCAGCCGTAGGTACATCCATCGCCTCCCTTATCGCCCATGAACACCCCAGTCCATCCAACGCATCACTCATCATTGCTGCGAGTGCTTCCTTCATCATGTTCTTGTTCTGGGTGCCGAAGCGCTACCTTGCAAAGGCGCTAAACTCCAGCACGATGAACGGGGAGGCACTTTGTACCTTGTCGTGCATCCAGTTTAGCGGTGCCCTATTGATTGGTTCCCTCATATACCGTGTCTGGCGTGGCGGGTGGTGGGTCGACTCCGCGACTGCCATCGTGATTGCTATGCTTTTTGGTTGGGAGGGCTTTAAGATGATTAGGTGGGCGAGTAGTGATAAATTCAATGGCGGCTGTTGTTGTGGGCAGGAGGAACAGAAGGCAGATAAACAAGTTATCTCTGAAGTTATGCAGCAGCCCAGCACAGCTCCCGGGCGCTGCTGTGGTGACTCTGGTTGTTGCAAGCCTTCACAAGAAAGTACTAACAAAGTATAATATGTTCAAATCATACTTAATGTTGTACAATAAGTATTCAGCCACGCATGTAAAGTATGAGACGAATAGGAATTATGTACTACACTAAGTGACTCTTCCAGTAAAGGATTTCTATACCGCTGGAGTACGACGGAACTAAGCGATGATCAGTATGGTTCGATACGTTGCCGTCGCTGTCCACAACCATAGAAATCACAGATGTTGAATTGCGGTCAGGAATGTAGTGTGCGCTTTGTTCGGCCATATCCAAAGGAATCCCATGACTGGTGACAGTGTTAGCATGAATATACTTCCGGAGGAAAGGACCTACATCTCAGCCAAATGATTCTGGATGAAAATAAGTGACATGGCATCGCGCACATGATGCTGGCACAAGGCGCAATACACGATAGCATCTGCCTTCACAAGAGGTTTGGCTTCTTTTTCATAATCTTTGACATTTTCCAATTCGTCACCCTCTATCATTGTCCACTGGATCTCTTCAGGTTGCAGATCTCTGTGCAAGCGATAGCTGTGCATCACCTGTTACGACAAACCGATGAGCATGGTCGCAAAAATCCGCGTAAATTTCATTTACCGCCATGTCCCATGTCATAACCACCTTTCTGCCCGGCGTGGAACACTTTCCACATGCAAAGCGAGCATTTAGTCTATCCATGTCCTCTCGACGCGTAGTCTTCGGGTCAAGACTGGCGGCCTGAACGACAGCTGCAGTTCCTTCGAAAATACTGATCCGAGGAAGATGTCTAACGGCGGACCACATCCGGCACCCGAACTGTTTCACTTGTAGAAGGTAGACCTCGTCATCCAGCATGGCAGATGCTGGAACAAAAAATCCAGGCCACGACAGCACCTCTGGATACATCAGTAGACGACGATCACTGCCAGATTCAGCAACGAATACAGCAGTCGCCAGCTGCAGGTAATCCGCATCCTCCTGTTTTCTACTATCGCCCTCGCTTTCTGCACAACGGATCAGGTCTAAAAATTCGTGATCAATTTTGGCTCTCCAGGAGGATATAAAGTCCGGGAGCTGCTGAAAAGCAGAGATGAATGAAGTCGCGGTAATTGTGGCTGATTCAGGTGACATGATGAGAACTCTGAAGGGGTCGAATTCTGCAACATCGACGGCATGGGGCATCATGTCAAATGCTGCGTCCGGGGGAGGGGGGCGCTGGAGGTACTTCTTGTATTCATCCATCAGAATCTGGCGCCGAGGACCGTAGACTTTAGCTTCTATGCGACGGATCCTGACATCATCAAGTGCTGTAATCAAACCTGGGCGCATACGATCCCACGCTGGTAGCAAGGAGATATGTACCTAGTTCTGACAATTCGACGATATACTCACATTTTTGATTAAGAGGTTTTGGTTCCTTGAACGATGTCCCCAGATGATCTTGCAACCAAAATCTACTCACATAGTCCAACTCAGGCTCGTAGCCTGCTTCAGTGAGGCGAGTCACAATACTAAGTTTTTGCATCAGTTAAGGCTAGAGCATACAAGAGAGTAGTAGCTGACGTACTCGTCCTGGCGACTGCGTCTAATGGCGTCAAGTTCATGTTTGCGAGAACTTGCAACAGACTGTGACCACTGCTGACATTGCTCTGCATGCTGGAATGAAGATTTAATTGCATAACCCAGGTATAACAAGCTCGACGACCTACTTTCATAACCTCAGCAGCATGCTTTCGCTTCTTAGACAACAAAGCTGCTATCTCGTCCGCTGGCATTTTTGAGTGCTCGGCAAGTAGTTCATCAAATGCCTTCTTGAGGAACAGTTGCTTGGGTCGACCTAAAACGTCGTAAGAAGACGAATGTGACAGTGATGCAGGTCGGGGTAGGCCTACCCGTTCCATATATATTGGCATGCGGTAAGTCATATGAATTGAGATTTACCGCCCATGGGATGCGGCTTCGTGGGCTCCACTGATCAAGAGTGCTATGTGCAGCGTAAATACAAGGGTTGACGAGCCTGAACCAAGATGACCAACTTTTCACCGATGCATCCGGGGCAGTACCGTGCCCGAAGTGGCCATAAAACGGATCGGACAACTCTGTCGCAATCCTACAGTACACATTGATGAGAAAGGGTGGAAACACTTTCGATAAAGCTCGTCGCACATGGCAATGAGGGTAAAAAACAAGATTTGCATACTGTGGTTCACTTATGTCTTGAGGACAATCGGGAAGGTCATCAACTTGGAGGCGGGCAGTTTTCCAAGCGGAAGCGGATGATCGTTGCAGCAATAAATTTCGGAAGTCCTTGCTGGTTCGGGATAGATTCAAGAGGTCTATTGGAAGGAGAAAGCTGAGTATCTGTATGAACTCATGAGCCTTGGGTAAAAAAAATTGTAGGCTCGAGCCTGACATGAAATAGAATATCTAAGTTCATGGTGGGCATTAGGTCGAGTCGTCCACGGCGCTTCAACTTCGTTTTGGCGCGGTGACCCCCGCCTTTCCTGGATTTTTTCTTGACATGGCGCGGAGCAATATCAGGGTCTTCTGAATCCTCATCACTAGTAGTACTAGCTTGAGGGACAAGCCTTCCTGGATTTGAGACCATTACCCTTGGGGAGTCATTGCGGACTACACGAGTGGCCGATCTTGTTGTAACCATTGAACCACAGTCCTCGGTGCACACGGACTTGAAGCTTGAACCGCGTGGGGGTCGTAAAAAAAGGAGTCTCGCTGAATCGGGATTGGTCTTCATGTCACAAAAATGAGCAAACAATCAAAAGTAAATATACTTACAGATAAACAAATAGACAACATTCACATGGACACACCACAGCTTTACGACAATCAAGAACATTCATTACAGCAAATCTCAAGCATGTACTACGGTAGAGGGTAACAGTCCACAGAAAAACGATCAGAATCCAAAGCCGGTCATAGCCTGAGTAGTATGAGGTCAGTCATACGGAACTCCAAGTGCGCGGGGAAACTCACAGGCATCATACCAACCATGCCGTTACCATTTGCCATTGGCATTGGTGGCGGTTGACCTACATATCTAAGACTCGTTCATTAAATCAAGTATGTGAACTCGCCAGGATGTTGCTTACCCATTGGTTATCATCAGACGGGTGGCAGGATTGATAATCGGGGCTTCAGCTTCTTGCTGCTCCTTGGCGGATTCTTTTTTGGTGCGCTCCTTGACCTCCTTCTCCAATGCAGCCAACTTTTCGCGCATGGTCCTTGATACTTGGATTTTGTATGGCATGTAGAAATCATTGAGAGCGTGTTGCCATGACAACTCCTCCACAACATCTGGGCGAAGAAGGTCGAAGCAAACGTATAGCATAGCGGCGAAGCACTCCTTGTTGCCGATATCAACGAAGTAAGAGAGTAGATCTTCAGCGACATCCGTTGAAGCGGAGGTGGCGGCAGTGATAATAGCGTCTTTATACAATTGATCGTGCTTTGAGAGAGATATCGACTCTTCCCAGCGAGAGTTTTTCTTAAATACAAAAGTCAGTGTCAGTTTCATATCATTGTATAATCAAACGATCATGTACCTTGTACAGATGTGCCGCGAGTCTCCTGAATTCCAGCAGACCATGCTGTTCTAAGCGTCGTGCAAGACCAATGTTGTCGAAGTTGTCAAAACTGTCAATAGAATCTCGGAGGGTTTTATAGTCTTCTTCTTCTATGAGGAGGTCGTTGTATGCATCGTTTACGGTCTCAATATTCAGCTACTCGAGCGATCAGCTCTCGCATAGAGAAGACAACAAGCGCAAAGCAACTTACATGCTGGACGGCAATGAGATATGCCCGAATCAACGGAATATGATCTATCTGGCGGAACGTACGGACAACCCGCGCGTGTTCAATGCGGGGAATGAGGACGGTGAGAAGATCAGTCAAAAGCGTCGGTTGTTCTTGAAGATAGAATGTGAGCGCCTTGTAATATCTAGAAAATTATTCTAGCTAGAAGTATCGTCAGATCTGCGAGAACGCACATTTCGACGTTGGCAGCCCGAACAACAACATCTTTGAACTGGTTATGTTCCCAAGCATCAGCTGAACGTTCAATCATCGCCAGAGCCGCATTATCCTAGAACAACCATGAGTATTTGTTGATAGAGTTGGTGACAATAACACGTACAAACTCGTCGTATTTGATGTATAGAAAGACCAACTCGGGCCAGAGATGAGCCCTTTCAGTGGCTTTGATGACCTAGATAGGGTCTGAGCATGCATGTCAAGATAATGTTTGTGACACCTGCCTTGGGAATGTTGATTCTCGAGACGAAAAGCTTGAGGTGTTCCATCACTAATTAAATGGACATGAGATTCTGTTATGGAGATAACTATGCGCCTACATTTGCCCGGTCTGTACTTGCTGTATAGGATCGACAACTCGGTGAAGATACCCATCTGTCCAAATAATCAGAGCTGACAATGCCAGACGTCTTAAGAGCACTTACGTGCGCTCGCTCCAAACTCAAAGCAGCTTCAAGCAAGGACAAAACTTCGTCGAAGTAGCCCCAGCGTTCATAAGACCGGAGCAGAGCGGCCACTTCCTCCTAAAATGATAGTGAGTGTAGGACATAATTATTAGAATGCTAACTGACCGCGTGAACAACGATGTTCAAGCCACAAATTTGCGCCTGCGACGATAGTCAGTATACGACCAACTGAACTTCATATATAAAACCACTGACGAGTCTGAATTCAGCTTTCTCAATACATGCAGCATGGACTTGCTTCCAAACCCTTAGGTAGAGTTAGTTCAAGATCGACGCTTTGAAAAAAATGAACGTGCTGAGTGTTTCCAGCCTTCCGGGCACTTTCCACAGCCGCTTGATTCTCGCCAAGGTAAATGAGAGTTGTGGCAAGACGTGCCCAGTTTGAGATACTGGTGAATAATAATTTGGCAGCCTGGTATAGTTCGTCTTCGAAGCACTTCTCTCCGACCTCCAGGATGTCAGCAACATTGGTCATGGACAAGAAGTCCTCCATGTCGTGGAGACGGTCAGTCTTGGCATAAGCATACGCAAGCTCTGTGTCAATCTTAGGTTCGCGAAGTGTCTTGCGAGCCATTTGGAGGAAGCGAACAAGATCATCATGTTTCCCAGCGTGGCTCGAAATTTCAATGACCTCAGCGAAGTTAGAGGGGTCCTCAGCCTTGATATACGAGTCTGGAGAATAACATCAATGACAATACACGCGGGAAATTACAAATAACCTACCAATGGCGTCCTTGATGCGAAGACCATCGAGCTGAGCCTTGGCAAGTCTGCTCCACACTTCTGGCTTGTTGGCCTTGTTCGCATAGTCTAAACCGCGGTCAATGGAGGCGATATGCTCGACGAGAACATTGATAGCCATTGCATGCTGATCGTATTTCTTGTAGATCGTCAGTGCCTCTTCATACAATCCATGATCGGTCGCAATCTTTGCTATCTCTCCGGCGTCGTAGTTCTGGAGCTTGTTGATGTAGCCAACGACCTTCCCCTTGTCTGCGCGGATTGAAGTCAGGAGAAGAAGGTTCTGAAGATTGCGATTGTCGCTGAACGGAGAGGGCTCGATGACTACTTTCTCGAGAAGCTCGATCAACTCAATGGGGAGATCAGCCGAGAGGAATGCCTTGACGGTTACAGAGACATCATCAGGGTCCGTGCACTCTGGGAGTGCAGTCGCGACGATCTATTCAATGGAGGGTGAGCCTCTAGGAATGCGTGGTCAAATTTGTTCAATTCAATCTCACCTGATCAATGAGAGCCCTGCGGTGAATATTGTCATGGACAAGAACCTGTGCCCAAAGCTCAGGCTGGCGACGTTTCACGAGGTACCGAGCTTGCTGCTTGAACATCGAGTTGTCGTTGGTAATACCGATAAGCTCATCATCACAGAAGCCCTTTGCATAGGCGATGTAGGCAAGGTAAGGATCCCTAGCCTCGCAGAACTTTCCGACAACCAGTGGCTCATACAGCTATGGAACAAGCAAGTGAGCACGCCAGTTAAACACATTCGCCAGATGGCATGACTCACGTTGTTTTCCTTCAAGAACGTTTCCGGGTTGTTGTTGCTGTCGATGAAAATCTTGGCCAAGGCATTGAAGACCGCTGGGTCCTGGCTGCCAGACTGCACGCGAGCCTCCAGCCAAGGCAGAATGAGTTTCAAACGGTTGCGTTGCTCGACTTCATTCACAAGCTCATCAATGGGGAAATTCCCAGTGACGGAGGCAAGTAAACCCTTGATGGTGGTCTCATCGCAATCCACATCGAGTAAACCCCCAACAACCTGAGGCGTTCGGACCGAGTTTACACGCTGCACATACACCTCAATGAACTTCGTGAGTCCGTTCTGGTACAGGTACAGAACCAGGTCGTGCACGAAGTCGAAGCGGTCACAGACAATGATGAGGGGAAGTTGATCCGGGAGTTTCGCCTCCTTCAGGAAGTTCTTGACCTTCTCAGGGTTGTAGTAGTTGCTCTCTCTGCAGATTCGCTCGACCTCACGAATTTGACCCGTGCGAGTAGCGGCCTGGATGTACTTGAAGTGCACTTCGGGATCCTCACTGAGATTAACGATTGAGCCAAGATAGTAGTAGAGGCCTGCATCATAATTAGCACTCGTCGACCATTCACCCTAGTCACATGCGACGGGAATCACCTTCAAATGTCTTGAAGGATTCAAACATCTCGATGAGCTTTACAGGACCCAAGATGTCAGAGTACTTCGTAGCGATCTGGATCACAACCTGCAAGTTCTGCCGGATGTTAACGCGCAGCATCTCCTGCATGCATGACATGGACTGCTCTGTTGTTAGACGACTGAAGTAATTGACTAGCCACTTCGGAAATGTCAGCCCCCCACCTCCTGTTGAAAGTAATAAATTGAGAGCTCACCTCCGGTTGCAGACCGCTGGTATGAACAATAGCGCGCTTGATATCCGCTAGGTCTTCATAGTGTTCCAATGCCTTCCCACAGATAAATGAGACATGATCAGCGGTCACGGTCAAATTTTACTCACTCGTTGGAGTAAGCCTGCCTTCTCGCAAAGATTGGCAATTCGGGGTCTATCATAGTGGGTGAACATCTCATTGCCGAGGATGGCATCTGCAACTTGAGGAGCATGAACGAGATTCATCTCGAGCAAGCGAGTTTGCAGATGGCCTTGCTCAGGTTTGTTATCCTTCAATGCATCGAGAAGGAACGAGGTTGCGGGCTGAATCATATTTTGTGACATGAAGATGTCGACCACCTAGGAGAATGACAAATAAGGAACCGACGATCACATAGATAGGAAGTAGCCTTACTCTTTCCATGTCCACGAGTGGCCCGTTCTCGTCATTGACTAACTGGCTTGCGAACTCGGCCCCCTTCTCTGAATTTGTCCTCATGATATGCTGTAAAAGAGAGATATAATCCGGGGTGTAACCAACTTTCTTCGAGTATAGGACGATCTTTTCAGTTTGTCCAGTTTCCGCGAAGCAAGCGATGACCTTATTGGGAACGTTCGCTCGTAGGTAGACACTCAGCGCCAGTGTCATGTCATGTAACCGCACAATGTCCCCCAATTCCTCGCTGCATGTCAACTTCAAAAGAAACTTGAGCAAGAATAAAACACGAGGAAGAATAACCTAACCTTGTTCTCCTTGAGCCACTTTTCAAGCAGTTGTTTCCTTCCCTGTTGCAACACCGGGCGCGCGAGTTCAAGGGACTCGAAGTGGTTGAGCTCGCCCTTCTCCAATAAAATGCCGAAGTACTGCAAAATTGGTGACAAGCCACCAGGAGGCGCTGGAGCTTGTTTGAAGGACTCAATGACTTGCGCAGTCCGGAGTATACCCTGCGTGACAATGTATATTAAGAAGAGAATGATCGACAATTTGAAACCTACCCTAGGAGAGTTCGCAGCAACTTTTGCGGCCTCGCTGTACTGTCCACTAGAAAACAATTGCTGGTACTGCTTAATGTAGAGGTCATCCGCGCCAGGGAGATTTGCACGACTGGCAAGCTTGAAAGCAAGCTCCGTGTTATTGAGGGTGGTCAAAATGTACGGAATGATGGTCTGCTCGTCAACGCTGACCGAAAGAACTTGACCCTTCTTGTTGACACCAATGATACCATTCGACGCTTCGTGCTCAGCAGTGACGAAAATGGTGTCACCAGAGATGCGGTTCATGTACACACATGCACCACTATCCAGGTCATACAGGTGAATGAAACCGTATTTCGTAACTAGGAAGATGATGCCATGTTTCTTCGATACTTGCATTGCCACCGGAAAATCGTTGGTAGCTTCTGGAGGGAAGTAGACATCTACCGCCTTCTTCACAAAGGGAGGATCAGGAGCTGTGTGGTCAATCTCAACGATATGAAGCTAGTAAAATGTTGAGCATTCCGCACGCTTCGCAGTCGCAAGAAAACAAACCTTGGCGCCTGTCGCTGTCCTGACTGCAAACGCAAATAATTTGGTGGCGTGTTGGTGCCCGTCAAGTTTCAGCTCCGCAAAAGTAGCCGCATGCCCCTCAATAGGTTGACTGACGCCCCGTTCACGGCTATACAGCTGCATTGCACCCTTGACCTTGAAAGCCGAGGGATTCGTCGTGTTGCCAGTAATACCGATGAGAACTAGCCATTTCTCGTCCGGAGTCACACGATAGTTGATTATTTGAGCACCAGTCAATGTCGCGTGCCGATCGAATACTTTCTGAGGTGGGGAAGTCTGGTCCGAGATGCTCCAGTGGTACACAGCCGTGTCGGTGACCATACCGATGGTAGTATCTGAGACCCACTTCCAGAACACGACATCTTCTGCGTTGACGTGTGACTTGACTTTTTGCTTCGTTTCAATGTTGAAAATTTGAAGCGTTCGTGCAGCTAGAGTGGGAGCTTTAAGCGATTCCCTTCGTTGTAATGCACACATAACCGTACCCTTCAAGGCGAGAATTTTGTTGTGAGGGTGCATTATGGCAGAGTCTGCGCTTATCGGTCTTCGTAGGACATTATTGGCATCCGCAAGGTCGATGATGACGACTTGATTTTGCTCATTAATCTTCTCTCGTACGCAAATGAAGTGGTCGGACTCCAGGGTCAAGGTCTATGAAACACGAGCCCACGCGGTCAGTCATCTCATTAAGAGCGCAGTTGCACACACGATACTCACCTGCAACATTATAATACAGCCCAGCGCACATGAATAATTGAGTCTCCTTCTACTAACAACGATGCCAAATGGGTTGCGCGTACCTGAAAGCCAATTGAACTTGGCTGAATGGCCAAGCTTGAGAGCTGAAGATGCTCGCAGAATGTGATGGGCTTCGAAATATCGGTCATAGCGCAGAAGTCAAAGCCGGACGCGGCGCAGTTGAAAGAGACGTGGGTGTTGGGTTAGCGAAGGTAAGGTAATAAAGTTTACCATTATTTGTCTCTCGTTTGCAAACGACCAAACTGCGGGAAAACCGACAAATAGGAAGGCATGTAAATACATAAAATCATATATTCCACCAACACTCTACTCTATTCGTCTGACAGTGCCAAAGCTTCCTGCTCAAGATCATCCCTCTCTTCGAGCGTTGCTGGTGGAGCTGCATTGCCATAGTAAAGACGTTGTAGGATGATGGCTTTGGAAAGCGCTTAGTGACGTGTTGCAACTCGTGTAGTGGAGAGACGCTTACCACAGTCTACTGACAATTGGAACACTGCACATACCTTGAACTGCAGGGGTGAGCCCTGAAGGAAAAAATAAACAGTCCTGACCCGACGTCAAGGCGCTGGAGCAATGTATCGGGAGAACTTACTTGAACGAGTCACCCCCCACCCACCCAAGGAGAGTTGAAGCACGGAAGCCATACAGTGATCGTTGTTTGTAATTACTGCACGAGGGTATGTCAGTCAAACGTGTGGACGTCTGGTGTCGATTACCTGATCAACTGCGGAATAGGCAGCGTGCTTTCCAGTCCCAAGGCAACAAACCCTAGTATCATCACGTATAGCTCCGATCGACTAAAGATCAAGAACAATATCGCTGAACATAAACTAGACGGCCCGATGAAGTGGAAAGAGCAGAAATTACGGCTAACGCTCACATGTACCCGGCAAGAAACTCGATATATTGAGCATATGTATGCCACTGCCAAAATGAAAGGGGGCGGGACGACGCTCCGAAGTTTTCAGGGCTCACGCGTGGGCGGTATCGAACGCAAATGTAGAGCAAGGCCAGCTGATGTGATAGTCAGCTCGTCACATGCAGCGAGGCCACAACATACAACATACCTGCGCTATTATCATTAAAATGGACTGCATGAGCAGGGCAAGCTCAAAGTGATCGCCCAACCAGAAAAAACATCGAGTTATGTTTGCGATTAGTCTTCGGTGAAACAATGGAGGTATTGTAGGGTGCGAGATCATGTCAGTGTTGCAGAGCGCAGCAGGGTGATGTCAAAGAGCTCACAAAATGGCGCAGACATCACGAGAGAATCCTGTTGAGTCCCTGGGTAAAGAGTTAAGTAAACCGTGCGTTGGCAGGAACATAAAAAACCGCACTTTTTACGAACGATAGACACGGCTTGGTCAACATAAACTAATGGGGGTCCAATGGCCATTCCGACTGCAGCAACAGTGGGTATCCATGACGCCATGACGCTACTTAGTTGCTAGGAAAGTTAACCTGAATTCACTGCTTAACCGAGTGTGGGGGTTACGAAGAAGCAAGGTGCACAGCCACCTAGTGCTTTTATCAGGTTAGACTTATTGAGTCATAGAAGTCGCCTAGTAGAAGTCTCAAGCTTATCCGACCGAGTTCATTGAACTTACTGCTAAAGCGCCGCGTGCAGGCAGGCCCGAAGCATTAATTCTGCGAACATTCCCCGGAGCGAAGGAGATAACGTTCATTCCTCAATCCTCCACCTTCCATCACCGGCAGGAGTGCTTCAGCGCTTCAGTACTCGCCCGGGCAAGTCTCGTTTCTGATAGAATGTGACAGATATGAACTCAAAATTTCGTGCCGTGCCCCTCCGATGTGAAGGAACATTCTTCCACATCACCGTAATGGCGCACAGTAATCGGCTCAGATCAATCTATAGCGCAGCGATCAGCGTTCCAACAGAGCGGCGCAAATCTCATCCAGATTTCACTGTAATTCTGTTTCATCACACAAGGTCTACGTGCTGCTTTACTTGTGTGCATGGCGTAGTTTCCAGCATCCTGCCGTTTGTCTGGCGTTACCGGCCTGTCTACAAGCAAAGCAGACCACCTTTGTTACTAAGTATGCTTCTTTGATCTTCTTTAATTTTTCACTTCGAAGTCCCTTGCGTCCAGAATGAACGTCACACATACATGCTGTAACGCAGGACGAGTCACTGTGCATATCTCTGACTTTGGTGGCTACATCACGACGTGGATGTATTAATTGTTCAAACAAAGCCTAAGTATGTATCTGGGTATGCTTGAAACTTTTTTTAACACTCATTAATAGGTACCATAGCAATCACATCGTCGTGATGCACAACCTGTGCGAGGGACCTCGGTCAAATTTGCATATGTATCACGCGAGGGGGAAACAAGCTGATGAGCTAGCCTTTATGCCCCTTTAGTAAGGGATTAAAGGAATTCCGGTGCACGCGGCAATTTTTCAGCTTCCATTCTTCACGGATGGACAAAGACAACGACTACTAAATACTGTTTGGCCTGACCGCAAAGCCCCGGCTGTTGTCAGTTTTAGGGACCTCAGAATTCACGACGCAAGCTGAATTCCTCGAAATCTTGTGGAGCCGCATGCCTGCCGGCAATCACCCTAATAATGCATTACTCGCCTTTGCGGTGAGCTGCCAATAGCCTCAGTGATAATGCTGTGTGCCCAGCTCCTTCCTGCATCACTTGATCCGCAGAGACTTGATGGAACCCGTGAGGTCACGCATCATGGTCTTCTCGAGGTCTAGGGGTAATGCATCGCTTTTCCTCGTTGTGTGGATTTTGTAGATGAATTGCGGTCGTCCCCTTGTACAACGGTACAACCCGACATCACGGTCTCCAGCGAGGAGTCGCACTCCTCGAATGGAAATCCCTCGCTTGCGCGCGGAGACACCTTTCACATCATGTTGTGCTACAACGCAGACGTCGAATGAGTATCAGCACCCTCAGGCGTGTATCATTATTTTCTCCCTCATAGCCCGTGCCTGGATCCAAACCCAACTGTTAGCGCGAGGTCATCACAACGGACGCTTTTGGTCACTCTTCATTCTTATGTGGCAGCCAATCAAGTACGCCCCAGCGGAGCCTCCGCGAGAAGGAGACAACCGGCTTGGCAAGTAGACAACAGGCCCCTAAACATAATTTCACCATGCCGATATGGCCTGATGGTAGAAGTGAATTATTCATTTTCACCGTCGATTCGTTATGCAATTGCTATTGATTGCATTCTGCGCATTCCTTACCTGATTTAAGCGCGGTGCTGCTTGCCTTATGGATTTACTGTATAGAATACCCTAGGGTAGCCTGCAATTACACGCAGATATCGTGGATCGGTATATATCTACCAAGTTACAAGTGATTCTGGATAGACTCCTCACCATAAAACTCTCCCCCGCTCCACTCAGGTACTGATTTAGCCTAAGGTTCTTCCGCGGCACCAATTGTCAGAAATTTGCTTCCGTTTGCACTTTCCTTCTCTGTCCAACCGTGTCTCTTATGTCCCCGCACGTCCACGACACTTTCGACCGTTATTCTGCGATGGAACACTGCTATCACGATGGAGACCAGTACTATGATACTACCGTTCCGATTTCTACGCATTACGATTATACTCCCTATCAAACTTATTCATATTACATTCCCGACAACATGATGCTTGCGATGACAGACGGGCAGGGCGAGCAACAATTAATTCAAACACCTGTTCATGAATATCATCCCCAAGCTTTTGACAACTTCACGTCTTCCTCTATCCATTCTGTATCGTCAGATTCGTCATGTCCAGTGAGTACAGCGAAACTGTAACTTGTTATCGAACGATCAACTCAGCCGGAATTAATCCAGACGTCGACTTATTTCCATGATACAGCAGCATATCCCAGCATCCCGACATATTCTTCTGACAGAAGACCGTCGTATCCCTCAAGTTGGGCACAAGACGTCAGAAATAGCTCCACTCATGTCGCAGCTGCCCAGTCGTCAGAGTACCGAGCAACGATAGCGCGTCTCAGCGATGATTTTCTCGCAAGCGCGTCGTCGTTGTTTGGAGGATCCACTTCACGAACTCGCAACACGTCCGCTACATTGAGTGGACCTGCAACCCCTCATCAGAGTCCTATGCAAAACAGCAATCTTACCCCTGCCAGAAAACGCTCATCGGAAGCCATGAATGAGGAGGTCTTTGTTGATCAGGTACCAGCGCTTGTTACTTGCCATCCACAATTGAAGATCTTACGATCGAAATTTTAGCAACTTGGCGCTCGTGCATCCGTCCAAGATTCAAGATACCTTCCTCAGCCTCACATGATTGTTCCCTCTCAAAATAGAGTTGGGCGTGAACGTCGCCTTCCTCAGGGTTCATCGCACAGTGGCGAGTCACAAAGCCTCCTGCGGTCTCCCGCTCGCCCTTTCAGACAGTCGCATTCACCAGATCTACTACTATTACGTGAAGAAGGGCGACCGGCGGCCCATCAAGCTAACAAGAGGCCCCATCGGTCCGAGGAGATCTCCCGCCATTCTCAGACCATTTCAAGCGTCCCTGCAACGTGGTCAGCGCCTGTGGAGCCTGTTATGAAAGTCAGTGCCTCGAGGAAGACTGGTGAGCAGAAGAAGCAAGCCCTTGCTTGCCTATTTTGCAGAGAAAGAAAAATAGCTTGTGGCAGACCCCCTGCCCATAGCCCAGACCAGACCTGCAAGTAAGCGCTGTCATGATGGGCTCTAATTTCCTCTTTCTGACTACTTCTTCAGCCAATGTGCACGACGTCGGATGAAATGCGAGTATCCCACGGAATCTCGTCGAGGACAGCATAAACGCATTCGCCGTAAACCAACCGAAGATTGTATTGGAGCTTCCAATTCGTCTTCGGCTTCGCACTCAGCACCAAATACACCACCCGTCATTGCGTTAACAGCTTGAATGAATACTACGTCAATGTACAACACAAGTTTTGACGACCGTTCAACGAGACACTTTAGATATATGTATGCAATATTGCCTTCAAGGGCTTCCTGTGACCTTCTACCTTCGACTACGTATACCTATTTCATATCGATTCCCTTTCTAATTGTTAACTATTATTACCTGACGGCGTCAGTTACTCTCCTTGCAATTTTACCTTCGTTAGCCTAGCATGCCACAAACATTATGTTCTCCTTCCACATTCTCTTACTGCATGATTTTTCTTATCGTTGGACTGCAGTATATTTGCTTTAATAATATCAAGATCTTGTCGTTGCCTTGAATGCTTTAACCGTGATTGTTGCTGTCAGACTTACCTAATTCACTTCCAACCCTGGGCCAAACAGCGTTTATGAAATGTGCCATGAAGCATGGAGGTAGTGAGCGCTCATTCCAGCGACTGAATTAAATTCTTTCACGAAGACTCGCGGAGCTACTGCATAAAAATTCAGGGGTGAAATAGATTCCAGAGAGTTTAATATGATTCGAGAAAGTATATTCGAGGGTGCATGTAGACGAAAAAAAAATGAAATACGACCGAAAAAATTCTCGGTCTAGGCGCGAGGGAAACGTCCCAAGGTGTTCCAGAGAAAAGACTCTTAGAACACCTGAAAATAATATTGTGTATATCTCATTATCACCGCCCATTGACTGTGGCAGTCGAGTCCCTCCGTAAGCCCAACGGGCCAGGTACAGGACGTGCTTCTGGAGAAGGAGGCCTCTTATTCGGATGGTCTGGAATTTTCTCGATCTCTTTCTTCGCCGCTTGCCAAGCCTCGAGGTTCTGTGACTATTAAAGCTAAATTCTGGAATAGTCAAAATGGAACCTACCTTCTTGCACCAGTCCCTGTGGATTCTTGCCATGCTAATAGTCATCTCCCTTAAATCGGCGACTTTCTGACGTTGGAAGCGGTCTAGATCGGCCTGAATAGTCGAACTTGAGTACTTGAGATCCTGCGCTGAGAGGTGCAGCGCATCTTCCAGCTATGGTAAATGCAGTCAGTTTAATGATGAGTGAGGGGAAATAGCAAAGATATACCTGTGAGATGGTCTCCCGCGTCTTGCTGATGCCACTACGACGCGCCGTTTCGGGATCAACGTCCATCATTCCGTGGAGTGTGTAACTTAAAGCATTCAAAAAGCCCATACCAGGTGCTCGCCGTTTGTACGGATTGGGTCCTGGGTGCGGTGGAAGGTATACTGAACCTGGCTCCTCAGCCCCATCTTGAGGCTGGTTTTGAGGTTGACTTTGACCTTCTTCACCCTCGGCAGGGCTGCCTGGTGACCGCAGGCCATTAACACGACCTTTGGACAACGCCTCGTCCAACCTCTTTGCCTCTCGTTCGCTCTTTTCGTATTCTTCTAGCATCTCACGCTTGTGTTCCAACGCATCCTGGGTCATCTCATATTGAACATGCTTTTGGTGACGATAGGAAAGCAGCTTCTTGATAATCACTGCAAATTGCGCGTACTCATGGAGAGGCTCGGAAAAGTTCTGTTCAAGTTCCTGGAGCTACGAAGGAGTGAGATGGATGACTTTGAACAGAAAAGGGCCGACGCACAAGTCTAGTTGTTGACATGTATGTCGTGTCAACAGCTTGTCCCGTCTTCTCCATAGCAGCGGCCAGTGCGCCACTTTCGTTCAAGCTGTATCCGTTGAAAGCAGCGCCGAGTTCTGAGTAATCCTGAGCATTCTCTAACATATCAAAGGGTCATTAGTAATTCAGTTGTCCGATTTATAATGGTCGCACCCGACCATCGCTTCAAGGTCCTCCGAGTAACCTTTTCCATAGGTCCACTGAGATGGTTTGCGAATTTGTTGGTGAATATCTCTGAGTCTACGGACCGCTGATCAGGGTTTCTCAATGGGTGTGTTGCTGATGGATTTGGAAGGGCAGCGTAAGCAGAAGCTGCGCTCTGATCTGTCGGGTTGTGTGAAGGTGCTTTGAGAGTGTTCTTCGGAAGGAGAGACAAAGGAGGTGAATGCAGCACTTCCGTCTATTCAGTCACAGTCAATCAGATGCCAGTAGGTTAAAATAAACTCCACAGACCCAAGATACTTCACCGTCGAGAAAACGATGAAATACATGCTCGTTCGACAAGATAGGGTGCCGAGCGATGCGGTTCAAGAAAGTCTGCAGCATTCGCTTCCGGCGCGCGATCATCGCAGCATCCTCCTTGGCCTTTGCTTGCTTCGTGGCATAGTCACCAATAGTTTGCTTTGATGGAATTGGTGGGATAATGATAGTCGGATACAACTTTACGAGGCTTGACCTCAGGGACTCGAATTCCGAGTACCTATGTCTCGCTTCTGCATTCTATCTCGTAAGGTTAGAAGGGGTACATCCAATTGAGAAATAGGTTGCACTTACGCCTGCACGAATAATGTAGGTAATGTAGGGCGTGTTGGAGTTTAAAGACGTCTTCTGCGCATCCGTTATCTTATCGTGTAAGCTTCTTGTTAGCAAGTTCATCTAGACATGGACAACTGAAAGAGCCACGCACAAGAATCTCGAGGTCCTCCCCAGAGTGCAACCACTGATCTCGTCCACAGCAAAAGTCACTCTTATATGTTGTCTGTGGATGCCTGTTGGTTCCGGAGGAAGGAAATGGACGACTCAGTGTTGGGCTTGTCGGTGAGAGAACCCGGACGGGATGACGGGGAGAAGAAGGCGCAGATATGTTCACCTTCGATGTAGACGATGTTTCGGAAGATACACGATCAATATCGGTCTCGAACGGATTTTCCTCCTCGAAATTGTCCATGCCAAAGTTCCAACTATGTGTATCGTCGGGTCAGTTGAGGAGCTTGGTGAGGTGAGGTTCTGCAAGTCCAATTCGAACTAGAACACAGGCTGGTCCAAAGAAGGTCTCTGAGGTAGACTACCTGTGCAAGAAGATGTTGCAAGCAGCAGAATGTTTAAAAAGGCTGTTCAATGAACGGTCGATAACTACCGCAGTGCGTTTTGGGCTGTGATTGTCCACTGAGAACGTCACTGTCATCGAGCGTCTATATTTGGATGTACCTATACGCAACTTCGTACGTATAACTCGTACGTATAACTTAAAAGTGTACATGGCACACTACCCAAAGACTCTGAAGCCACTCTTCAAGGCAGCATCAATTTGTTCTCGCATCGAGGTATCTTCATCCATTCCATCGTCTGCGTTTTTCGTGGAATTCTCGAATCCTTTTCCGAACAAAGAAGCGAACAACTCGTCAATCTGTTCCTCGTGCCAGCTGCCTTGCATTGTAACTGGAACCATGAAGTTTTGAATCTTTTCGTGCACCTCGTATCTATGCGAGATGAGCATCTTGGAACAGCAAACTAATAGGTTTACCCACCGTAACTTGCGACCTTTGCTGGCCTTGGTATCGACGTGTTTCTTGGCTTTTTTCTGCTTTTGAACTTCCATCCAATCTTCGTTGCCTCCGTTGCCGCGGGTATCAATAACGTCTCGTAGCAGTTGATGGTAAAAATCTGTATCGTCAAACACCTCTAGATCGCCTTGAACATCCTGCTCGTCACCTTCAACACCTTTATCAACCCCTATTCGAGATCCTTTACCCCTATAGATTCTTGTCCGTTGAAGAACTTTATCGTGATCCACAAGCGTTTCATCAATAAGTTGAGAAGCGGACTTCAACCCTTGCGATGACTTTGAGAATGCATTACGATTTGAAGGCAGCAGCACAGAGGGGGCAACCGCCTGAATCTTGCTTGACCACTTGTTCAAAGTTTGTATGAGATGAGGATGGAAACTGCCGTGTTTAATTAGCCAGTATGGAGTGGTCGATAAAACAAACGGAAATACATATGCTCCACAGAGGCTGCTGTCTGTGTGGCTTCCCGAAATTCTGAAGTAAAATCTTTTATAGATCTTACATCACTAGTTTTACGCCGTTTCCGAGGAGGAGGAGCTATTGCCTCATTGGTAGATAGTAAGTCCTGTGAAAAGTGAATAGAGGTTGATAAGGGGGAGCAGGGTGGTGGCGATTCATTAAATGTACCTCCTGCAGGTGAAACAATTCATCGAACAGAAGCTGTGCCTCTGCCAGCATTTTTACTAATGATGGCTGGACATCGTCGTAATCTGCAAGCTGCGTGGAGGTGAGGGGGAAGTACTGAGAAATTAATCGGCATGCTAACCGATGGGAGCCGATTTCCTGCAGAAACGGCCCTCTGCAGACGGATACGTGCGTCAAGTAGCGAGTCCCACAACGCCTTCGAATGTAGTCAGTAAAACCAAGATCAAAAGGCACAATTGACCGCACAATTTGCTTCGAAACAGCCTTCCCTTTTTTGCGGTCCTCGTCACGCGTTTTGCGCAATCTCGAAGAAAGATTCTCGATGTGCTTTGGATCCTCATATGACGCCGTGCTTTTGGCAGCAAATGTTTTAGAAATTAATGTTGGAGCATCTAGTTCGTTCTCCTGTTCGCTTTGAGAAGATGGGACTTCGTTGTCTAATTCTTCCTTGTCTTCGTCGCGCTCCAGTTCGCTGCCAGTCTCGTCGTCGTCCCCCCCACTGTCATATTCACTGCCGTCATATTCTATTAATTGGTTTCGGGATGTCTTTATGCCATCATATTTTGGGTCAGCTATGCTGTCTTGCAGTTTCCGTAGCACAGAGGGCCTAACGAGGATTTGAAGATAGGGCCGGAGCAAGAATGAAGGCGAAACTTACCCGACGTCAATGTAGTGGTCGCGTGCACCGCCGGTGTCATCCGCAAGATCATTTTCTTCCTGATCATGGGCTGTGACCTCGTTTTCTGGGTCGAAATCTACAAACGGCAAAGTCAGAGTGAATGATGAACGGCCGTACCGTAGCGCTTGCCTACAGGTGCAGCGTCCTCAAGCTGAGCGATCTGTTCCGCGAGAGAGATGCCTATTACAATGAAATTTTCAGTCTCTTGTCGTTGTAGTTCACAGCCATGAACTCACGCTGCATGAATGA